CTCCGGATACCTTTCACAACCTTTTAGCTCGCGATGGGCCAGGGGTGGTGAGATAGGCTGAAGAGCAGCTGGGTATTTTTCGGATATCAGCTACCGAGGGGTGAGATAGACATGGGTTAGGCCAGCCTCATGGCTTGGACAAGCCAACTGACCGACTTAGCGGCTCCTGAGGCCTGAATGATGGACACGAGTTTCTTCCTTCTTCATTGATCGACCATCGAGGGCTGTCACGCACATCGTTACTGTAAACTTGGGGTAAGTACGAAGAGTGCTCAGAAAAGACCAAACATGATTTGGAGAAGCGCGCAAGAATCGATCGGGGTCACCGCATCGGGTCATGGGGCTTTGCTCCCCTTTGCTTGCTTTGCCTTCATATTGCTTTTTCTCTTTCTTCGTTCCCCTGCGTTCTCAGAGCTTCTAGGCGCTGCTCACAGCGAGTAGGTGGCTGAAAAGGGGGTGGCCCAGCCGAGGGATGGGCTATAGCGCCCTTGAGGCACAAACAGTGGATGCCGGCTCATGAGGTTCTTGTGGCTGCCCATTCCCCTTCAAAGGCCTTTGGCGAGCAACATTATTCGACGCCTAGTTAAATTTGGCCCTGGGCCACATCGCCCGTCCGGACCCCACCGCGTGGCCGTGGCAGCACTAGTGGATTTACGGTGGGACACTATCAATGACTATCACATTTTTCTCCTGACCGTCAAAAGGGAAGGGGGATAGGGCAACCGCCTGGCGCTCTTTTTATGGTGATGAGCTCTGCGAACCAAACCCTCGCTGGCAAGGGGAATTGGGATTGCCCCGATTCAACGGGGTAATCAAAAGCTGTCCGATCAAAGATCGGCAAGATCGATTACTAGTCGATGCTTTTCAGCTAGTCTCAGCCCCTTGCAGATGGCCTGGCCGCGTCTGGAGCCACGAGGAGGGAAAAGCAATGACCCATCGATGAAGTTTGACCGGGTCGACGATGAAGAGATCAATGGCGGCCGTTACAGCTCGTGAGAGGCTCCAACGTCGCAAGACCTGCGCCTCGAACGTCTGCCATGGTTCTACAGGCAAACGAGGGCCTCCTGGTATAATGCTGAAAGTTTCTTCTCTGCCCAAGACTGAGCGGGTACTACTGTTCCGGGCTGTCCGGACGGCAATGATGCCAAAGGGGAGGACAAAGGGTATTGATTATATCCAGAACGGAGGAGGGAGAACAATTCAGTCTGCGGCCGTTGTCTAACCCTTTTCACGGCCAGGTTTCTCTCGGACACGCTTTCCCTTACCCTAAACTTGATATTGGACACAACTAGGTAGGTATCACAAGCAGGGTTTTTACCAAGGATTTCGAAGGCTCCAGTGGCGTTGGGGGTGTGATGCTCTGAACGCCCCTTTTGCATTGATTGGGCTTGACCAATTGCCCACTGATGAATGGATAATGACACCACTGATAATAATAAAATAGACGTTGAAGGGTGCAATAATGCAGCCCGTTGAAGGATTCGCGGGGCTGCTTGATGCAGCGTCCAAGCTACGAAGTAGGTGAAGTGAATACATCAACTGGATCAATTATGATGGGGTTTTGGCTTCCCTGTCGCTCACCCAGCAGCTTTTTTCTTTCTTTTCAATGTTCTTGAGGGAGAGTGTTTTCAATGTTCCCTGTGGCTTCTCAGGATACCACCAATGTACCTCGGTACCCAGTGCACCAATACTGTCCGTATCGAGAGCAAGCACTCCCCCGCCTCCTTTCCCCTCACACAAGGGACAATGATCCCCCTTCCCGCCGTCTCATCCACATCCGCGCGCCGTTTGCTCGCATTGAAGTCGTCCCGTGTTGCGTTGGCCGCTTTGAGGGGGTCGGACCTACTCTTCTGATATTCACAATCAAATTCTTTCCGTCCTTGTTTCTTTCTTGTCTGTGTTTCCTCACCCACGCACCAGGATGGTTCTGCTTTCGGCCGGGTTGCTTTTTGTTTCCTCCCCTCGGGCTCCTGGTCCCTCCTCCGTCCTCTGGCCACCCGCCACAATGCGCCTAGGGCGTGTCACGTCCTGAGGACTGAGCAGAGTTGCGGAGCGGCCGAGTCAGTGAATCCCGTCCGTCCTTCCCAAGCCAGGCGCCCTTGGTATTCGCTATTCGGTCAAAGTGCCAACCGATCGCCCTCCTATCTGCACTAAACGAGCGCTATCTCACGCGTTTCCCGAAAGCATCGAGAAACAATTTACTACTTGTAGCTCTTTACCTGTTCATAAGCTAAGGAAAAGAAGCTAACCGGTTGTAATAACCTTCAGTGAAAGAGTTAGAAGAACAACTCGGACGCCCCAGCCCAGGCTTCTAGCGCTCATCCCCACTTTCTCTTTTCTCGGTGTCCTCAAGCCGACAGATGCACGGATGCACCGAGCACCTCCATCCCCCTGCTTGCTTTCTTTTGCCCGCCCCTTCTTTGCTTTGTCGTTCACATCGTCCTTACCCTATTCGCTCCCCTTGCGGACCATGACGGACTAGTCTTTCTTGCTCTCGTCTTGCGTCACTGACGAATTCGTCCTGCGCCAGCGACCAAAGTGGAGTCTTGGCTCTCCGGTGAGAGCATGAAGGCTCCTGCGCACCTTAGCCGCTTTTGTTTCTTGACATGCCCATGATCTTGGACGGTGGCCAGGCCACCCTCCCAAATTCGGTGCTTGAACCACCCTTACCAGGGTCGTGAGGGGCAAAGCCGCATGCGATGCGGGTGCCAAAAGGGAATGATCGCTTTGGCCCTCGCCGTCCTTGGACACACAAGGCGACCTGATTCAGACGGGTCCTGTGTTGATGCGTATGCGGGTTCCCTTCCCCTCCAAGCAAAAATCCTAATGAAGCCAAGGTGTGAAGGGGCTGGTGGCCAACATGGATCTTGAGCGAAGGCGCAATTATCTGTATCTGTTGGGCCCTGACCGCAAGTGTGTGATTTGTGTTAGCCCGGGATGCCCTGTCTTTCTCCTGCTTTCTTACCCTTTTTCCTTTTCTTTTCTTTACTTTTTTTCTCTTCTTTATGGGAGAAGGTCAGCATCTGCAGCAAGGTGCGCTGCCGTCTTGACATGCGACAAATGGCACACCCCCACCGCATCGTTCACTATATCCCAACGACGGGTGATCGTGCCATGTCGTTGCTAGTTAAGAGATGTCGAGCATCGCAACGCAGCAGAGATCGGCGGTAGTCGATCGTGCCTGTCCAAGCCGACCCCGTCCAAGTCGTCAAAACCCATGGATTGAGCCGCGATGGTCAAAACCTGGAATCTGACAGCTCGCAGCGCCGATCCTGTGTCGAACCTGTCAAAGACTGTATCCATTCTCAATCTCCCTGCAGGGCTGGGGATCATTTCCCAGAAACTAAGCAGCTCCGGTTGGTGGGTGTCATGCTGCGACTCTGGAAGCGCCACATATTACTGAAATCTTTTTCTTTTTTCAAAATTGTTTCTTGAGCGCAGACTTTTGGGTTGGATCGAGAGGACCTTATGGGAAACGATTCCTACGCGTCCCACAGACCGCCGTTCCCGCCTCCCTGGGCAGGTGTCAGCCGTCATTGGCTCTCGTGCACACTCTAGGGTCTCTTTTGCTTTCTCCCTGCGGTTAGGTCCCTCGGAAAGACTGCTTTTTCCGTCCTGCATTCCGCTGCCGCTGCAGCTATCTCATTCCAGTCGTGATGCTTCTCTGGTAACTTGGAAAGCTGGAAGCGACGGGACTGGGAGGTTACCGTTTGATCATGTATGGTGCGGGATCCGGGCTCCTCCCCGCGCATACACACACACGCACACACACACACACACACACCACATCGCGTTCCACTCATCGTATACACAGAGAGGCGCATCTCTCCGCACGCGCTGATGCATCGGAAGATTGGTCTGCGCCTTTATTGTCTCTGCCGACATCTGGACCGTGTCCCAGGATCCAAAATGCACTTAATCTCGGGTGCACTCCCGCCCCGTGTAGACACTACTGGGTGCAAGGCAACCATACCATGATGGCCGACGAGCCCAACGATGCTGATCTTGGCTAAGCTAGTGCGCGTGCGCTCGCCTTGTGCTTCCTCCAAGGCGCTTACTACTTAACAGGAGGAAGAAGCAAGTACGTTTTATCAGCCGGCTCGTGGTTTGATGAGCGACAAGGGAGTAGAAGTTTCGAGAGCGGTAAAAAAAAATAAAAAAGCATGTTCATTCTGCACCAGACTAACACTCGGTGATGAATATACGAAATAAGTGTGGGGTTTCCAGCCCCGTCTAGTTCAAGGTCATACATCCATGGATATTCCTCCCCAGTGCATATACAGCACATGTGCCTAGTACTCCTAAAATACCAATCCTTCGTCTTGATGCCAGGTGGGGTCCGTTCTCCTCAAGATTTGACCCTGTATAGCGGGTCTCCTTTCTTCACGCCTAAAACGGGGTGAGGAGAGGTATAGTGCCCGTTGGCGAAGCAGAAAGAGCGGGACTTTCAGCTCACTAGAAAGGGGATAATCTTGTTTTTATATGCGTGTCTGTAGTATCGACAAACGCGCGACATCTGTCCCCTAAGTCGCTAACTTGGTTGTAATATTGCAATGACGTGGGCTCCCGTTGATTACATGTAGCGAGTAGATCAATGTTTTCCATTTTATTATGTGGTGGTATCCAGCTCGAGCTGTTGAGTCGGGGAGTTGCATTGTAACGTAAAAAAAGAAGAAATTATGGTTGCTTTTCTCGGAGCCCAGCTTGTTGAAGCTACCTGCCATGAGAAAATGAGAAGCAGTAACGCTTCAATATAAGATGAGATCCGCAAGGAATCCGCAGAGAAAGAGTTGGGTTTTACTTTCCGCAACCTCCTCTTCTCTTGCCCCGCCGCCTCCCTTGATGCAAGAGGAGCAGGGTGATTAGCTATGGCTCCAGGGATCCTGCAGCTTTGATGATCTGGCGTGGCGCAAGTGATGCGTAGTCGCTGGGCCCAACGACTTATTTGTGTCAAAAGACGATCCAAACCAGGTGTGAGTGGAATATGGAACAGGGCACCATTAGAGGGACCGCGTCAAGATCCACTCCATGTTCATCAGCCCCAAGTTGAGGCCGTTGTTCACCCACCATTGGCGAACCTTGTCATTATCCTTGCCCATGCTGTCTTCGAGGGCCTCCTCGATATTACAGGTGCGGTACAGGACCTTGGAGCCCCTGCCGTGCATACCGGGAGCTTCCCGTGGGCAAACTGCTTCCACCACTCGAGGACGTCGATATACTGGTGAATGGTGGCCTGGACGAGGGCGTCCTCCTCGCAGACGATTTTCTCGTCGCCCTTGAGCTGGCGCCAGAGCTCAAGAATGCCGACGTGGCCCCAGCGGCTGGCGATGGTGGGCACGCTATCGGAAGCGCACACCGGAATACCTGACGTGTGCCACCAGCGAAGGATTTCGAGGTGGCCGTTTTGCGTGGCGTATTGATGGACCGGCCGGGGCGGAGAACGACCCGCTCGTCGATGGTGGCGGCGAGGCGCCACCACTCGAGGACGGCCAAATGGTTATGCCCGCTGGCTTGTTCGAGGGCGGCCTCGGAATACTTGAGGGGAAGCTCGGCCTCGCGCAGCCACCAGTCGAGCACCTCGACGTGGCCGTTGGCCGAGGCGTGGTCCATCGCCTCGGGGATGTAGGTGCGGTTCCTCTTGAACCAGCTGCTGTCCCTCCAGTAATTGAGCACGGAGATTTGTGGATAGTAGGCGGACGCGTTCAAGGGTAGGATGGGCCCGTCGAAGCCGACCATGAAGAGCTCGGGCTGATTCTGTTCGAGGTACGCTAGGACATCGACGAGGGCGAAGCGGATGATGAGCTTGACCACGAGGGCGGAAAGGAAGGTGAAGCGGGGCGGAGCCTGGGAGAGCTTTTGGCAAATCTCTTGCGAGTTGGCCCGAAGCACGGTCCATTCGAGTTCGCGCTCGTACGTCTTGATAGGGTCGTCCTTGAAATGGCCGAGGTCGATGCGGTGCTGCCAGACGGGCGGCGGCCGTAACGACGTCTTGATGCCCAGCGCCTCCGCGAGTTCCCAGTCTCTTGTTTGTTCCATGATCATGATCCAGAGTTCGGGGGAGGCTTACGTCGGTTGTTTTGGGCTTGGGTAGGTCTTGGGCGAGTCGGGGGATGTCTTCTAGTTCGTTGCCGATGGTGAGGAGTTCGGCTTGGTTGGTAATGGTATTGACTACATCATTGAAGCCTTCCCAGTTGACGCCGCATCGGGTGGAGCCCTCGAAGTGCCAGAGGATGGGGGCATGACGCGGATGCAGTTCCACTTGCGCTGCACCTTGGTGAGGTGCTTCTTCGTCATTGGGTTGTCCCAGCTATGCTTGCTCATGCCAGGCACGAGGAGAATCTTCTTGGAAACATCCCACCCTCGCAATACCTCGAGAATAACGGTGTTGTCCGTGATCCCTGCGAGCATTTTGGCGATGCCGTCGGCGCTGAGTGGCGCAAGCACGAGAAGGTTCGTCCATTCGATCAGCTCGGCCGCGTACCGGTCGTTCGGTTGAAAGTGGTTCACGGGGTGTTCAAGGATCTGGTAGTCATTGGTCTGGGAGCCCGCAAGGTTGGGACTGCCGTGGTTGGGCATGACGGGGACGGTCTGGGAGATTCTCGTGGTGACATCGTCGAGGACGGCGCGCATGCGAATGTGGGGGTTCTTGGAGAGGCGCACGATGATGGCCTCGGCCCACGAAGTCTCTCTGGATCCCGTTGCGGCGATGAGGACGTTGAGCGGGCCGGTCGACGGCCGTGGGTGGGCAAAAAGTGGCGGTTGGGCCGTGGAGGGGCCGTAGGCACCCCGGTGGAAGCCGCTCGTTCATGGCAGGGGGATGGAAGAAAATGAAAATGGAAAAGGTCTTGGTTTATTCTTGTCGAGCTCTCTTTTAATATCTTTCTCTTTCTTGTTTCAAGTGTCACGTATCGGCTAGGGCGTGATTGAGGGGTTCAGACATGGTGATGCTGGATGGGAGGGACATTGGATGCTTTTCAGCTCCTTACGCCGGGTGGTCTGGCAGCGACCTGGGCAGAAATGGCGGTTGGGGGATTGGCAGACAGATGCATGAGACAAACAGAGTCCATGGACATACCCTGTTTTTTTTTTTTTTTGGGCCTCTCCTCTTTGGATGGAAATTTAGAGTTGTTCGGTTTAAACGTACATGGTGTCCCTCTTTTCCCCTTTGACCGTCTCTTTTGCCTGGTTGCACTCGGCAAGAAGCGGCTTAGGTAAGCCGGCCGCCTCCTGCCAGAATGTGCCAGAAATGTTGCGTTTAACCTTTGTCGCCCTGGCACAAAGTTTGCTTCTTGTGCATCCATGGTGTCAGAGAGGGGAATATCGGTAGTAAGCGCATAGGAAAGAGTCTTCGCCCCGAGTTTGTCTGCTGTTGGATGTTTAGATGACGGCATAAGTGGGCAGACCTCAACTACCGGACACATTCCCTTTGCCTACCTAGGCCACCTCTCAAGCGCGTGTAAGAGTTGAGCTCTGTACTCGAGTACCTCGGTACACCGTTGGCCTTGTTTTCCTTGAGTCGCATACCTAGCCAGCCGCTTGAGAGCATCGAAGGGTTCTCGAGATCTAGATCTGCAGTAGCTCTCTGCCAAAGTCGCTTGGTCGAGGATCAAGTGAACCAGCACCCGAGGAGGAGCCCCGGCTGTTGTCAAGGAGGGTGGGAGAGGTCAAGGCTGCACGGTTCAGCATTCGACTGCGCTCGCTTCACAACTGGAAACCTGAATTCGACCAAAAACTGTGATATCATTGCAATCTAGTCTAACTGGCCACTAATAAAAGTATTGATATGGCCGCTGTGAATCCCAAGAGTTTGGAATTCGTCGTGTCGGCCCCACGTGGAATGATTGAGCTGCCTCCGCTCGTATTCGTAGGGGACGGCGATGCATCCTGGATCTCATCGCTGCCGCCCTCTTCGTCACCGCCGTTGCTATCGTCGTCCTCCTCGCTCGCGTCGTCGTCGGCATCCGAATCGGCACACTGCTTGTCGAGAGCGCATTTTTGGCCCATCGGGCAGTAAAACCCGTCACAACAGGTACTGTTTCTTGGCATGCAACTGGCGCCGCACGCTTCAAAGGGCCCCACACAACCCGTTGACCCGCCTGCGCCGCCGCCTCCCGTCGTTAAGTTGCCGCCGGGGCTGGAAGACGCCGCGCACTCGAAATCGCGGCGGCCGCAGCTGTACCCCAACGGACAATAGTAATCGTCGCAGCATATCCGACCCGGCGCTATGCACCCACTGCCGCACACTCTTTCATTCGGTCGGCACCCCGCCGTGGTGCGTCCATCTGTGCACATGCCCCGATCCGTACAGGTCGTTCCGGCGCCACAGTAATAGTCATTTCCCGGACAGCACATGGACCCGCCCGGCATGCACTTGTCCCCGCAGAGGACGCTCCCTTCCGGACATGTGGACACGGGACCTGAGCAATCTTGTCCAGTCGGACAGCAGCCGCCGTTTTGGCAAAAGGCCCCCGAGTTGCACCACCCGCCGTCGCTCGTGTTGCAGCATTGGCCGCCTCTCGGGATGCAGCCTTCGTCGCAGTTGTTCGCCTCCGCGCCGCACGATCTTGTGGTCTGCCGTGCCGCCAGCAACGTCGCTGGGGATGTGTTGCCTTCTGGTAGCGCTGACTCGAGTGTGCGGAAGGGAAGGTTCATGGGGAGGAGCTGGGCGCTGGCAGCGCCCACAGAAAGGGCGACTAATAACCGTACGTGTAGTTGTCGCATCGTGACTGTGTATGTAGGCAGAAACGCTGTCTATGGGTTGATTTCGAGGGAAGTGGTGATGGAATCGCCCAAACTTGGGTTTCCGTGGGAGGCACATGGGTTATCAATCCCATGGTTTTTTTCTTTGTAAAAACATTAAAGCCTCCGCCCGAGGCAAAATACGGACCAGGTCCTTCCAAGGACTCGATCCGTCTTTGGCCTACACCCAATATGTGGAGGCAACAAAAAAGAGGGAATCAGGGAACCCGCACCAGAAAAAAGGGTTCTGTACGAATGAAGCGTGTTTGACCGCACCCATAGCTTCGGGGTCTATTAACACACGCCCCATTCATCCTAGTCAATTAACGGCTCGAGATATTACCCGATGATGATCTTCCTGCGCCCAGATTATACCCGCCAAGGCTCAAGGTGTCGAAAGGTGAAAAGGAGGCCGTATACGCCCAATGACAGCTCGTCATGCCGTGGCCTTCTAGTCCCCGAAGGAATACCAGACTTCAATCTCTGCACATCAATCAGTCCATTTTGGGAGGCTGCATTCACCTGTGAGTTTGCTCCGGGTTTGGTCATCAACCGCTGCTTGGTGTTGCTGGAAACGGAGAAAGAGACCCTTCCCCTAGGGAGAGGAAGGCCTGGTTTGAGCTGTACCTGGCATGAAAGTCGATCTCCCGACTTGATGGCAACCTTTACAGAAGTTGCAAAGATACATGTAACCTGGGAGTTGCAGCAATGTGGCTTCAAGACAGCACCTTTCCTCTTAGATTTCCTCCAGGATCCAGGGCGCGCAATTCAATCAAGGAGCATTGTTCCTGGCTGGCGAGCTGCGAAACAAGCCCAAAAGCATCTAATGTTTTACGATCTTGGGAGTAACAACCCTAGATTTCCTTTTCTAATTCTTTTCGTATTTCTTTTTCTACTTCTGTCATAATAAACCGGCATATGGCGCGGCCCACCAAGGAGTTGTCTGTCCCCTTAATGGTGCTTTTCGGCGTGGAGAGGGGAGCCCTCTTGAAACATCCACAGTGAGCGGCATGAACATGCAGGATTCCAGAGGTGTTAGGACCAGGAAAAGCGAACCACAAGATTCTGATGTCGGGTCCGCGACGTCGCGGTTCATATGATTCGTCAGAAACAGAACAAAAATCGGCATTGCCATTGTCTAGGGTTTCAATCTTGACGCCAATCCTGGATTTGCCCCTAATCGCGGCTTGACCTTTGCTAGCTGCATGCCTCGGGGATAGGTCCATATCTGATGGTAATGTACCGTATGGCACGCGGATTGCGGCGAGAAATCAGCGTAGGGTATTGATTTGATTTTGGTGCGAAAAGCAGGAGAAAGACAGCACCCGCACGTGGCCACAGTGGCTTTTAATCCTCGTTAAGTTGGTGAAGGATGAGAGCGATGTCAGTGTGCGGCCCATCCCGACTTACCATTGATTGCTATCTTCTCTTGTTGCTGCTGGGAAACCATCCCGGTTGATGACACTCGTAGCCCAATGGTCGGGAAGATACATGGAATCTAGTGCACTGCTCCTCATGCGCCTTACCATCGAATCAAAAGCTTCAAAAGGTACTAGAGATAGTCTAGAGGTTGGATCCCGTACCAGGTATACAAATCAAACAACGTTCTACTTATGAGCCCCGGGAATTCTGGGTTCGTCTTCGCGCGCCGTGCTTAGCGTCTAGAAGAGCCTCCGGGTTTATAGCACCGTATTTTTGCATATCTCATTAACGGGTAATTCAAACTCCAGCCAATGTATGCCCCGCAATTCTGGTTTAACGCAAGACTTTTTTTTTCTGCCCCGCGATGTCGCTTATCCTATCTATCGTCGTTCAAGCTCAGCCTGTAAACTAAATAAAAGGGGAGAAAAAGGAGCAAAAGATGGGAAAGGTATCCAAAGACAAGCGAGATGCCTACTATAGGCTTGCAAAAGAACAAGGGTGGCGCGCGCGAAGTGCTTTCAAGCTCCTTCAACTAGATGAGGGTACGAAAATGCATCCCTCCCCCGATCTCTTTCCATGTTCTTCTCCTACCTGCGAGGGCCAACCTTGCCGCCCCTTAATCTCGTCGTTCAAGTAGCCTGGCCATGGCTAAGTGCGGACCTGTGCTGACTTCACTTCGTAGAATTTGACCTCTTCTCTAATGTCACGAGAGTGGTGGACTTGTGCGCCGCCCCGGGAGCTGGTCACAGGTGCTCTCTCGGGTGCTCATCAAGGGCGAAAAGTTCGGGAGGGCGGCGTGGCAGGACCGGGAGGCGAAACTGCGACAGCAGATGCTGAACCTCTTCCCGGAGAACGAGGAACCGTCCGCGCGCCAAGGAGTCGCACCCGACGCCGCTCCCGCCGCAGAACCTCAACCGAGGGGAGACGTCAAAATCGTGTCCATCGACCTCCAGCCCATGAGCCCGCTGCAAGGCATCATCACCCTCCGAGCCGACATTACCCACCCCGCTACCGTGCCTCTCCTATTAAAAGCGCTAGACCCGTCCTACGACCCCAAGTCCATGAGCCAGCAGGCCGTGCAACCCGTTGACCTCGTCATCAGCGACGGCGCGCCCGACGTTACCGGCCTGCACGATCTCGACATCTACGTGCAGTCGCAGCTGCTCTTTGCCGCTCTCAACCTGGCCCTGTGTGTCCTAAAGCCCGGCGGCAAGTTCGTAGCCAAGATCTTTCGAGGTCGCAACGTCGACCTGCTCTACGCCCAGATGAAAATCTTCTTCGAAAAGGTCGTCGTCGCCAAGCCCCGCTCATCGCGGGCAAGCAGCGTCGAGGCCTTCATCGTCTGCATCAACTTCCGGCCCCCTCCGGGCTTCAAGGCGAGCCTGGAAGACCCGCTGGGCGTGGGCCATAAGCTCGCATCGCTGGTTGACGAGAGGAGGCGTCAGTTTCCGATAATCGCCGAAGCGAGCACGCAAGATCCCGCCAGCGGAACCTGGGGAGGTGCCTCTGCTACTCACAGCTCATTCTCTTCCACAGAGGACGTTGTCGAAGTCGAAGCGTTCGATGAGCAGGCTGAAGAGGGTCGGGGAGCAGGTGGGTGGCGCCTTTCCTGGCATGTGGAGATCTTTCCGCCTTCGACTCGGATGCTTCCTACCGCCTACCGGAAGATCATATATCTCTAGATCCCGTACAACCGCCCACAGCACCACCATACAAACGGGCTATCGAGCTACGGAAAGCGGCTGGTGGCGCTAATGGGAAAACGGCCAAGGCTTAGGGATGCTACCCTGCCGATTTCGTCTCTCCCCGGTTTTGGAACAAAAGTGCCCTCTCAAAGGAGCTACTCGATCGCGACGGTACACCGGCAACCTCCTCCCCTGTCCGTCCGGAATCGGGTCTCTCTCGTCCCTTTTCAGATTCGACTTGAGCGAGGGGATATTTTTCTCTACCATGTAGCTCACGCAGCTTGACTTTTAGATGGCTTTAGGACACCGTTGTATGCATACTCGGCGGAAGGGAAGAACGAAAGCGAGGGCAAGCTTCAGGTGGTAATCGACGCACTGGAGGCATGCCACACGCCGAGATCGCCTTCAAACGGAATGCATGGGCATGGATCCATACAGAGCGGCTCTATCCGTCAGCAAATTTTTTTCCCTTTTACGCCTTTCCGCGCCCGGTGACGTTATCCGCTCTCGGCACAGCATCCATGCACGCCCAGAAAATTCGATTTGCCGGCCGAGGGTCACCCCGCGGTCGCTTACTTACTACATATCAGATGGTTGCGGAGACGCATATCGAGGATTATCCAAGGGAGAAGAGGGTGGCCTGATGGCCTTGGACGAAAGGTTATAAAAACCAAAAAAGGACTCAAAATAAAGATGCAAGACACGCCATGGGCATACGCGAGGGTGCGCCCGTACTCTTGAGTGGTCGATGGCACAATGCCAGCGATCAATACAGCTAATGTGGAAGCGGCTGGGGAAAGAAGGTATGACGGTGTCAATGCGTCTTATCAATTCTGTGGTTAACGCTGTGGATGGGCACATCCGATAACGGGCATGTGCCTATCTCTCAATTACCATCAACGAAGAGAGAGAAGATGTGTACATATAAGATGAAACCTCCAGAGCCTACATTGAGAGAAGATCCCGCCTGACAATACCACTTGCCTTTGGACGGCCCGCGCATTTGAGGAATGAGGAGTCATAAAACGTCGGTGACTGAATGGGTGCAAAGAAGCTGATGTTTCCACCTTGGGCTGTTTTGACGAGATGACGATAGACATACCGCACTCCTCCATAGCAAGTCACCTCCCTCTCCTCTCGCAAATGTTTTTTTCTTTTTCCTTTTTTGGTCCTCCCCTGTGTTTCCTCCCTCTTATGCTCGGCTGTCGTAAATGGGTAAATGGTTGATACAGTTGGTATCAGCATATATCCACAGCACAATCACAAGCCCATATGCATGGGGATGGAGACGGCCCTAATTCCCTCTCTATCCACGGATTGATAGATGTATTGGCTTGAATTTCTTATGCATGGGAGAAACAAGACCGGGGTGGTGGCGATGACGGCGTTCTTGCGGTGAGTCCTGTTTGGACCACTTGGTCTCGGATTGCTGCAGGGTTGGTTGGGCGGGCATATCTTCGCACTACTTCCTCGCCTCACCACGAAATTTGGTCTGCGGCGAGGAGCGACTTGAGAAGCCACCCAGCTGGACCGGATTTGGAAGTGGCAGGGAGCTATTAGTTGGCCGAAGCGGATGGCCTCTAATAATATTATGGAAGCCAAGGCAGGGAGGGACAAAAGCAAATAGGAAGAAACAAAGGCCAGTGGACGAGCACGCAATTCAAGGGGCATTTTGCACCCTGTGGTATCGGCTGGTTTTCTGCGGGAGCTCGGGAATGATTTGCCCGCGAAGCCCGCTCGGGGACAAAAAGAGGACACCCAAGCAAAGCAAAGAAGAAAGAGAGAGAGAGAGAGGGAAAATACACAGAGGAAAAAGCGGAAATTAGAGCTGAAGACACTTGGCAAAACTATACCAGAGCCGAGTCGTGCATCCCAAGTGTACGTGAGGCCGTAATGTTATAAGTTCCCGAGGCACACCAAGATTTGGATCCTGGCTAACTTTTGGGCATCGGTATCAGGCTTCTCCGTCTTTGGAGAATCCCTATCCACCTCGACCAAAGGCTTGCCAGACCCGAGCGACTGCCTCTTTTGGGCCCTCTACCCGTTCGACAACAACAACCTACCCGAGCTTCGCGCCCCCGTCTTGTCCTGTCCTTGCGGATGCAAGAGAGTGGCTTCCAGTGGTCGCTTACGCACGATTTCCAGTCCTCTCCAGTCAAGTCGCCAAGGTGTCCAATCGCCAGCTCGAGTTATGCCAATATTATCACTTGATCACCACTGGCTGGACTATCCTAAAGGGAAATCCAGTGACACGAGCAGCTTTACGGCTTGGCAAACCGGGCGACGTGATTCATATCGAAGGTCGGCAGAGAAGGCCTGTAGGGATAAGAAAAAGAACCCAGTCGTAGGGAGAGCCTCCTGTTGGCTGTGGTATAGTCGTTGTGTCGTCTGTACTTACATGCCCAATTCCTCCGGTAGGGATCAAAGGGTGCCCGAAACTGACTGTGAGAGACGCGCGAATTTTAGAGGTACCTCGAAGAGGCTGATGATAACCAAATCAGGGCCCTTTCAGCTGCAAGCCTCACCAGGGTCAAGACATCCATTGAAAGGAGGCATTTCTCAACCACTACCACTAACCCTTGCGGCCGTGAATCTCCTGATTTGAGACCTCACCGAAGTGAAAGCAGTATCGAGCTGCTCGGCGCAAACGAACGTTGTCGCAGAGAAATCCGGTTTAGGCGACGTCAGTCTCTATTTTTGAAATATTGTCCATCCACCCATATCATAGTCTGCGGCCGCAGCTCGACCGGAAATCGCGATGGAAATACAGCAGTGGCAGCGTGCCGACTCCGACATTGACAGGAGCTCGGTCGATTCCTTTGGCCAGCACGACGATGACTGTCCGGGTTGTCAGAGGATTCTCAAAGCGGAGGAGGAGAAATTCAGGAGCGTGACTGCAGTCTGCGAGGCTGTCGAGGAGGTGGGATCAAGTCGCGGGCTAAATCGAGAAGGTGAGCACGAGATCTCTCAGGTCCAGTTCCCAAGCCTTATCCAGGGCGAGGACGATTTTCTCGGCCTGGGCTGGCAGTTTTTTTCTTCTTTTCTTTTGCCTAGCATCCGTCGCTCGTGAGACCGCGCTGCCCAGATTTGCTCTTGGTGTGCTGGGGAGAGCAGTTTCATTTGAAAGCTGGGCTCGGAGGCGGCTGGCTCCCCAGGTTCCGTCCGAGTTGGCGGCCCCTGGCTCTAGTTATAATGGTACCGTGCTTGCTCTCGACAAGGTCGATGAAAGCTGTGTCGCAATGAGCCAACAGTGCCCCTCCCCTCTTCAATCAACCCCCAACTTCAATGTTCCCATTACCCCTCAAAACCCCCACTAAGAGCACCAAATTGGAGCCTTGTGAGTGGCCACATTTGGGGGTTCAAGGCCCTAAAAGTGTCAGGGTCCACGTACACGCCATCCTCAGCTAAATTTCGTCACCACCGGTCAATTGGCTCCATACCGTCGTTGGGGGTTCGGCCAACGAGGGGAGTTCCGAAATAGATTTGAACTTTGACACTTGCACGCGGGGCGGGTCGTGGATTAACCAGCTCGAGGCGGAGCTGATCAAGTTTGGGTCGGTTGAAAACCACGCTAGCTTGATCGCTTTACTGATCCACCGATGATTCACATCTGCCTCGTGATCACATTTTCGTTCCCCAGCCCAGAAAGAAAAACCCTTTTTGTTTTACGAGCGCGAAATGCTGTCGGACTTTCTAGAGTGCTAATCCGTACGCAAAGTCGCAGAAGATATGTCGCTACCAACCCTCAGCTCAACCATTGGGTTATTGTACCCCGACGGCGCCTACCCGCAAGCTCCTCCTGAGCTCATCCACAAGCTTCACCACGATAGCTCCGTGTTGACGATCGCAGTTCGCCCCGACCTTGAGTACATCTTCGCTGGCACCGAGGGCGGCGAGATCGTTGTCTGGTCCCTCGACACTTTTCGCCAGGTCTTTCGAGTCCAAGCCCACAAGCGCGGTGTGCTGTCCCTCTCACTCTCCCCCGATGGCTCCCTTCTCTTTTCTAGCGCCGGCGACCCGCTCGTCAATGTGTGGTGCCCAAAGTCCATGACCCGCCTTTACGAAATTTACAGCACATACGACGTCGGCGATCTCTTTTCCATTGCCTATAGTCAGCAGCGCGATACTCTCTATATCGGTGCGCAGAATACCAGCATCCAATGGGTCACCCTGACCGACCCAAATGTCCGCGTGCCTCGCGATTCCGCCCGCCACCCCGATCGCAGGAACCACCGCTTTTTCGACTCGAAAGCTGTTGGTGGGACTTGCACTCCTCGCCGCAGCGACCAAAAATGCGCCCTAATTCCCAAGGCAGACACTGTCCTCGAGATCGACCCGAGCGCCGTATACAACTTCGCGCATTACGGATACGTCTACTGCATGTTGATGGCAAAAGGTCCCACTGTGCTGGTAGACTCGGACGAAGATGTTTTGATATCAGGTGGTGGAGACGGCACCATCAAGCTTTGGCGGCTAGGAGTCGATGAGCCGAGCGATTCGGATAGCCGGTCCTCCGATGTGGAGCACGGTATCACGGAGATCATGTCCCTGGGTGCCGATGACGCCGAGTCCGTTTTGTCACTAGCTATTGACGGATCTTTCCTTTATGGCGGCAAGATTGAGGGCATCATTGAACTATGGGATCTGGATACCAAGCAGAAGCTGAGATCAATCAAGGCGCATAGGAGCGACGTGATGTCTCTGCAGATGGGCTGGGGTATCTTGTGGAGTGGAGCTGCGACCGGATCTGCTGCTGTAAGTGCTCCTCTGCGCAAAAGATGACACGCATCACGGCCAAAGAATCCTTCTTCTAACTTGATGCTCCTTTTTAGAAACATAACACGGCGCATTACGGGGAATACAAGGAAAAGAGTGGCGATGTGAGCCAAAAGTACCAGTGCCTTAGTCGGTGGAAGGCGCACGATGGCAAGATTCTCTCCTCTGCGGTCACTGCCTACAATCACCACAACTACTTCATCACAGGTGCGAATGACGACGAAGTTTGCATCTGGAAGGCCAACACCTCCGAAAAGCACGCAGAGGAAACCATCGATGATAGCGTCTTCACCTCCACTCTTAGGGAATTCGTTTCCTACAAGACGGTATCTTCACGGCCCGAGTTTGCCGAAGACTGCCGAAAGGGCGCGACGTTTTTGGGTGCCCTCTTCAAGAGGTTAGGCGGACAGGTAGAGATGTTGAGCACGGAAAAGGCCCATAACCCGGTCGTTCTAGCCACATTCCAAGGCAAACGAGAACCCAAGGAGCAGAGGAAGAGGATTCTCTTCTATGGCCATTATGACGTGGTCCCCGCCGACAACAAGAAGGGAAACTGGACATCTGGCGATCCCTTCAAGATGGAAGGCAGGAACGGGTACCTGTACGGACGCGGTGTCAGTGACAACAAGGGCCCTATTCTAGCTGCCTTGTTCGCTGTGACGGATCTCATGCAAGCCAAGGCTCTAGAAAATGACGTGGTGTTCCTCATTGAGGGGGAAGAAGAGTATGGCTCCAGGGGCCTGCAAGAGACTGTCCGGAGGAATAAGTCGGTAATTGGACATGTCGACTATATCCTCCTCGCCAACAGTTACTGGCTGGACGACGAGGTGCCTTGTCTGACCTATGGTCTGCGTGGAGTGTTGCACGCGACTGTCTGTGTAGACTGCAACTTCCCTGATAGACACTCCGGTGTGGACGGTTCATGCCTCAAGAATGAACCACTCTCAGACCTGACCTCGGTTTTATCCAAGCTCAAAGGCCGAGGCAACCAGATCCTCATTCCCGGGTTCTACGATAACATCCTTCCCAAGACACGTGACGAGGAGGAGCAATTCAACGAGATTGCCAGGATCCTCATGAAGAGGCAGCCCGAGCTCGGCCCTCTTGATAGACAAAAGGCACTGCTCTGCGCCCGCTGGAGGGAACCCAACCTCACTATTCACAGATACAAGGTCTCCGGTCCCGACGGCAGCCTGGTGAGCAGCCACGCGAGCGCCAGCATCAGTTTGCGACTGGTACCCGGCCAAGAGGTTGACGAGGTCATCAAGTCTCTGCAGTCGTACCTCCAGTCCGAGTTTGCCAAGCTTGAGTCCGACAATAGCTTCACTCTCAAAGTGGACAACAAGGCCGAGCCCTGGCTGGGTGACCCTAAGAATTACATTTTCCGCACTCTTGAGCGTGCGCTGATGGAGGTTTGGAGCGATTCGTTTGAGCCAGCCGAAGCCGGTAACGATCACGAAGATGGCAGCGAGAGCGACAGCGAGAGCGAGACGGACGACGAAGAGGCCAGCTCCATCCCCGAACCAGTGAGCCAGCCTTCCAGGGCCCCGAAGCCCAAGAGGCCCCTCTTCATCCGCGAGGAGGCTCCATTCCTGCCATCCGTTTCCTCGAAAAAGAGTTTGGGGCCCCCGCGGCCCATCTTCCCTGCGGCCAAGCCAGCGACTCGGCTCATTTGGACAACGAGCGCTTGCGCATTTTGAATCTCGTCAAGTGCCGCGAAATCTTTGGCCGAGTGTTTGGTAGGCTTTAGGTCCCGGGAGAATGAGTGGGTACGCGAGGGTCATATTGATAGGACGCATGGTAGTTTGCTTATGCATTGTAATTCTTGATTTTTAAACTTCATGGAGGCGTTCGGATAGTTAGACGGCGACATCGCGGCCATACACAAAGATTGGGGAAAAAGGCCAAAAGGGCTGGAAACGAACAAAAAAAAGATTGCACGTGTAAATGTCATAATGATTGGTAAAGAATAGATAATGATGATCTGCCAATTTACGTTCCGAGTGATGGAAGTTGGATGGCGCCAACTTCTGAGAGAGCGACAAGGCGGTTTGAACATCAGGGGTAAACATTAAGAGTTGTTACATCTATGGTGATGAATGCTATCGGGTACATCCGTTCACCTTGTTGTTCTTCGAAAGTCTCGCGTTGACGATGGCGCGAGCAGAGAAGTGAACTCATTTCGTTTTCCCTTGACCTCCCACAGCCAAACATATCCATACATTGAATCCGAGTCTCAACCCAGGAGGAAAATAAATCGGCCCAATACCAGTCTAAAAATCACCTTTGCAGAAAATCAGTCCTATCCGGTTAGCAGTCCACTGCTGCTTCCTTCTTCCTCTTTCTTTTTACCACACCTAACCTCAATCCCCTAATGCCCTCCCTTCCCCCTTTTATTCCTGTCGCGGGCTTAACGACCAATCCGCAAAGAAGAGATGTGGGACTTCATCCCGAGATGGGAAAGGGGAAAAGGGAAGCATTGCTTTCGTGTCTATGATACAGATGCCAACGCCAGAATTTTAATGTGTTGATTCTTGGTTCCGGAATGCAGAGATGATTATGGCGAGAGATTCGAGCCAGGTGAAATATACACGACGCCGTCCGCTCAACGACGGTGCCAAATAACGGGATAACGATGTTGGACAAAACGAATAAAAGAGACAAAACGTGAAGTTGGAGGGGAGTAGAGATTTCTCTTGTTGTTCATGTTCGAGAGGTCGTTTCGAGGCCGCGGTCGAGTCGGGCATTTAGTGACCGGGTGCGGTGCTCGTCGTCCATCGAAGATAGGTCTGGTCGAATGCGGAGGGCATTACGCTCGCGAACAAGGGTGCTGAGCGATCCGCGGGTTTAAGCCATCGCTCGCTCAGGTTGAGGAGGGGCATTGGAGCCTGAGATAGATATTGGGTTAGAACGCTGGCCGGATACATCGACGTGTAGTGGACGGAAAGCTGATAAAAAAGCGGTTCCTTTGTGGTCTGTCCACTTACCTCGAGCTTAGTGTTGCCGGCGAAGTATTTTCCGATGCCGATACCGACACCCTCAATGACGGCCAAGAGAACGGCGCAACCAATGGCACCGTTCCTCATAGCCTTGTAGCCACCACGTACGGCAAGAGCACCACCGGTGAAGAAGCCGGCAATGATGGCATTGTAAGGATCTTCCTTTTGCCTGACACCTTTGACGGCGCAGTCGAATGTGGAGAAGAGACCGCCCCAGACACCGAAGTTACCACCGAGGACGGGGGCGCGGAGCTTGATGGCGGTGATGGCGCCAGCGCGACGCTCGCCGTAGGGGCTGTTTCGGAAACCCTTTACGCCGTGCCAGATAGTACCGCCGATAGCCTAATAACCAATGCGAATGTGAGCAAGCGACATAATGAAGGGGGTTATTCCCCCAAAAACAGATAAGGAATGGAAGGCTCCTGTCTGGGGTGATGACAGGCAAGGCTGGGTCATCAACTCACGCCCATGCAAAAGCACCACCAAAGTCATTGAGAATGACCCAGGGGCAGGGATCTCGCTCGTGGTTCATGTTGTATGTATAGAGTCGGCGCTACGCGTCGTATAGTATGAAGCACGAATCGAAACGAGAGGGCGACGCGGTCGGGTGGGCGGCGGGAGATGGGTATTATTCAGTTGCCGAAACAGTGATGTTGGTAGGTGATGGATCTCGAGAAGCAATGGATCACCTTTGAGGACGGGTCAGGATTTCAAAAACTGAAATTTTGTCGGGTCTTCGGGAAAATTCGTCAGGCGCGGCGTGGCGTCACTTGACGGACAGCTTGGCCAGCTGGCATTGAATTGCAGCCAGCCGCCGACTTTTTATTCCTCGGTGCTTATGTAATGTGGATCATCCGCAGGGGCTTCCTTTTCACGAAGCTCCAGAGGACAAAGAATAGGAGAGAAATTTTACGAGGGAAGATGTTTTCGAGAATATATTCGCCCGAAGGTGAAAGTTCAACATTAAAAGGGTGTTTAAAAGCTACAACATTTCAATTATCTTCGCCAGGCCCCTAGAACATCAGCGCAGCACCAGCCGCACCAGCGGCGAGAAGGCCACCGAAGAGAGAGACACCCATAGCAGCGGCACCAGAGTCACCTATAGAATCCACCATTAGCGAATCTTAAACTACAAATTGCAAAGTCATCTACGAGGGAAAGGGCTCGAAACTCACCAGAGCCGCCCGTGGCAGCGGGGCCAGATGTACTAGCATCGGGGGCACCCGTAGTCTGGGTGCCGCTTGTGGTCGGGGCCGAGCCAGTAGGTGCATCAGTGGTGTCCTCATCCGCGCCGGTGTTGTTCGCGGGGTCAGTCTCCTCGGGCGCGGGATCGGCAGTGCTCGTGGGCAGGAACCGGGGCGAGTATGTCTCGGTGCCCTTGTAGGCGCCGCATCCGGGGACGGTGGTCTTGGGAGCGCGGCCGCCACCGCAGTCGAGGATCTCGCAGATCTCGCCGGTGTCGGGAAGGTAGTAGAGGTGGGTGGTGTAGACGGTGTTCTCGTTGCGGCCGGTGACGGTGACGACGAGATCGGTGGTCTCGCAGCCGCCCAAGTCGGTTTTCGCGAGAGCGCTGGTGGCCAAGAGGGCCGAAAGGGCGAAGCGTTTGAAAGCCATGACGTCAGGTCGGTTTGAGGATGCTCTTTTTCTTCTTTTTCCTTTCTCTTTGCTTTTCTTCCTTGGATTAATCCTCGGTTTTCCTAGACGTAGGCGGGGGTGAACGAGTGACTGGGGATGAACGAATGGACGTCTCTGGACAAGAGAGCAAGGTGATGGTGAATTGTAGAAGGGAGTGCGAGAGAAAATCAAGGGGCGGCTCTGGAATATTTGAAGGATGCGGCCGCTTATATTATTACCGTGTGACCGAGAATGGTCAGCCAAAAGCGCCGAGATTGTGGCTAGGTGAACCGTTGATTGTCAAGGCAGCAGGGAGTACCTCGTCCGCGGGATGCAGCGGCGAGTTACCTTGAGCTAGCGCTCCGCTTTCCTTTGCCTAGAGCACGGGTGAGTTGCTCCGCCACGCCGGGACAATGCGTCTCTCTCGTGGCATTTGTGATCGATCGATCCGCCACCCACGAAGTACGATTGGAACATGAAAACTCTTGACATCTTCGAATTCCAGATTTTTCTGGACAGGGCCGGTACCAACCTAATTTTCTTCCCGTTCTTTTGATAATATCCTTTTTCCGCAGTGCTTTGCCCCTGAGTTTATTCTTGTCTCCTTGAGTCCTAAGTTCGTGGGCCTCATAATGCTGGGGGAGGGGCGCAGGATGCAGGATCATGCCCTGTCTAACGACTTGGCGAATGCTACTTCAAATTTTAAGATTTGACCCCATGGGTATTATTTCAAGGTTGGTGCACAAATCATTCCTTCACGAAAGTTCCACGTCCACATTCGTCGAGGAGCAGGCAGAAACTAGCATGGGGGAACCACCTCCAAGGCAGATCGTGCAAGCTGGACGTACTGCTATTATCATTTCGTCAAACGGAACATCTGCACTCACCTCACATCAGTGGCCTTCAATATAATTGATGGATTGGAATCTAGAGAGTAAGTAAGGATGGTCCCGCCCTATCACCATCCCACCCTCGCTTGTTCACAAACCAACAACAGGGTATTAGTGCACACTCATTGCCTTTTTCGGCGTAAGCGCCTGATCCCGTGAGAAGGAAATGCACCCCAAACCCACTTACTTTCCGTCTCTCAACATCGTCTTCTCAAGATGTGCGCGCGCGAAATGGTTCGTCTGTGACCCCGTGGAACATAAAGACGCCGGCAGAGTAGCGGAGCACCTGCTTGGCCCATGCACGACCCCGGATTTCTACTCACCTCAGAGTGGCCGGATGAAGTCGTGCGGAGAGGCCAATATCGCCGGCAAAAGAAAAACAAAAAGAAAAGGCAGTGGCAGCATATGACACACGTCGTTCCTCGTGGGGCGAGGGCCCGACCTACAGATCACAATGGGCTCGCTCTGTTTTGTCTAAACAGCTCGGTGCGTTGCATCGAAAGAGGCTCACCAGGTGCTCTTCGATACATGAATGGATGTCAAGTAGTATATGAAGAGCGATATGCCTTCCCGTACTCCTCGCAAAGAGCTCTGGAGACTCAGGTCATATATACAACACTACTAAATGGTTGGAAGATATTTACACCGCAAAACCATACAGCAAGCGAAACGAAAACCAGTCCTTTAAATCTTCTTGGCTAGGCTTCACTCACAGGAGATCTCGAGATCGTTTTTCTTCTTTTTCCCGGTAGCGAGTGGCAGTTGGTTCCGGAACACCCACCTTTCTGTGCCAACGTTTGCGGCCGGGCCAATGCCAGGAGGATGAAGAGTGCCGGCCTCTGCATTTTAGCGTCGGTACTCCCCAAGCCTTCGGTCATTGTAAGAAACAGCCGCCTCCTCCTTCACGGCTTCATGCATCATTCGGCATTGTGTTAAGCAACCCTAATAGATTGTTTCCCCCGGTTTGTGGTCAACGGTATTGTCTCAGAGCCATGGCAATACGTCAGGTACGAATATTTCCAATGCCAAACCCCCATCGTTCTGCTCTCCTATCCTTTCAATCTTCTCAGTACCATTCTACACCAGGGCAAGCTCTCTAACTTAAGAGCGTGCGTGACAGGAATGTGACACTCGGGCCTCCGGTTTATGATTCCCCAAGTATGGAGACATACCAAGAAAATCCCATGTTGGATCTTAGTTCAGAGAACATGAGATGCGGCAGGAACAGGGCGGTTTCCGGTGTAGGGTCGGACGTGGCCACTGTAGTTGCTGGAGATACCGTAGGGTTCAAGTCCTCGGGGCGGGTAAGTTCGTGCCCCCAATACCATTGCATCATAAACAAAAAGGGCAAATCAAGTAGAAGATGAACGGGGCCTTCGCCCCCTGATGTTGAACTGCTCATTAACGTGTGGTAGATTGGGCTTGATATCTATCACCCCGGTCCCGGTCTCGCCTATCTCTCAAAGGCTCCCACCGGGATGGGTGTCAGGGACTACGACGGAAGCGGCGATTGGTTCAAAATCGCGGAGATAGGGCTCAACGTCACGTACAGTGCCTTGCCCGGAAACGAAGGTAAAATATCATGGGACCTGAGGGGGCGATACGAGGTAAGACCAGGCCAGCGCCGCTCATCTTGTCCAATTGGTGTGCGGACAACGAGAAGCTTCGTCCGCTAATTCGATTCATCATTCACGTGTAGTTTATGATCCGGATTCCGGAGAGGACACCGCCCGGTGAATATCTCCTCCGTGTTGAGCATATATTTCCCAGCTCGCAATGGAATGAAACACAATTCTACGTGAATTGTGCTCAAATCAATGTCGTTGGGCCTGGCGGTGGTAGGCAAACTCCTTGATGCCCGTTAGAGCCTTGCGAACGAGATCATTAATACCAATATACTAGGCTCCCTGGCCCTTCGACCCGATTCCCGGGGGCCTATACCAATGAGGATCCGGGAATCCTCATTTCTCAGGAGTTATTTAATGCCGGTGCCTGGCAAGTTGTCCCCGGCATCGATCCCCGGGAGTATCAAGCGCCAGGTCCTGCAGTTTGGAATGGGGATTGACGGGAAAACTTATCCTTACCTCGGTCTATTCTTTTCGTCTTCATACTTTTCTTTTACATGTATGTCTTGGGAAAGTAAAGTTGAACCATTTTGTTGCTCGACGGCAGGCTCGGGGTCAATCAATAGGGCTCGAAGTCGGAGTACGAACACTCCGCACTTGTGCATACTTGTACATGTATCGTCCATCGGACCTTATAATGCATGCGGGGATGTCTTCAACACTTGCGAGGTGCAATTTCCAGCCAACTCTGGTTCTTGAGGAAATCTCTAGCATGTGGGTTCTATAGAATCATGCTTGAAGATCAGGGCCTCTTCAGTTGACCTCTATACCGGCGGGGATCTTTCTACCTCCTGAGCGTGCGGGTCCTCACATAATTGCCGCGCCTTTTTCAAGTAGAGTCAAGCAGATATTCGGGATACGGCATACATGTAACCATCATAGTTGCCATCGTGAGGCGATGGTTGTCCTCAGTTCAAGTCGATGGCTAGGAACGGCTGAGGCAGTCAGTCCTGTGAGTATCAATCACCTCCTCCATGCGAACTGAAGCAACAGAATCCAGGACCGGAACAACTGTCGAAGTAGTTTCATGTTTCACTCTTCTGGTGGCTAATCGCTTGTGTGCCCTTTCGTCCCTGAGCGCGAGAGCAGGCGCTAACCAATCTAGAATCCATCATCTTTTCGTGACGCTTCGAGATCACCATTGATGACAGCTTCAGTTGGCCAATCACGTTCACAGTTGAATTGTTCTGCGTCCGCCTCAATTAATGATACTCTCAAGAGCCTTGCCCCAGCCTGGTCAATCAATGGAGGGCAGGTGACAGTCAGGCTGCGAAGGCCAATATACCCCCGCACCAACGCGTCTGCCGGGGAACTCCAGATGTTTCCATAACCTACTCTCCATCCCTACGTGCTCCCAAGAACATTTAAAGTGCCAAAACTAACCCTTTCCATCGCCATGGAAGCTCTAGGCGTGGCTGCAAATGTCATCGCGGTGGTCGATTTGACAGCAAAGGTCTCCACGCTTCTCATTCAATATGGGATAAAGGTTCAACACGCCAAAGATGACATCGCCCAACTTCAATCCCAAATCTCGTGCATGGATGGTGCCTTGAAAAGGATCCAAAATCTAACCCAAACGAACGATGTGAGACTTGAAGCAACCCAGGAGATGCTCAGTGCACTCGGCAACAGCGAAGATCTGCTCGCAGAACTCAAGAAGAAACTGAAGTTTAGCACGAAGAAGAAGCTGATGCGGCGACTGGGTTTTCGAGCCTTGAAGTGGCCGTTTCAGGCCGGCGAGGTTTCCAGAATAGTTCAGAACCTTGCACGATATTCCAATGATATATCTTTATCATTGCGTATCGACCAGACGTAAGCCTCACGCGCCATCTCAAGGTGATATTCAAAGATAAATAACTCGCTGACCAAATATCTACTCTCACTAGGGCTGCTCTCCTAGAACTAGATCAGAGAGATGCCCTGAATAGCCTCCCAACCGCCGATGGCGCCGCTTTCGACTCCCATGATGAAGAGCACAACGCAACTTGTATTCGAGGAACACGTGTTGAGCTCCTACAACGGATATCCCAGTGGGCGAGTGATTCCCAAAGCGAAGCAATCTTCTGGCTGAATGGAATGGCTGGAACAGGGAAGTCCACCATCACGCGTACTGTCGCCCGAGCTTTCGACGAGGCTGGAATTTTAGGCGCCAGCTTTTTCTTCAAAGCTGGAGAAGCAGAGCGGAGTAACGTTGCCAAGTTCTACACAACCATTGCCTTCCAGCTTGCCTCGAGACATGGGGCCGTCACACCACACATCTTGAAAGCCCTCAACGCTAACCCCGGCGTAAGTGGGAAGGCTATGAAGGAGCAGTTTGAGAACTTAATTCTCATGCCTCTCGTGGAGAGTCGACTTCGAAACCTTGTAATTGTGGTTGACGCACTCGATGAGTGTGAATCAGACAAGGATGTGAAGACCCTCATTGGGTTGTTCAGCGACGCCAAAACCTCGAATTTAGGTTTGAAGGTCTTCCTTGCTAGTCGACCGGACCTACCTATTCGCCTCGGGTTCAAGTCGATCGAGGGAAAGTATAACGACCTCGTACTTCACGAGATAGCCGAAGACATCGTCGAAGACGATATTTCCACCTTCTTGAGGCACGAGCTGGCCGAAACCCGAAGAATATACGCTGACGCTGACCTAACTGAGGGCTGGCCTGGCGAGCCGGTAATCCGGTATCTATCCAAGAAAGCCAAGCCGCTCTTCATCTTTGCCGCAACCATGTGTCGTTTTATAAACGATGAGAACATTTGTGACCCCGAAGAACAACTCCGAAGAATCCTACAGGAACAGATTGGCAAACGCAAGTCCCAGCTTCATACAACGTACCTTCCGGTCCTCAATCGGCTGGTGGAGAGGCCTCTGGGTTCACCAGACCCCCACTTACTGAAGGAGAAAAGAATGACGTCCTCCAACGTTTCCAGATTGTTGTTGGATCTATCATCGCCCTCGCTGACCCCCTTTCGATTAATTCTCTGGCGAATCTCCTCGATAAGGAACAAGGCAATATAAAGAGTATACTACATCTCCTCCACTCCGTCTTGCACATTCCATCTGATACCCTGGCTCCGGTTCGGCTTCTTCACCTGTCTTTTCGCGATTTCCTTCTTCATCCCGAAGACAACTCTTTCTTTATAGATGAGAAAGAAGCGCATAGAATTCTGGCATTGGGTTGCTTACGTCTAATGAAGCAAAAATTCCGGCGCAATATATGTGGGCTTGACGCTCCCGGGACCCTTCATTCAGAGATCTGTCCCCGGCAGGTAGCGGACTGCATACCTTCAGAGCTTAGATATGCTTCTATGTATTGGGTCTATCATTTGGATCACGCTGGATTCCTGGCACGCGATGGTAGCTGCGATAGTACCGGCGACGTTTATCAGTTCATGACAGCTCATTTCCTACACTGGCTTGAAGCGCTGGGTCTTTTGGGAGCGGTCACACATGGGATCCAAATTATGCAAAGACTTCATTCACGGCTTACAGTTTGTATCACCCTATTTCTACACGCACAATATTAATCAATTACTATACTAATCCGGGCCTAGGACCTACATGTATCGCCACACTCTAAGCTTTTCCATTTGGTGCATGACGCAAATCGGTTCATCCTCCATAACAGGTGGTCCATCGAGTGTGCACCACTGCAAACCTACTATTCTGCATTGATCTTCAGCCCTTTTCAGAGCTTAGTTAAGGCCATTTCTAAAAGCAGGAACCACTATTCCTCATCCCTAATGTTACTACATCTGACACACAGTGGAGTCCTTGTCTGTTGACACTCGAGGGCCATAAAGCCGCTCTCACCGCTGTCGCATTTTCAAGTGATGGCAAACTCCTTGCTTCTAGCTCTCGTGATGGCACAGCTCGGATCTGGGATGTAGCAACAGGCCACGAGGTACAGATACTCAAGGGTCATAGTTACCTGGCCACAACTATCTCATTTTCAAGTGATGGCAAACTCCTTGCTTCCGGCTCTGGTGATAGCACAGCTCGGATCTGGGATGTGGCAACAGGTCATGAGGTACAGACACTCAAGGGTCATAGTGGCTCAGTCACATCTATCTCATTTTCAAGTGATGGAAAACTTGCTTCTGGATCTGAGGATGGTACAGCTCGGATCTGGGATGTGGCAACAGGCTATGAGGTACAGACACTCAAGGGTCATAGTGACTGGGTCACATCTATTTCATTTTCAAGCGATAGCAAGCTCCTTGCTTCTAGCTCTCGTGATGGCACAGCTCGGATCTGGGATGTGGCAACAGGCTATGAGGTACAGACACTCAAGGGTCATAGTGACCTGGTCACATCTATCTTATTTTCAAGTGATGGTAAATTCCTTGCTTCTGGCTCTCATGATAACACAGCTCGAATCTGGGATGTAACAACAGGCCATGAGGTACGGACACTCAAGGGTCATAGTGGCTGGGTCATATCTATCTTATTTTCAAGTGATGGTAAACTCCTTGCTTCTGGCTCTCATGATAACACAGCTCGAATCTGGGATGTAACAACAGGCCATGAGGTACAGACACTTGAGGGTCATAGTGGCTCAGTCACATCTATCTCATTCTCAAGTGATGGTAAACTCCTTGCTTCTGGCTCTGGTGATAGCACAGCTCGGATCTGGGATATAACAACAGGCCATGAGGTACAGACATTTGAGGGTCATAGTGGCTCAGTCACATCTATCTCATTTTCAGGTGATGGTAAGCTCCTTGCTTCTGGCTCTGAGGATAGAACAGCGCGGATCTGGGATGTGGTAATAGGCTATGAGGTACAGACACTTAAGGGTCATAGTAGCTCAGTCATATCTATCTCATTTTCAAGTGATGGTAAGCTCCTTGCTTCTGGCTCTTGTGATAGCACAGCTCGGATCTGGGATGTGGAAACAGGCGATGAGGTACAGACACTTAAGGGTCATAGTGGCTGGGTTACATCTATCTCATTCTCAAGTGATAGCAAACTCCTTGCTTCTGGCTCTCGTGATAACACAGCTCGGATCTGGGATGTAGCAACAGGCCATGAGGTACAGACACTCAAGGGTCATACTGACTGGGTCACATCTATCTCATTTTCAAGTGATGGCAAACTCCTTGCTTCTGGCTCTGAGGATAGCACAGCTCGGATCTGGGATGTGGTAACAGGCGATGAGGTACAGATTCTTGAGGGTCATAGTGACTGGGTCACATCTATCTCATTTTCAAGTGATAGTAAGCTCCTTTCTTCTGGCTCTCGTGATCGCACAGCTCGGATCTGGGATGTGGAAACAGGCGACGAGGTACAGATACTTGAGGGTCATCGTGACTGGGTCACATCTATCTCATTTTCAAGCGATGGCAAACTCCTTGCTTCTGGCTCTTGTGATAGCACAGCTCGGATCTGGGATGTGGTAACAGGATCTAGCCTCTCTATAATGAGTATAGATGCAGGAGTCTATATTATATCCTTCCCAGACCATCTATCCCTTCTCACAAATCATGGTCTTCTAAGTCTACCTACCCTCCAAACTCCTCATGACAGTCTAATGTCTGGAGCCCAAACTAGCTCTCTAGTTGAGGTGGTATGTAGGATAGGCTATGGCGTTTCTCGAGATGGGATTTGGATTACCTATGGGGATTCACGAATTATTTGGTTACCAACTGCATGGCGCCCGCGTGTGGCGGCTACGTCATTGTCTGCAGTCGCTTTGGGGACAACGAATGGGCGGGTGGTTATACTAAGCTTCTCAGGGACTCCTGAACTTTATCGATCTACCAAGAGCACCCGTGGTCTTACACGAGAACCAAAACCTTCCCACGCCCCCATTGGATAGACTGGGCACACTCTTGAACGATATCTTCAACAGCTACTAGGCCATGAGTGGCTAACTCAACAGCGACTTTGACTAGTCTTAACTACACTGGTATTCGAGGATACCGTGGCTGTACGATTTAGCCCTTGGAGAGTATCTCTCTATATCCTCTGGAGAGGAGATACTTCTCATTGCCGACTGAAATCCTGAGAAAGGGGGCGGAAGTGATATCAAATAAACAAGTTCCATTAATCACGCTCGAATGTAAGTCCTTTTTCCTTTCTCCGCGGCAAATATCATCTCAGGAAACTTGTATATGCACATCTTTAAGATTGAGAACTGTGACCTGACAGTCGCTCATCCCAGGGTATCACACAAAAATTACAAATAAGAAAATGAAAATAAAAGAAACCAAGGATGCTGATGCCTACACCTCTCTCTTCACCACCCAAGACCCGTGGGTCTTGATCGGTGTAAGCGGGCTCCCTCTCGAAAGTGGCGTACCTGGGGCTGTTCTTTGAACCGGGGTGATGGGCGTGATGGGCCCCGTCCTAGAAACGGGGCTCATATCCAACTCATATACGGAATCCGCTGTCGCGACAACCTTGAGATCGATGACGGGCCACTCCTTCTCGTCCGTGGTGGGCACGTCGGCGACGCCGGGCTCCCACTTCTCCACACCGACGGCGCCATAAGCTAACCTCTGAAGTTGGAAGACGCCGTCAAACACCCAGGTGAGCATACGCTCGTCTCCGTGGCCGGACATGCGCCGGAAGAGGGCGACGAGGGGCTCGACGAAGCTGGCGACGATGATGACGATGAAGCCAACGGACATGATGAGGACGATGGCGAGGAAGTTGAAGTTGCGCACGCCGTCGGCGTTGCGGATGCGCTGGTTCATGCACGAGGCGACCCAGGGTCCTCGTCCAGGACCTTGAAGAAGGGGAGGAGGGTGGCGTCCTTTTGCGGCGTGGCGAATTGCACGGCGTCGGACTGGAGGAGGTACAGGGCCATGGCGAACCAGCGGCGCACCTCTCGGCGCCACTGATCGACGGGGAGGTTGTCGTACTGCTCGCCGTAGAGCACGGTCTTGCCGGCCATGACGATGTCGCCGGGGGCGTAGCCGACGACCTGGGCGATGTCCTGGCGCAGGAGGTTGATGGCCACGCGCATGGCGGTGCTGGCCTGGCGGTCGTTCATGGCGATCGGGGTGAGGAACTCCCACACGAGGTCGTTGGGGGTGAACTTGCGGCAGCCGCCCATGCCCGGCACGCTGGGGTTGCAGAACTCGTGCTCTTCCCGGCAGGCGAGGACCTTGACGGGGGTCGGAGCCGTCCTCGGTGAAGATGGGGTCGTTGGTGGGCACCACGTTGGTCACGTTGTTGGTTTGGATGAAGAAGATGGAGGCGGTGTTGTTGGCCTCGGCGGGCGGGCCGATGAGGGTTGTGTTGGCCATCCATCCGATTAGGCCCTCGGCAGCCGAGGCGGAGTCATAAACATAGGGCCTGGATGAGTTAGTTTTTCCATTTCTACGAGAACAAAAGAAAGAAAAAGAAGGAAACAAGGGGAAAAGTCCCTCGAGAGGTAAGCCAGTTCCCCGATTCTAATCTTTTAGTTTGGGGAAGGGGCGGTTGTGCTTACTCAATACGATAGTTGTCGACGGATCGAAGAGTATCCGAGTACAAAAAGGTCTCTTCGTTTTGGGCAAAAGGGCCGTACATGAAGGCCGTGGCGTCGGCCCTGCGGATGGTGTGGTCGCTCTGAATAGGCGAGCACTCGGCGGTGCGCCTATAAATGATGGTGTCTCGCGCATCGGCGTTGATACCGAGGTGGCGATTCGAGTTGACGGTTGCGACGAAACGGACGGGCACGCTATTGGTGGTGATGCAAAGAGACGAGTCCGGGAAGGGGCAGGGAATGTCCTGCTCTTCAATCTCGATCACGGGCACGGGAAAGCGGGAGCACTCGGGGGCGGAGACGTCGGCGCCGGCCGAGTAGCACAGGCGCTCGTACATCATGGCGGCCTCGAGGCGGCTCTTGAGGTAGATATACTCGGCCTGGTCAGAGCGGAGGCGTTCGGTGGGGACGTCGGGCAGGAAGACGTTGCAGGAGCTGCTCTGGACGAGGAACTGGGCGCCGGCGGTGGACCAGGTGAAGGAGACGAAGAGCTGGGCAAAGGTGGTGGCGACGAAGAAGATGAAGGCAACGAGGAAGATGCCGGAGAGGCGCTGGGCGACGCGGGCGAAGCCGAGGCGGGCGCGCCAGGCGTTGGCGACCTGGAAGATGAGTTGGAGGGCGTGGACGAGGCCGGTGCTGTTGCGCAGGATGGCCTGGATCTGGTGGTGCATGCCGTCGTGGGTGTTGCCTACGGTGCGGAACTGGTGGAGGGCGAAGCGCACAATGTTCCACCCGGCCAGGGCGGAGATACCGGCGAAGATGACGAGGAACGAGGACAGTAGCCCGGCCTGGGTCTCCTCCAGGGTCAGCGTCAACTGGCCGCCATCGGCGTGGTTCTTCCACAGGCCTATGAAGGGCTGCGGGGGCGTCGGGTTGAAGGACATGGTCGGCGATCTGGAAACTCTTCTTTTTCTCTTTTCTTTTTCCCTTTCGAATCGGCGGATCGAAGCAGGCGATGGCTCTCAGAGCTCAGATATCGCTGTTACTCAAGGGACGAGCAAGCAGTATTATCGGAGGAGGAAGGGGAAAGAAGGAAAGACCGGAGAACAACCTGTGGATCTCCATCCCAAGGCGCGCCCATCATGGGGTTCTAATATTCTTTCCTTGCCCTCCCCCTCTCTTCCACCTTCACCTCCGATCCTCAGAAGCCGTGAAACCAATTCTTTTGGTGGAGGCACAATACGGAGGGGGTGGGCAGCAACCAACAGCTTTTCGCTCCGCATCACACTGCGTGCGAAACCAACGCCATGCCGTCCGGATTTTCTGTCGCGATCGATTTTTCCCACCTTCTTCCTTTCCTTTTTTTTGCATATTCGTGGCTTTGCACCCAGTTTCATCCAACGTTGCCAGTTTCATCTGCGTGGTGTTCCCGTGCTGGGATGCAGGGGAAGGCCCAAGCGAAGAGGCAAGGCTCATCCCGCGCCGAATGTCATTGGCGTTGCCCGCGATGCTCAAACACACCCGGCTTCGCTTCCTGGCTCGTCATTGGTCCAACCTTATCGAGACAGGGAACGACGACAAGCCACGACTCGGAGGGGAGAGGGACAATAGCGTAATGAAGAAATGGGTTGCGTCAATGCGAACGGCATCACCATCCTTGTTGGTTGGCGCGAAAAGAGAGACAAGGGGAAGAAGAAAAAAGGAAAAAGGAAAAAGGAAAAAGGAAAGAAAAAGAGGGGTTCAATGCCTCCATCGTCGATTTGGGCGAACAATTCGACGGGGAAATCGTGGCGTTCCCCCTCCTCTTCATGAAGCTTGAACCTGGCTCTTGCGATGAGCCACACTACGATTCTACAATCCAAGGGTCGAACCCCTTGCCCTCCATGTCCGCAATCGTGGCTCCAACGCCCGCCGGTCGGTCGATTATTCGGCATCACTGGCTTTGACAGACTACCCCTAGCTAATAGATGCCTCGACCAAAGCGCTGTCCCGGGCGTTCAAGCCGCCTCACAGAACCTTTCTAGGCTGGTGGTGCTGGTCCCTATTGCGGCGAAGCTGGCTGGCAGCGCAAGAATGCCACGACTCTCAGGGCATCGCTCTCGTGACCCCGCGCCACCCTAGGCCACCCTAGGTTGGTGCACTTGGTGGGTGCAACATGCGACACCGTGAAGGCGCGGGTGGGCGACCCTTCTTACGATCGTGCATGTGTGATTCAGACACAAGCGGCGGACTTTTTGACTTTCACTTTCCTGGCGGGACTTCATCGCAGCACCTTGAGCTCGACGAGATACGATGTCGGGTGGGTGCGTCAAGCGTCAATTCACCAAATAGCCAGGGGAGGCACACAAGAAAAGAATGAAAGTGTGGCTTCGCCCTCCCTTTGTCGAGAAATGAGGGGAAAGTGTGGAATGTAGGAAACTTTTCTGTTTCAACCCCTCCGCCAACAGTCTCAGAGAACAACATACTCGACAGATGGGATCAAATTTGAGGGTTGGCAGCTGCATCATCAGAATCAAGACGAAAACTCGAAAAAAACAACATGAGAAACACAGAAAAGCAAAGACACAGCCTTCTTCCCCTGTTCTCGCTTCTACTTTCCGTTGCGTAAGAGAGAATGGAAGGGGAGGGGAAAATGGGTGGATAAATAGGCATAGGCTCGAGGATGAGCGTTCTTCCCGTCATCTTATCCTCTGCCCTCCTTAATGCCTGCTGCTAATGCCGCAGAATTTACCCCTCGAGTTGCGACCCCGTCGGCAATTGTTCTGGGCACAAGAATGGCCTTTTTGAGATAGATTGATCCCTAGGTTTATTGTTTTAGCACAATGATGCACAAGATTGTGCATCCTGTTTTATGTTGTTCACTGTTTGTTTCCTTTTTTTCTTATGGTCTTCTGGTCTTCTTTTCTCTTTTTCTTTTCTTTTATTTTTCCTTTTATTAACAAAAGATAATTCTTATTTTTCCTTCATTCCCCTGCCTCAAAGTGTTCCATGTTGTCTATGAAAATGCTCCATCTTGGTATCGTCGTCCGCACCCAGGCTCGTAGTCAAAAGTGGGCGCGCTAGGCTCCCTCCGTGATGGCCGGACGGACCGGGTGCGACTTAGCTTCCGATCAATTGATCAGAGAGGGCGCCACCCCTTCCGGATCCAAACCGGATCTAAACCCAGTTGATCGAGAAACCAAAGGCAGAATGGTGGTGGACTCTGGCGGGATCCGCCGAGGATCGGTGACTTTAGCCCCGCCCAGACCCCGGAGCCCCCAGCCCAAGTGCTCCCACGCTGTGCCCCAGCTCTCCCAGGGACTTCCCCTCCACTCTCACAGCTTGTTTTGTACCTGCGCACAAGCGCCGTCGATCTTCCGCCGGGAATTTGTCGGCACCCTGTCTCCGGACTAGGGGTGTTGTTCCCCACCCACGAACCAAGAGATCTCCGATCCGGCAACGGAAGGGGAGGGAGTTCTGGCACGGCCTACCTTGGTACACGTAAAGGGGATATTTTGCTTGACCTCCGCGCTATTCGGCGGTGGTGCGTATAGAGACTGCGTTTGCCATCATTCAAAGTTTGACGAGATGTTCCGGAGGGCCTTGGGCGGGTATAGTGATGGAAAAGAACTAGAATTACATGTAATTGATCCGTTAATATTGCGCATATTGATTCTTGGTATGCACAGAGACGACAATAGCGGGGGCAAACAAAAGAAACAAAACTCTATCGTCCAGTCTCTTCTCAAGGCGGGAAAATACGTGTCCAACGAGAAATGGGCTTCCCACAAACAGGCGGCCTAAGAAGCACCAAACCAACGTCGGGCATAGTTTTTGTTTCGTTTACAGACCAACACTTTGATTAGACCCGCGAATGCGTACATACGTGTATGAAAGACCACATAATAGCACTCCAAGTCGTGCTGGCGAGCAAAGACCAACCGGATCGAGCCCCGATTGACGGATCAAATCCGCGAAAGCCTAGCACAATGCTACTGACCAGCGTGTATGTATATTATGGCTGCTGGCCCCCGATTAGCAATCGATGACCGAGGATTTAGACCCACTTTCGAGCCTGCTGGTAATCAATAAGACGAGGCCAGTCGACGTGCGCAAAGGGGGAATGTCCCCGAATTGCCCTTTCGGCCAGCCCATTTTGCCTAATGCTAGGGCTCATTCTCGGTGCTGGACCCTTATTACAGACCGCGCTCAGGAATTATTTCTCCCCCAGCGTCATTCGGCCATTACATATAGGCGTTTATTAGGGTATTTGTTCTGCAGTCACTGCAGTAACTGCAGCAACGGCCGGAACCCAAGGACGCAACCCGGGTGCCAAGCCCACGGCTATGTTCTCGGGCTGAGAGGGCCTTGTCCTTTGTCGAGGCACGCAGGCACGCAATCTTGGTCAGAGGCGGGTGAGGCACTGACAGATTGCTGACCGCGCAGCCAAGATGATTGCGGATTCGCAGGTTGGCAGGGTCTCTGCCCTCAACCCTATCAAGCCCGCACTTCCCCCTCTCGCTTCCATTGATGTATTAGGCCCCCGGGTCGCAGGACGGGCACGATGAATGGCCCAGGGCCCTCTGGCTGCAATCCCATGACTAAATCTTACAAGATTTGTCAAAAAGCCCACATGGCCGGGGCCCAAGGAGCAACCTCATTCTCCGAGGGACCCGACCGTTTGGTAACCCAAATACTAAATATATTCCATTGCGTCCATCTCTTCCTCCCCCTCCTTCGGTTCCCTTGTTTTTCTTGCCTATCCTTGCTGTTACCCTTGCTGACTTATGGATTGTCATCGTCCAATAGATTGCACAATGTTTCGCAACAGGTTGGGGGCAGCGGACCAAAGGCCTACGACGGCTGGAATCGTGGAATAATAATATCCATCGCCAGAACCAACAGGCGGCGTGCGCGTCCATTGTGTGGAAGTCGATGGCTCGGTCAAGATGAACGACGGGCCCAGCGGACCCCAAACTCTTGATAAGAGCTTACTCAAATCAAAAGCTGGCGATGCGATTTGCTCGTGCTAGCTAGACCGGTCGAGAAACCAACCAACAGTGATATTTTTGCAATCTTGATTCTCTCGATCCGAACTCAACCACGCCGTCCCGCGTGCGGCGCGGCGCGGCCGGGCCTGTGATGTTTTTATTCTCGTTTAGTTCATCGGTGTCTGTCCTACGTCGCTATCGCGGCGCGCGAGGCGGCTGCTAAGGAGGGCTAAAATAGAAAAATTGAAGAATGATGAGTGAAAGGAAGGAGGAGGAGAGATACCGAAGAAATAAACTATCATCCACATGGCCGGCCATGCATCAAGGCTTGGCCTCGCGTGCGTGTTTGTGATGCTTATGAAGGACAGGTTGGTGCATCTGAGTGTGTGTGTGTGTGTGTGTGTCTGCTGCGCTTGCGGCAGACAGCATTAACGTGCAGACATGATTTTCCCACGTTGATCTGTTAAGAAACCCCCAGCCCAACCAAGTATGACTGCGTGGGCTCCAAAATAGCATCGGGCTCCTCCCCAACCATCTGGCCAATGGGATCTGATTAGCCTGCGAGTACGCGCTTGCGGTGGCGGCAGCCGATTGGTCGATCTGGAGGCCTTCCAGAACGGATGGATAGATTAAAGCGCCTTCCGAAGAGTGGAGGGCAGCCCAAATGCACCAATATTTTTGCATGGGTGCTAAATTTAGGCGGACACAGCCCATCGGCCCGGCGTTTTTGTTTGGACTGCGCCAATCGCCTGTTTCTAAGATGGGAACGGAACCTGCCAGAGCCTGGGCAGCAGGCCTTCACCCGCCGCGCTTGCTCGCGGTTGTTTCTTTTCCTCCTGTGCTATACCCTCTCTGCATTGTTGCACTCAGCCACCAGGGCCCAATATGGGGGATTGGTATTAAACAGGGAGGGGAAAAAAGGGAACAAACAAGCTTAACCATTCGTCGGCGAGGGCTCTCGCGTCACCTTTGCCGAGACGTTGTACCTTCGGATGCGTGCCCACCCAGTTATAGCCATTCCACTTATTGGAATGCCCCGTCTATGGCGTGGCTTGCAATCTTGCTGGAGCGGCTTCGTCTCGTCCCGATCTAATCTTGGTAGATGAAATTCCAATATCGCAATCGATCAAGATCATGTTCTCTTTGGATGCGTTGCCCATCCTGCATGTTCCCCAACTTGTATAAAGGCAACCGTCCACCCACCCTTCTCAACCATATTTCATCTCATTCATCTCATCATCATCTCCAAAGACATCACAAGAACAACCAAACAAACACACAACCAACTCTACAGAAACAGACACTTCGAGTCTCTTCTCCGCTATACCAACCCGAGAACCCAACCAAACCAAACCACTCCCACACCTTTTCTCTCCCACACATTCAAAATGAGGTTCACCATCTTCACCACTGGCCTCGTCCTCGTCGCCTCCGGCGCTTCTGCTCTCTCCATCCCCGCGAGGCTGCCCAGCAGGACTCCGACCTCGTGGCCTTTGCCCGCCTCCGCGGCTTCGTTGAGAAGTTCATCGTCGACGGCGACGACTTCTCCCTGGCTGCCCTCAACTTCCTCACCGCCGAGGCCCTCAAGGACGTTGAGTCCGGCAACGATGCCGCCGACGCCGGTGCCCTCGACAAGCGCGCTTTCGCTCCCATCGGCCAGCAGTTCCAGCAGTTCAACAGGTTCATCGGTGGCCGCCCTTAAACGGCTCCAACCCTTGACATCTCAGTCGACACGACCTGAGACTTGACGGCCTCTTCCAACCACTTTCTCGCTTGCTCTCTACTGGCAAACGATTGTTTTCTTTGTTTTTATCTACTTCACTACCCCGGCCAAGACGTTTTTGAGGAGGAGCCTTACATGCTCCGCGATGGCTTGGGACTGCTGCCGAGGAGCTTGCTGCATCTCGATGGGTCCCGCGAAACTCTGGTCGGAGGCCCAGATGGGCGGTTTTAATCATGCACACTTACTTGTACTTGTTCGATGGTCCAATCTATTATTGTATTTATTTATCGGGATTCAAGACTTTTTATTATGTTTACATAAAGGCTAGAGAATGTAAATCGGGTATACATTTTTCACTCAAAACCGTGCTTCAATATTCCTCTTTGTGACAACGTGAATCGGCCGGTGAGTGCTCTTAAAAGGGATCTCATCCCGCAGCTCCTCGACAGCACTTGAGCAATTATTTCGGTGTATTCGAGCGCCGGTTCTCCCTATACATTCAATTCCCAATGTCTACGGATCAGGCCTTATGTCTGGAAGGAGAAGACAAGAATAGATACATTGATGATGTGCAAGCATAGCCTTGGGGATGAAAACCTGGGGTTGCGGCGTTTGCCGTCGCGTTTAGTTGCCGTCTTTCTCCAAAGAAAAAAGTTAGTGGGTGTGTATTGGTGCGAAGCGTCTGTGTGTCTGTCGGGTGTGTCTGTCGGGTGTGTCTGTCATCGACTGATCGGCGGAACCCTGCGCAAAAGTTGTTTCGTGTTTCTCAATCGATCGAGTTAAACTCGTGGGCTCGAAACTGACGTAAATGGTAAATGTTTCCAGTCTCCAGCTCAACACTAAATCCCAGCCACCCCCTTCCCCTCAAATTGGGCAAGGTGCAGCCTAGAGACAATCTTGGCTTTGCTGATGCAGCAAGAAAGAAAGAAAAAGAAAAAAAAAGCGGAAGGAAGATTTCACGATTTTAATTCCCTTCTCGATCTTGTAACGCCCATCTCTTTTTCCCCTCTCTTTCAGCTCCTCATTCCCCATCAACTGGTTGGTGCCGCAGACCAGTAACACCCACGTACTCGTGTCCAATCCCCGAAACTGCCAACCTGTCGAATCTGTGTGTGGGTGGTGGCGACGCTCTCGTGTCTCTTCGAAAACAACGCCACCTTGGAGACTCGCTCACCCGCGTTTCCTCTCGAGTAGGCGGCCGCCCTTTTGGGGGTCGAGTGATCCATATGTTTTCCCATCGCCGACTTCCATTTTGACTTCACTCCCTTTTCGACAAAACAATACACGCATCGAGCCGCGCGCGCAGGTGGCCTTTGCCAAATTGAGAGCCAATCCAAAGGCTGCACCAAGGCCTAGGGATGGAGTCTCGGCGTCTTTTTCGATCCCGGCGGGGTCTCGCAGGATACAGATTGTCGATCCCGAGTCTCGTCTGGTAGGGGCATCGGATTTCACCTAGCCAAAGAGAATGCTAGTCCCATCCCCGTTGTTTCCATCGATGGCCGCTCAGGGAGCCTACCAGCCCCGGGTACGGCCTCATCACCAGGTCCTGTAGGAGACCAGCGAGACGAGGAAATCAAGAGAGCTTTCGATGTCTACGCCACTCCCTTTGTGCCCGAGTCTCTCAAGGTGATCAACCGTTACCCGGGCATTGAAATCTCCACGCTAGCCCGAAGGTCACTTGACTGGACCCAGTGCTCTTCTATTTCCTTTGCTTCCGGTCTGCACCTAGCCCTCACCCACTCTCCCCTCCCCGCGACGCCGGACCTGCAACGCTTTCAAATTCCCCCAGCCGACCTTGATCTGGAGGGCTACGAGCACTTCTTTGGCTACCACTTGGCCGAAGAACTGGGATCCCAGAGGAAGGCGGCTGCCGTGTATTCTCTGTATAGCCAAAGGACGGTGGTACGCTTTGCAGAAACCGAAGGAGCGGCCACCTGTACGCTGACGGTGCCTGGTCTGAAGGAGTATGCGCCTTACCTTGAGGAGGATGACGTGGTCCAGCTGCGCCAGCTTACGCACGACAAACCGCTCGTGCATGGAAGAGCATATATGATCACAGGGTGGACAGGCGTGATTTACCACGCTCGAGTGACGGCGGTCAGGAGAGCCGAAGAAACCGTGACACTCTTGGTTGCGGAACTTGCCCGATCATTTCTCGGCAACGGCAGTGCCTGGTCGCCGTGGCTGGCGGAGAGGAAATGGTAGTTAATGCACAGTTTCCAGTCTGTACGAGGAAGTACGAGGATATGGGTCTCGCTCTGCACATCTTGCAGGATGTGCTAGCGCTGAATACTCGAGGCGTTGAAGATCTTTCTACGTCTGATATCCTCACCTACGACAGCGAATGGCTTCGTGCCGTGCTCTTCCCCGTGGAGGCAGACGGGAAACTCCAAACCAAGCTCCACAGGGGCAAGTTTCGCCAGAAATTCGTAGACCAGGGGCTAAACTGGGAGCAGAAGAAGGCCGTCCAGGCCATCTGCGAGCGCAATCACGGCGCGATGCCGTACCTGGTATCCGGTCCGCCGGGGACGGGGAAAACCAAAACCGTCATCGAAACAGCCCTGCAGCTCATAAAGCAAGGGGGCGAAGATGCGCATATACTGCTTTGCGCCCCGTCCGAAACCGCGGCCGATACCTTGGCCATTCGACTGAGGGACTACTTTCGCCCGGGAGAGCTCTTTCGGCTGAACCGGCCTACGCGAACGTTTGCCGAGGTACCGGGCTCGATTCTTCATTTTTGCTATACTTTGGATACTGGGTTTGCCTTGCCGCCGCTCGATGAGTTGTTGAAGTGCAGGGTGGTGGTGACAAGCTGTCAGGACGCGGCACTCCTAGTGAGGGCGAGGGTAACGAACATGGATATATACAGAATGAAGCGAGATTTGAGCAGCCTACTCGGCCAAGGCAACGATGGAGGGCCAAAGCGGCTCCACTGGACTGCGCTCCTCATAGACGAGGCTGCGCAAGCCATGGAGCCCGAGGTCCTGATTCCGCTCGCCGTCATCGCGCCCCCGTTGACCGCGGCGCCTCCACCCATCTTCGCCATGGTGGGCGACCAGTACCAGCTCAGCCCGCGCGTGTCGCTGCCATTTTCGCCACTCAAGCGGTCGCTCTTTGCGCGGCTCTTTGACAGGCTCGTGTACAAGAACCATCCACTCGCTCGAGGCGCCAAGGGCGAGGCGCCGCCGGTGCTGAAGCCGTCCATGCTCCCAATCTCCGCGCCGCCGTTCACCAACCTTTTCCGAAACTACAGATCTCACCCGGCCATCTTGGCGGTGCCGTCCGCCCTCTTCTACCACGATACTCTGGAGCCCGAGGCACCGGGTACGGACCGCCTAGCCGGGTGGCAGGGCTGGAAAGGCAGGGGTTGGCCCGTTTTATTCCACAATAACCCGGGTGACGATGAGTTGGAAAAGGACGGAGGGGGTGGTACAACATGCGCGAGATTGATATCGCGCTGAGCTATGTTTCTTCGCTCGTCACCTCGGACTCCGTGGCCCGAAGGAATATCTGCGTCATGAGTCCGTTCAAGGCGCAGGTCATGCGGCTGCGCCGGGAGTTTCGGCGCGTGAAGGAGGGGTTGCGGGACGTCAATGTGGGACCGACCGAGGCGTTCCAGGGACTCGAATATGACTTTGTCATACTCTGCACCACCCGGTCTAGGGAGAGGTTCTTGAAAAGGACCAGGAGGTGGGATGGGGTATCATTGGGGAGGCGCAGGCCAACGCGATGAATGTGGCGCTTACGAGGGCAAAGTACGGCCTCATCGTGATTGGGAAAGGGGAGATCCTGGCGACGGACCCGAACTGGCAAGGGTTCTTAAACTTTTGTGACCGGAATGGGCTCGTCGCCGGCGCGGGGAAGCAGACGATAGCGGTAGCGCAGCTGGGCCGCAACCCGCAGTGCAAGAGCTAGGGGACGAGAAGCGCGCGGTCAATACAGGCTCGGGCGCCAAGGTCAAACTGACATCGAGGTTCACGCGGTTAGAAAAGGTGCTCCTCGCGCAAGAGGCTGATTTGGAAGCGCCGATTGGGTCAAGAGCTCTCGGGGGTGGATATGGAGGATGAGATGTGGGCAAATGAAGAGCATGGGCTCACGGAAGAGGATGCTCCCGACGGTGATGAAGAACATGATGGCTGAAAATAGGGGATGGTTGTCCTGGGCTATTTTTTGTCGAGTCTAGGAGAAGAGAGCGACGAGCTTGATTCTGTACACAACGGCTTCACTGCCACCTGCATACGAACGCATATATATCCAGACTGTTTAAACTAGTAATTAATATCTACGAGATATCCTATGATCATGCATTCCATTATTCCAAGTCTCGAGACGCCCATTATCCGTTCTTCTTTGGATGGACGTATTCATTGCATTCAAGCATTTAGGATAGTCTCGAGGTTGTTGAAGGAGACAATGGGCCAATGTAGGCCCTGCTCCGTTGGGCGGACCTGATTCCGCAATGGAATTATTTGGAGTGATCCATTAAATCCGGAGATCCATCAATGGATCCATTGAATCAATTGGGAGCTTGGACTCAACTCGAACCCCGCTTGGAGCTTCAAGGTGAGAACTAGTAAATGTTGAGTGATCGCCGGAGCTCTTCCATGTTGTGAATGCTACGTTTTTGGCATGTGAGCCGGGCCTGTGGTATTAGTTCGGTTGCTCAATTGGCGCTGTGAAAGGCGTGTCTCAGCACTAGAGATGGGCTATTGTATCGCAATTGAGAAACAAGGCGGGCAGAAACCTCGGCACATTTCTCGCAGCCACCAAAGCTGACTTGAACATGGATTGTAGATTACAATGTCATCCCAAACCCTGCCAGCGTCAGCTTTTTGAGCTTTTCGCTTACTCGAACTTTTGAGCCGTGGTCAATAGCAACAAGCAACGACGGGCATTGATTCTTCTTACAATTGAAGAATCATCCTTGGTTTTTTGGTTTCTTTTTTGTTACTTTTCTTCACTCTAAACGCTCTTTACGCCAATCCCGCAGCAACGATCTCAAGATGCCTCCTCGGCCAGGACAAAAGACAGCTCTTATCACCGGGTGAGGACCTACCCCCTTCTCCTAATAGCTCCCCACTCTCCCAAATATTGGGCCCTGCCTGCTTTCTCCTTTGGCGGAACTTCACCGTGGAGATACCTTTTTCCTTTTCGCTAGCGGATGGGTGCGGTTCTCTCCCGGAATCGCCCTGGCGCCGCCGTCTTCAAGTGAGCGGACCGGAATCGCTAATGCGCTACCAACGATAATAGGTGCACACCCGGCGGTATTGGCCATGCCATCGCCCTCAAGTTTCACGAAAAGGTACGTTTCGCTTCTCTCCTCCCGCTCTTTCACCCGGGCGTCCTTTTTTTTGTTCAGCTAGCGGAAGCCGGAGAGCCATGTCCGGACCAAACTGACGCGGTGTCCCCGAGCAGGCGTGCACGTCATCGTCACGGCCCGTAGGCCCGAGGTCCTCGTCGAGATGGCCGCCATGGGCATGGACGCCGTCAAGCTCGACGTGACCAATGCCGAGAGCATCGCCGAGGCCAAGGCCCAGGTCGACGAGCTCACGGGCGGGAAGCTCGACTTCCTCGTCAACAATGCGTACGTTCTCCCAACTAACCCGCCCTTTTCCGGCACCTTCACCATCCTCCTCTCCATCTCCAGTCTCCCCATCTTTTGAAATATTCTCTTGTAAGCTCTAACACGCGCTCATATGCCAATCTTTTCCGTCATGCAGCGGCGTCACCCACACCGTCCCCGCCACCGACATCGTCATGGACGACGTCCGCAACACCTTCGAGACCAACGTCTTCGCCGTCATGGCCATGGTCCAAGCCTTTGTCCGGCCCCTCATCGCCGCCAAGGGCCTCATCATCAACATCAGCTCCCTGTCCGCCCGCACCCCGTACTGCTTCGGCTCCGTCTACTGCGCCACCAAGGGCGCCATCGACGCCTACTCCCGCACCCTCCGCCTCGAGCTCCGGCCCTTTGGCGTCCGCGTCATGGTCGCCGTCACCGGCACCGTCCGCAGCAACATCGCCAACGTCACCCACCGCACCCTCCTCCCCAACTCCCTCTACGAGCCCGTCCGCGACATTTTCGAGTGGCGCCTCGTCTTCTCCCAGAACAACGGCACCGTCTCCACCAGCGATTACGCCGATAAGCTCGTTCGCGCGGCCCTCCGAACCCCTGGTTTCCTCGCCTGGCTCCTCGGCCGCTCCGGGCCCCCAAGTGGTTCTGGGCCGGCGGCTTCTCTACCCTTGCCTGGTTCGGCTCCTTCTTTGGCGAGTGGCTCCTGGACTTTTCTGCCTCTACCGCTTCAAGATCCCCACCATGACCAAGAGGCTTGAGGCGGCTAAGAAGAATGACTGAATGCGCGCGGAAACGGGGACGATTGATTAGAACCCCCTCCTTTTCCATCTTCTTGTAGTCTCTTACTTGGCTCTTTTCCGAGGAAGTTTTAGAGGGGCATGTGGCCAGGCCTCACTCACGAATGGGCCTGGTACGAGTCGAGTGTACTTTTTGTATCTTTTCTGAGAGTGTTTGCATTATTTATTCCTTTTCTTTTACTTCTTAATCCAAATCATACCACCCAGCAAGGATGAATTATTCACTTAATCGAAGCCAAAGAACAGGGCAGAATGGACAAATATGAGAATAATAAAAAGTATGATATTGTGCTTGCCTATGGCATGGAACGCGTCTTTTCGACCTCGTCCTGCTCTCTACAAGTGTCAAAGATGACTACCGTAAACGCCGCCCAGATATGAAGGGTATAGCAAACCCGAGAAGTAAACAAAAAGAAACCCCATGCCGAGCCCCAAACCCCTTGCTTAAAAACCAAGAGGGGTGAGATGAATGATGAAAGAAAATATGAAAGGCCCAAGTACGCTCTATAATGTACACATTCGACCATGATACCTGGCCATTAACCCGTTTTTATGATCCGCCCAACTTTTTTCCCCTTAATCCTGGGCCGTTGATCATGGGTGTGAACCAGGCATCTCCACAGGGTGGTTACCAGGCCTATAATCCGCCGGCGTGCTCGCGAGTTCGAAGACGCCGTTATCCGGATCATCTCTACCCGCCGCGGTAGCGCCGTCCTGAGCCGCCACGGGTCGATAGCCCGTGGGGTGAGCCAGGCCTGTCCAGGCGCGCCGGAATGCGGGTGAGCGGGTGTCGGGGGCTGCGGGCCCCAGCCGGTCTGGGGTTCCACGAGGGTGCGGGCGGCTCGTTCCATTGCTGGGGAGGAGGCGGGGTGGGTCCCAGAGAAGAGGCGCCGCCGGTGGTGAAGGAGTCGGGGCCCCAGGCAGCGGTATAGTTGCCCTGCGCGCCGTCCTGCTTCCAGTCCGTGTAGGCGCCGCCTTGGTACATGCTGGTAGTGCGGACCGAGTTCGTCCCGGAGCCCTGGCCGTCGAAGAGGGACGGCTGGAGGCTCTGGCGGCCGAGCATGGGGTTCGCTTCTTCCTTGAAGCTCTTGGCCGCCTTTCTCCGGCGCCAGAGGCAGAAAGCGAGCCCCGCGATGAGGGCAACGCCGCCGAGGGCGGCGCCCACGGCGATACCGATCGTCGCTCCCGAAGACAGGCCCTCGTCGTCGCCTTTGCCCGCGCCCCCGGTCTCCGTCGGCTTGTTCGTCTCGGTCGACGAGGGGCTCGGCGCGCTGGTGGGGTTTCCTTGGCGGCCTCGTCGGCGATTTCGGTAAACTCGTCCTTGGACAGGCTCAGCGGGGTTTTGGAGCCGTTGCAGTTCACCTTGAGGGTGCCGTAGGTCAAGTCGATGTCGCCGGGGGCGTTTTGGCCGAGGCAGCGCGCTGTGTTGGTGAGGAAGCCGCCGCCGTCGGAGCAGAGGCAGGCGTTCATGGTGGGGACGGTTTCGCCGTCGCAGTTCGCGTTGGAGTCGGCGGTGGTGAGGCAGGCCTGGGCGCCGCCGGGGTAGGAGGAGAAGTCATTTTCGAAGCGGGCGGCGAGGGAGGAGGAGATGAGGCCGGAGAGGGCGACGAGGACGGGGAGTCGTAATAACATTTTTGATGGTGGGGATATTGAATTACTAGAGGGAGAGAGAGACAAGTTGCTTGTTGCGCGATGCGATGGGTGGGTCTTGCTGGTGTGAGGATGTCGTAAAAAAGGCAGAGGGAGCTTCAATGTTCTCCAAAAGAGTAATCAGGCTAGGTGCGAGGTATCCAGGCAAGGAGGTTATCCGAAAACCATATCGGTAGGACCAATGTCGTGATGCACAAGAGGGGAGTGGGGGAATCAAGGGAGGAAGATTAGTGTTCCCCTGGAATTGCGATGGGCGAGGAGTGCTAATCGACTAGTTTCGTTCCCCGAGTGCTTGGGCGAGAAGAGCGAGCGTTGCAGGGAGACGTCGGTTATTAAGGGTTTCCTTTGTTTCGAAAACGGCTCCAGAGTCAAGAATGTGGCGGGTGAGAGAGCGCAAGAGCAAATACCACCTAGTAATCCTGCGTCCAGTTCCAGGTTCAAGCAAGGGAATTGATTCGAATTTCGTCGTGATCGTTGAAAGAAATCATGAGAGACGGCAAAAAAAAAAGAGAAGAAGAACAAAATCCAAAAAGAAAAAGAAACGCGAAACAGGAGCTGGCGGGACGGGGGTCAGGCTGATTTTGACCGATACCAGTAGCGTCGCGGAGATTGGGAGAGAGGTCCCTCAAATGGCGAGATACGAGAGGGCGGAGATGGGGAAGGACCTTGGCTTGACCTTGCCTCGCGCATCCCCCTCCATCCGTGCTGTGCTGTGCTGGCTACTGCTGCTGCGCTACAGGTTCCTTGTTGGAATTGGGGAGGGGGATGGGATAGGATCAATTTGCTTGTTCGCGCTTTGTGGCGGTGCTGGGGCAGGGACGAGCCGAGGAGGAGGTGCAGGGGGCGCCATCATCTCGACGACACTAGACTTACTACTGCTACCAGACTACATCGATGTACTTTGCGACGATGCCCCAAGCACCACGCACCACGCACCACGCACCACGCACCAAGCACAGAGAATAATAGGGGGCTGACCACACGGATCCACGGCATCACTCTGCATGCAAATATTGGCTCACCGTCCTCATTCTGGGCCGGGTGGCTTGCCAGCCTGCTCTTCTAGTAAGAAATTTGTCTTTATTTCTCTGCAGACACGAAGTGGGCTAACCCCCTCAATGGCTTCCAATGGCTGGGTCCAATTGATTCAATGGTATCTGTCTTGCGTCAAATTGCTCAAGCTGAAAAGATTTGAAGTGACTAGCCGTTCGTAGAGGTGGCCCATCTGGACGCGCTTGGAATAGACTTGATTGATACAAGGTTGCCGTCCAGTTTTGCCTGTCAGTCCGCCGGGGGCGAAGATTGCGATGAATTATGTTCAATTATTTGCTTTTGCTTCCCCATTAAAACAATAAACTCGTCCAAGCCAGGAAGTCAAAAAGGATATTAGATGACCTTCTCCACATTTGCTGATCCCAATGGGCAACGGGGCAAATAATAATAACAAATAACATTCAATGAAGTGGAGGAACATGAACTTTTGGCTTCCCACTTGACACCGACACTCCAAGTTCACTTCCAGCCAACAGCCTGGCCTGGCCTGCCTTGTCTGCTTGTACACTAGCTTGTCTAGCTCGCCAGCCAAGCCAGCAGGCCCGTTCCTATTCTTAGAAACGTTGTGCTCACCACAAAAAGCTTGGCCTGCCCGACGTACCATGGGGCTGGGATGGATGCCCTGAAAGCTCCGCACCTGCACCCTTTTAAGATTCCGCCGCAAAATGCACGCTGTGCTGGTTGTCATTTGCGTTCGACGGATTGCATTCCTTCGTCTTTGTGTCAGATTTGGCTGGGAGTCTATGTTGGCTGCGGACCACGCGAAAAAAGCCTTGCGATATCCAGAGGTGATGGGGAATGGACGACCGGGTCCGCCGCGGCTTCTCGTGCTTCCTTCATCTTCCTACTCCTACGGCGCCAACCAATTGAACTGGACAGAGTCCCTCAAGCTCTTTTTTCTTGCCCTTCTCATCCGTCCTCTTCTTCATTCGAGGGCGATAGGCAAGGCCATTCCAAATGATTTCTCCGTAGATTACATCTGCGCCGTGAATGGCTAACCTGATGAAGGACACGCTATCGAAGTCCCCCATGTATCTCGAACCACAAGTAGGACCGACTAGTATCTCTAATTCTTCCCGTGCCCAATGTCTCGCATTTCCAGAAGCCAAAGGCTGAAAATACTTGAAAATTGATGGGAATCCATGGATCTATCCACCTCGCCCAAAACGAGCTCTTGAGGCCGAGTCATTCCTTCCCAGGAAACCTAGACCCCAGAGTTCCAATTGTCTCTGAACCACTCATCCATGATAGCTTCAAGGAAAGGAGGCAGAGTCTACGTGTATGCGCTGTCGGGTTTTGCTGGCGGCCCCACCAGCGTCCGACGAGTGTAAGAACCGCCCAATCTGTTTCTCGTCCCTTCGAAAAGATGCCATCGTCCGATTGGGACGTGTTGATTCGTGAGCTGTGTCGGTCGCGGGATGACAGCACGATGACCATCGCCCCTGTCCGGCCTTACCAAGCTGACCAAATCATCGAGCTCTTCTCCGCTCCTCGCTCCGGAGCGAATCAAACCCCTCATCACTGATTGAAGGTTCCTCTGGCACCAGAGCAAAAATCTACATGCGCCAGGCCTCTGAAACCGGCTTTCTGAAAAAGGCGACCACTTTTTGAGTGGATGAGTGTACCAATGTACGTACAGAATTGCACAGCCCATGTTCGTCCAAGGATGTTTCCCATCCCATGAGGCGCAGCAAAGCGCAGGGTGGAGGCCAATCGATCGCCCCAGTTGATGCTGGCTCGCCCCTGCCCTCTGCCCGCCCCCGCCCCCTCGTCCAGCACCTGTGGCTCCCGTGGAAAGATGGTGCTAAGCAGCGCCACATTTCTGGGCGTTCGATCACCGTCAGCCCTATCCCACGTTTCCCGCCATGGGGCCATGGGGCCATGGGGGTTAAATGTCGGTGATGCCATCGAGATCGACGAATCGATGTCCTTTGATTCGATCATGGTTTCGGCGAGACCTGACATTTGATGCACATTTTGACATTCAAGCATCACTACAAACCGCCCGAACAATCAGTAGATGTTCATACCCATCGCCGTCAGATGGGGCACAGACTATTAGCGAGTGTTTGATTTTCTATCTTGGTAAATTGATGACATGCATTCGAGCGATGGTTGGGATGCCCTCCCACCAGGCCCATGCAGACATTCTCATCTAATCTCGACGACACCAAGAGAGCGACCTTTTCAAGAGGAAAGAAGACTATGCCCCAAGAGGGCCAAATTGCACATGGATATCGCATGAAGGTGTCTTTCATCAGTCTCGTGAATCCCGAAATGGTTACCACCAATCTTCTGCCTTTTATTTAGCTCATACTCTCTGGAGCCTGGTTACACGGGAGCAGATCACACCAGCCAACCTCAATGTACGAGGGCCTTCTTTTGACGGAGCGAGCTCTTGGGCCTGAGTCAACAGCACGTCTCGGGTATACAGCGAGAGGGAAAAAGAGGGAGCTAGCTGAGCGCGAACGGGGAGTGCCTACGATAGACCCCCTTGACACCCTAGCTTCGGCTGCCTCAACATAAGCCTTGCCGGCCACAACCACGTCAGGTAATCCTCGTCCTTCTGGTATATACATATATTGGTGAGATCTGCCTCATATAAACAACCAGCCCACTTGATCAAGTGGACAAAATAACCCGAATCAAAGTGGCTCTACCCCTCTACGCCTCCGCGTACGGCAGGTTCCGATGATATTACGCTTGGCGCCCCGGACGGACTCTTGCTTCTTAGCACTGATTGATCTGATGGGCCCGGCGTCACTGGTAAGCGAACGAAGGCCTCAAAACCTGTGGAATCGAACGGGTGAGGTAATAGAGGGGTAGAGGGCTAGCTTGGGTCCTTGCTAAGATACCATGGGGCGTCCGTTCCCTCACGCTCTAGGGAAACTACGCTTCAAACCCCATCAAGCAGTCTAATATCTCGAGCGTCTTCTCGTGTGAGTTCTAATGACTACATGTAGAGCCTTCGTGCCCCGACTGACCACAGATGGCCTCCTGGCCGGCCACACTCCCAGCCAAGCCGGCCGTCTCGCTTTTCAGCTCGGCTAACCATCCGTATGCTTCCCCACCTGCTTGCTTGGCTCACTCGTTCGTTTCCTCTTCTCTCCGCATCTCGCTCGGCTCACGCAGCCGGCCAAGCTACCCACAATATTAACAAAAGATGCCTCGACGAGCGACCACTGCGTTCTTCCATTTCTGTCTGGGGGTCGCATTTCCACGGGAATATGTGGAGTGATGCCGGTTCGCGCTAGACAACGCCCTCCTCTTGGACGATCGCAATATTATTAGTGCTGTGCGCGACTCCAAGCCAAGGTTGCAGTTTGCTGTTGGTCGGGATGCAACCACACGAGGGGGAGGAGGGAAGAAAGTCCACTCGGTTGAAATTCTCCCTTCCCCTCCCCCAGTCGTTCTTGGACGGCTTCCTGCGTACCTGCAGTGCTGTTGCATCATAGGTCGTCAAAGGCCACACTTGCGTTGGTTGCGGGTTATGCACTCGCTTGTGCGGCCTCGGATGTCATCTCAATCTTCACTTGTAGATGATTAATCACCCAACACTGAGTTTGTCCTCGTTGGACTCTATTTTCTTCTTCTTCTTTTCTTCATCGATTTCCCTTCCGGGCCATAATTTCAATTTGCCGAGGACCGAATAACATCAATGTGTATAGCTGGGGAAAGCAGAGTCTGGTTGATTAAAAATCTGTCTCTTCTCCTCAAGTAATACTAATGCATGCAGCCACCACTTCACATAGTTTCTCCCCCTCCTTCTTCGCTCTTCGCTCCTCTCGCCGCCGGAATGGAGAGATCCATTCCATCTTTGTACCCCCTTCCCCAAGTGGACGGCCGGTAATCTCACGATTCCTCGGGTAAAGCGAGTGGAAAGTGGGGGAAATAATAATCCAGAAGCCCGTCCCATTAAAAAGATTGCTTGGTTTAGATTGCCTCCCCTGGGCTGCTTCCGCACCAATTGACTCGGGACGTGACTCTGGGGGTCTTCGGCCTTACTTTACCCATCGCCCGTTTCGCCTCCACATGACGGCTCGAGGTCCGCCAAACCGCGCCCTGGGCCAGGGATGATGGATGGGTTGATCAACGCAGGCACGAAAGAATTGCGGAGGAGGGTTGTGGGGAGGTACTCCAGCCATGAAGACGCGAGGATAAGAGACTGAGGACACTGGAGGCTCTATCTCCATTGATCTTCAATTCAATGTTTGACTCCATTCACACAGGAACTTGGAAGGCTTGATCGAATCTTTGAATCTTCTTCGTCTTCTTCTTCGTTTTGATCTCATTTCCTTTCTCGTCACTGTTCTTCTGCTTCCGTCAGTGTTCCACAAGTAATCCTCCTCGACCCCGGCGCGCGCCAAGGCTTACTTCTTCTTTCTGGCCCGCGCCCACGCCCGCGCCCACGGCTCAAAATTTCCCCTTCAATCACAAACAAGCCTTTCTTAGCTCGTTCCCAAAACTCTCCACGCTCCCACCTTGGACCATGTCGTCTCTCCCCCAGTCGGGCGAGCTGGGGAATCCGGTCCGGCAGAACAGCGGGAGGACGACCCGCGGGAGTAAATTACACACGGAGCTTCGTTCGCCTTTTTCGAGGGTGGTGACCCTCCTACAGCCCTCTCTGTCTTTGGCCTACCTTTACTTTCTCTCATGTGTGTTTCTCACTCACTCTTCTCATCAATGGCCCTGTTTAAATTCTGCATCCATTAATTCAGTTGCTTAACCCTTTCCCCTCTTTTGACCCAATTGGGGAGAGAACCAATGCAGCGAATGGGATGAATTGGGGGAAACATGGTAGCTCCCGGGAGTTGATTTCCCCTTGACTCGGCCCCGCTGCCGTCCTTTCTCTTTTTCCTTTGGACGCCTTACCTTGCCTTGGCCTACTTTCCCCATCGTTGGGCCCTCTACGTGATCCACCACCTTTGGTACCGCATCCCCGGCGTTAATTACAACTCTCTGCAACCATGGGGGAGGCAAGGGCGGGCTAATGTCGTACTGTCTCCTACTCTTCACGGACCTAAGGTCCCGTAAAGCTTGGCTCTGCTTCCTATATCCCGTTCCGTGAGCTTGTTCATCGTGCCCCCTCCCCTCCTCCTCCCCGACGTTGAAGTGATATTAAAAAGGCCACCCGGCGCCCTTTTCGCCCTCTTGGCCCCCCTCTTGGCTCTCTTCTTCGCCCTAGGTCCCACTCGTTTGCCTGACCACACACCCTCCCATTCACTCCTTTCCTTCTTCTTCTCTTCTCTTGCCTTAGTCTTTTTCTGGCAGAGCGCGCACACATCACAATGGCTTTCCTCCTCACCTCCACCCTCCTCGCCGGCCTCGCCGCCGCCCAATCCGTCGGCGAGGCCCCGAGGTGCACCCCAAGCTCACCACCTGGAAGTGCACCGTCGCCGACGGCTGCGTGTCCCAGGAGACCGCCATCGTCATCGACTCCCTCTCCCACTGGGTCCACCAAAGGACGACCAGTCCCAGGGCTGCGGCAACTGGGGCAGCGCCCCTAACGCCACCGTCTGCCCCGACGTCGAGACCTGCCAGGAGAACTGCATCATGGAGGGCGTCTCCGACTACGAGGCCTACGGCATCTTCACCGACGGCGGTGCCCTCACCCTCAAGCACCTCCGCGAGGACGGCAGCGTCTCCAGCCCCCGCGTCTACCTCCTCAACGAGGCCGAGGACGAGTACGAGATGATCAAGCTCACCGGCCAAGAGTTCACCTTTGACGTCGACGGCTCCAAGCTCCCCTGCGGCATGAACGGTGCCCTCTACATGTCCGAGATGGCCGCCGACGGTGGCTTGAGCGAGCTCAACACCGGCGGTGCCGCCTACGGTACTGGTTACTGCGATGCCCAGTGCTTCACCACCCCCTTCATCAACGGTGTTGTAAGTTTTACCATGAAACCCCCTCCCCTCCCCCAACAAAAGAAAAAAAGAAAAACAAGCTAACACCAATTTTTCCCAGGGTAACATCGAGGGCAAGGGCTCCTGCTGCAACGAGCTCGACATCTGGGAAGCCAACGCCCGCTCCACCCACCTCGCCCCCACCCCTGCAACATCACCGGCCTCTACGAGTGCACCGGCGACGAGTGCGCCTTTGACGGCGTCTGCGACAAGAACGGCTGCGGCTACAACCCCTACCGCGTCCACCAGTTCGAGTACTACGGCCCCGGCTACACCGTCGATACCGCCCGCCCCGTCACCGTCGTCACCCAGTTCCCCGCCGACGACGAGGGCAAGCTCAAGGAGATTCGCCGCCTCTACGTCCAGGACGGCAGGATCATCAAGAACGCCGTCATCGCCGTCGAGGGCCTCCCCGAATACAACTACGTCACCGATGAGTTCTGCGCCGCCACCGGCTCCGACCGCTTCATGGACCTCGGCGCCCTCGGCGGCATGGGCGACGCCATGACCCGCGGCATGGTCCTCTGCATGTCCATCTGGTGGGACGAGGGTGGCCACATGACCTGGCTCGACTCCGAGGAGGCTGGCCCCTGCAAGGAGGGCGAGGGTGACCCCAAGAACATCCTCGAGGTCGAGGCGAACCCCACCGTCATCTTCTCCAACATCAAGTGGGGTGAGATCGGCTCTACCTACAAGCCCGAGTGCAAGAAGAAGTCCAAGCGCTCCTCTAAGCGCATCCCGTCCGGCGACATCTAAGGTCGAGGAGCGATGGTGTGCGATTTTAAAAAGGGGAATGATATGATCAAAGAACTATCGTTTTTCTCACGTCCTTCTCCAATGTATATACAAACAGGAGGGGCATAGAAAACCCACGTTTTTCTTCTCACTTTTTATTTTTCTTTCTTTTTCTTTTTGATGATGTTGATGGCTTAATCTTCTTTGTACATACATCCTTGTCAACATAAAGAGTTGCAATTTTAGTGAAACAAACACGCCGACTACATTCCGTGAGCAATTGTGACGCATGCCCTTGATCAGCACGAGGTATCGACGGAGAGCTTTACTCAGTTCAATTTGTCCAAGGCGCGAAGCAAGCCCGCAATTGCCCCGTCTACCTTGTTTTCAAGGGCTACATGTCCATGTAGTAAAGGAATGAAGACACAAAGGTTACCGAAATGGGACTGCTTATGTGAAGGATGAATCAAGTGGTATAAAACACTAGTGCCTCGCATACGACGCAATCGCTATCCTACACATAGTGTTCTCTCTACCCCATATTCTCGTAGTCTTCGTAAGAGCCAGGAACCGCAAAGCCCTTCAATAGCGAGAAAGAAGGGTGGCTAGATCCGGAAGAAAGGGGGACGTTTACAGTGAATAAAAAGAAAGAAACAAAAGGCAAGAAAGAAAACAAGGCTTGATTCTCTTCCCGCGAAGATAGAAAATGATGAAAAAGGAAGAAAGACTGGGGAAAAAGAAATCCTAAAGAAAAACGCCTGTATCCTCCCGGGTCGACTCGATGGACGACCCAACCGACCTAGTGTTCGCACACTAGGGGTATTTTTGCCCCAGGCACCCAAACACCAAACAATCATGTCAAGAAAATCAAGAAGAGAAACGACAAGACCGGAGAGGCGATACTATAATAGCAGTGTCGCAGATCGCCAAAACGCCTTGATGATGTCTTTAGGCCGAACACCAGGGCTGCGTCCCAAACAGACGGATTTAAAGACGAGCTCTAACGAATCCGACAGCGTTAACAAGGCGAAATATGGCAAAGCGGGCAAAGAAAGAGCTAAGAGAAAAAAGGGGTGTGGATGAGAAGGGGAAAGGGGCAAGGTGAGGGTGCAAACTAACCGACCACGAATTTTTCTACATTGAGCGAGACCCTTTGCTTCGTCTTGGGTGCTTTTGGCTGAGGCGTCCAGGAGAGTGGTATTGATACGTTCCCTGTATCTGGGGCGAAAGGATCTACAAAGTCATGGAAGAAGAGGGGATCGCTTAGAGACACGCTTGTTTGTGGAGCGAGAATCGAGTCTAGAATGGTGTCATTTTGGAACAAGGTCGTCATGGGCACGTCGTCACTCGGCACATTGTCCGCCTCCGTTTGGTTATTACTCGGGAAGTAGTTGAAGCCTTCCGGCGTCTGTTGCGTCGTTCCACGGATGGAATCGAGCGAAAAGTCGTCGGGATCAATGTTGACGGTGACGAAATCTGCGGCGGGAGGGATAAACACGCCCCTCTGCCGCAAAAGTACTCAATCTCGTCGGGGTCGAAAAAGTCACCTTGAAAGCCGGGCACCGTCATGCGCATCCGCTCATCCATACGAATGTCCCTTGTTTCCTCTACAAGGGCGTCAAAGGGTCCCATGGCAAAGTTGGCGTCGGGCGACGGCTTGTGCGGCCCTTGCGTGTCCTGGTTTCCGAGGAGGGGCGCGGCGAGGTCGGAGGAGGAAGGGGCACCGGCACGCGTGCTGGCGCTGGCGCTGGCGCTGGCGCTAGTGCTGTCGCCGCTTGTGGAACCGGAATCGGTGGTGGGCACGTCACTAGAGTCAGCAGAGCGGCTTACGAGGTTGAAGAACGACCCGGCGCCACCAAGATGGAAGAACGGAAACTTCCAGTTGTCGAGGGTTTGTCGGTTGTGCCGACTGATACAGTCAGTTACTCTCTGAATAATTTTCTCGCGGGACTGAAACAAAAGACAAAAGCCAAAGACGGCTGCGTAGATACGGGGAGGGCTGGGCATATTCAACAAGACGAGGGCCTGCTCCAGAGTCGCCCTCTGTATGCGCCGGCCGAAGGTGCGTTCCAGGTAGGAATACGACGATGGCACGGGGAACACGCGAAAGGGCGGCAGAGGCGCGGCTGCTACGGCAAAGGGAACAGAAGGGTCCAGGAGACTTCCCAGAGTGCTACTGTCGAGAGACGTACCGAATGGGTAACTAGCGTTGCCCGAGAACTTCTCGACGCCGCTCCGCGCACCCGAGCTCTTGTTCGGGAACTGGTAACCAAACGGCACCGACGGGTCGTTTCGCTGGCTACTAGCCTCGCCACGCGCCTCCAGGGTCGAGGCGGTGCGGTTCGAATCTGACCCCTTCTGTTCGAGCCTGCATTCGTCGCCTCGCCATTTCCCGCCGGAGTCGCCGTGGACGCCGGAGCCCCGGGAGATATTAATCCCGAGGTGGGCCACGACGCTTCCGGCGAGCTAGAAAACCTCGATACGTTCTGTGCACTAGTGCCGGGACTGCCCGAGTTCACGCCGTCGGACTCGTTCTCCAAAGCTTGGTCGCCATCCCGCGAGGAAGCGTCATCGCTCATCTTCCTGGCCAGGGCGACGAATTTTTCTGTCGTGGCTTGCAGCTGGCGACCAAACTCTGGAGCGGCCGATAGGAGCCCATGGGAGAGAGCGGTGTCGTACAAGTTCATGAAAGCCTTGCTCATCTCCTCATTGGTGTCCTGAAGCACGTTGACCTTTTTCTCAAGAGTCTGAATAGCAGTCTCTTTGCGATTGCGATACGCTCTTTGCGCAAGGCGAATCTGGGTCCGACGGCGCTAGACGAGCAAGTTAGCCCTGAACGTGAAGGGAGTAGTAGTGGGGTGCGAGTTGCCCGGGTTGCGCGGGGTGTGTGTGCTGCCGAGGTTGCGTGTGGGGTTGGGGGAAAGAGAAACTGGAGGAGTCAACTTACATCGGCGGCTGTGTCATCTTTTGGTTCTACCCGTGGTCGCCCTCTTGCTCTCTTTTTAGACTCTGATAAGGCTTGTTCCTGCGCCTCTATTGTCCCAAGGGACGGTCTCTTTGGTTGGTGGTGCTGTTGGTATGGGTGGTGTTGGGAAAGGAGTCGTCCGCGCCGGTGTAAGGCGGGGACCTCTGGCCGGTTGAACTGTGATGAGACATGATTGAGGAGGGCCGTCGGGCCTGAATAAATCCGCCGTCGTCATATTGTTCGGGGCTAAGGATGACTGACAGGTCGGTCATGAGGCAACGACCGACCACCAAAGGGTGGAACTGGGGATGAGAGAAAGTTGTTTTGTTTTCTACCTCCGCGATGGGAGGGAAAAAAAAAAGAAGAGGAGAGAAGGAGACCCTGATCAACGGCACCGCGCGATGGGTGGGATCAAAGAGTCAGGGACTAGGGGACTAGACCAGAAGGAGAGGCACGTGGTAGGCAGAGCAGTCAGGGCTGGGATTGATCAATAGCAGTTCAGTAAACGAGCGCGGAGTAAGCCAGCAACAACGCCGAGTTTGAACGCTGATCAATCTGCGGGTGACAGGACGTAGCGAGGGTTTCCAGCGTGGGGAGCTGGCGAGGACAAACTAGAAATACACCTCGAGCTGAGGGGTCAGAAGGGGACAGCAGCTTGTACTTGTTGGTACTGAAATGGCAAGTACCAGGTACTCGAGGATTCTATTTTCTGTTAGTGGAGTTTCGGGTCGGAAGAACCTTGGCGGTGCTCGTCTGGGACGATTCCTTTTCCAGTCCTTCCAGTGTGAGTTCGGCTTGGGCTATTTATTTCTGCTGGGGTTCGTTCGGCTTGATCTTTCTGTTAGTGGTCGGTGCTGGGCACTGCAGGTGGTGGTGGGAGTGTCGAGCACGTGGGGTTTTGGAGGTTGCCGACACCACGCTCAACGAGGCAACGAGGTCAAGCAGGTCGAGAAGCTAAGATTCAGAGTGAGCTTGACCGGCAGATTGCTGATGAAGGAATCACGAAAGCGATTTCACGAATTTTCGGGGTGTTCGGGAAAGATGAGTAGAAGAGAAAACCCCGGTGCTTGGGTCTTCGTTTCTGCTTTCCCTCTCGTACCACGAGCTGGTTTCTGCTGATTTCGTCGGAGGCAGGCGATAGAACCGTAGTGTAGGCTAACTGATGATATGGATAGGTTCGGCGAATTTGCTTGCGGCGATTGAGTCCAAGGTGCGTTTGAAGCCGTGTTCAGTCAAAGATTCGGGATGTCTGAGGAAAAGTATCTGGAGTGGGATGAGCGCTTTTGCAAGCTTGTGACGATACGGCTGTTCGTTCTTTCCCCAAGAGGCTGAAAACCAGAAGCTGTAGGACGCAAAGAATATTGAAGACACTACCAATAGTAGACAATGAGAGGAAGGCTTGATTATTTATTCCTTCGTTCATGAGCTGGCCGGAAAGGAAAAAAGAATTAAAAGTATACACCGCCCGTCAAACCGTCCAAATAAGCCCGAACCCTTCTTGTGTTGGGTCTAGACAAGGTACAACTCCGAACGACAAATCCACATTTCCTTTTCCTTTTTTACCTGTACTTCTCTTCTCCCCTTTCCATCCCCCGGTCTATTGGGGGCGACAGAGGGAGAAGGGGGTCAGGGCTGGAGAAGAGAGTGAACAGAGAGATACGGGGAGGGGGTCCAAGGGCTGGGTAAGGAAGCCGCCATCGTGGAGCATCTGTCGCAAGCGGCCCGCAAAATCTCACGATAGGGGTGTGGCTCCAAAGTTGACGTCGTTCGCTAGGCCGCTGTCGTCATTTCGGGCTTGTCTGAGGTCTTCTCAGACAGAAACTGTACCGTCCTCCCCGCCGCGCCAATTTTAATCGCTTCTCGTTCCCTTTTCCCTTCATCTATTCCATCAGTAGATGACTTCTACTTATTATCTCTTTCTCTCATTTCCCTTTTCTCTTCTTCCTCTTCCAAGGTCTGTTCGATCCCACCCTCGTTTGATGGATTACAAGCTATCTCTCTCTCCTTGTCCTGCGATCTCTTCTTACCCCTGCTTTTTAAATCCTCAACTGTCCGTTGTCTTGCCTCCCCCTTCGGCTTCATAGGCTGTGGCGCCTTTGCATCACCCACACCCCCTTTCACCTTGACTACGCCTTTAATGTTCACTTTTGCTGGGTCAGGGCTCCTATTCCGAAGACACTGACTGGGCTGGATCGACCCTCCGAGAGCCCCCACGAGCCACCATGCGTCGGAGAAAAATGGCTTGTTGGCCGAATTAGACGATTACTCATCTTTCCCCATCCTTGCGTGATTGCGGCGTCTGAAGGTGCAGTCTTGGTGTGTGTGCACTATTAGTTAGCGTTGAACCCGAACCCCAGTCAAATGTAACTCGGTACTGCGCTTGGGGGAAGGACGTTGAACTCCGAGGCCTCGCTGTCGATTTCCGCGAAGGATCGATTCTCTTCCTAGGGCTAAAGATTGTGAAGATAGATTGGCCCAGTCAAGTCTTGGCCCGTCTTCAAGTTCTCTTTCTTTGCCTCTCCCCCAATTCTGCCCCTCTGCCATGCCTCAAGTTCCTTTTCTTTTCTTTATTAATCTTTTTCCACTCCTCTTTGGGATCCCCAGTCCCGTCCCCATGTTGCATTGCTCTCTGATGCCGTCTTTCTCCCTTTACCCCCACCCGCCCTTTGTCACACGTCGGCACGCTAGAGTGTACATTGAGAAGCCTACCCGCTCGGGAAGCAGGCGAGGAGTATCATGTAATCGGAGATGATCGACCGTTTTGTCACATGCATAATATCGTGCGGGCCCTGATGAGGCGGCTCCCGGGGTGGATGGCGAAGCTCTCCGCCGTACTCAGCCTGGGACGGAAGGAAGCTGAGAGGGTTGCCTCCATCAAGAAGCATAGTGTATGCAAATCTTTCGTGATATATAATACAGTTTTTGTGATCCATTACCCTGGCCCTTCTCACCCATGGCCCTACTGTAAAACAGCGCTCCTAGGCGCGGGTATAATCGGTACATCGGTTCTGGGAACCCCCCTTCTCTAATACAAACCCCTTCCCTCTTACGGGTTTCCTGTAACCCTTACATTGATTTCCGAACGAATAGAATCCATTGTAATCCAAATTTCCAGATTGGCCAGGGTCGGTCGATCTACTCGCATCCGAACCAGGTCGTCCTTGGGTCGCGATGGTCGCAGAATTATGTCGCCATCTTGCCTGATTCTTCTGCTGCCCTCTCGGACTCGGCAAGGGCTTTCTCCTTGCGCACGAGCTCAAGCATTGCGGCCGCTCTAGCGATATTGTCCTTCCTAATGTATTCAATGTCCTTCTGGATCCCTCTCCGGATTGTGTCATACGTGTTGGTATACGTGGCATCGGACCTCTCGGCAAGCTCGTCCAGCTCGACGCTAGACAAGTTCCGCTCGGAGGATTCCTTCGCGAGCATGGCCCTTACCCTCTGATCCCACGCATCCTCGTCCCTCGCGACGTCCAGAAGATCGTCCCTGATGGTTGACGTCGCTTCCACGAGCTCATTGATCGTCTTGTCCAGACGCCAGAGTTTGGTTGAGAGGACTTTGGGCTGAGGCTTGGTAAATCGGAGAAAGGGCGAACCAGCCGTCGTGACGCAGAGGCGAGGGATTTTGCGCTCTCCTCGGATCGCGGACTTTGACAGAGGTCGTATCGTGCACGTGTACCGTGGTGGTTTGTCAGGATTTCCCGTCATATCGGGAAGCCGAGTCAGCAAGGGAGGTTCTGAAGGCGATGGAGAGGATTGTTCGGCCCGCCTCGCCCGCGTGTTGTGTTTCGCCGTATCGGTCGTCTTGGACCGCTCCCCGAGGTGCTGAATGATAGCTCCATGATCGGGAGAGCCCTCGACCTGAGCTTTGGCGAATAGCGCTAGGAACTAAGTGCACACGACGATTGAGGTCAGCCCAGGAGTCCGCCTAGTAGATTTAGTAGACGGGGCAGCTTGTGTGCAGTGCATGCGCGGTGAGGGGGAGGAAGAAGCCCAAGGCAAGACTTTACCTTGTACCCAGCGCTGAGCGCGGCGTATACTAGCCGCGGACTGGTATCCGCTCGGTTCCTCTGAAACTGGCCTCGGATGACATCGTGTATAGGATTCGCATGGGCGCGACCGAGGTCTGAAGGGACTGGGATTTTCCGAGCGGAGCGGAAGAGGGCGCGATAGAGGGCGAAGCAGGCTGACCGGTGTCGCGAGTTCCGGGCAGGTATGAGAATCGGCATGGCTGTTCGTCGCGTGCGAAACTCCCTCCACTACTGATAGATTCGAGAGCCAGCCGCTCTCCGTGGGATATGGCGGTTCATCAAGCGATTCTTTTATTTTATTTCTTTTCCTCGACCTGGCGCGGGGGCTGATTTTCTAATCCAAGGCCGATCAGCTTCCATCAGCGAACAAACGTGGGCTCGTGGGCCGGACTAATTTTCGGGTGACTAAGCGGGCGAGCCAATTCAGACGACGGAAGAATAGAAAATCTGCGTCAACCAATGCCTGCCCCTCCCTGCCACCCACTTCCTGCCTTCACGCTCCACCACTGCATACATAGTATAACTTTTGTGTGCATTTTCAAACATCTCGTGATTCTTCGTTTTTCTCTTATCTTCGCGATCCTCAAACCCCGTCTTCTTGGTTGGATGTTTTAGTATTGATTGTTTCACCTTTATGTTTTCTCGTTTTCTCCACGTTAATACAGGCTCTATTAGAAATTAGTAATGTGCCATCCAGAAACGCTAGCCTCTATCCCTTGGACATCCGGTATCACCGATCGCTTGCCACCCCAAACTATCCTCGTTTGAATTCGTATTAATATCGAGCAGCTGCTAAAATCGCGTTGCCTGAACCCATGGTTTCGAGCCACTCGTGGCTGATTGGCTTGACATGCGATACCAACCAGGGCCCCAACTCACGCGGCCCTCGAACCTTGTCCAATCAAGTGCAACTGATGACACCCTGTCATGCACCCTTCCAAAGGCCCTAATTTTCATGTGTTGAGCAAGGGAGGGCGCCGCCTCTCGGGTTCTTGCCCCTCAGCGAAAGGCAGCTGCACCAGAGGTTTCCGCGATCAGGTATTTCGGGCATGAGCAAATGCAAGCAAGCGAGCCCTGTCCTCTCCCCCTCGAGAGCATCGTCCGGAGCTGCACCAGGCCGGACTGGCGCCTCGTCTTGGGCAGGAGGTGCCAGCGGCTAAAGTCTAGGTTTCTCGAATCGCCCACGACGCCGGGTTGCCCTTGCGGCCCTAGCTGGGTCTTGACATTGATGCCGCGACACTGTGGCCCAGCCATCTTTGATTTGTGCATCGTGATCGGTTATCGTCAAATCAGAAGCCGCCGTTCTGAAGACTTGACTCTCTTCATTTCAGCCCTATTACTTGGGACCAGACTAGGCCTCCGTTCCCACCACAATCTCTCAGCACCGCCCACCTCCTCAAACAACCCTGTATCGTTCTCCCCTTTCTCATTGGCAGACGCGCCTCTTTCTTTCTGGCCCAGTGAGTCTTTGATGCACAGAGCCACCATAACCCTCTGAGGCAGTGGCCCGCCTCCATCGTGAAGCGCCTCGGGCTCTAGCTTGTTCGTGGGTGCCGTGTGCTTGCCGAACATGCTAGTACGCATTTGGTGCCGGGCTGAAGCAGGCCCCCAGGAAAATGGGTGGCCTGCCTATGCGTGCATCTTTTAGAATCTGAAGAAATTTTGCAATCTTCCCCGCTTCAATTCCTCTCGTTTCCATTTTGTGATCTTTGCTTCATCTTCTCCTTCGTTTTTTTCTTCTTTCTTGGTGAACTGTGTCGAGCGTGCTGTGCCGCTTCTTCTTGTCTTTTCCACGACCACTTTCCGGTCAACTATCACCTCCCCACCCATGTTGCTATAAACCACGAGACTTGCGCGGATCAAGATGTGGCGACCGTCGGCAACGAGACCTGGGAGGCAACGGCGTACGAGTATAACACCCAATACAACCTCCAGCCGACCGAGGACCACGAAGAAGCAAGGAATATCGCCGAACAGAAGGGCTACATTTACACCGCAGGAAAGCGTCCTAACTACAAGCCGACGGCGTTGCGATGGTATTTCATCTCAGCGCAAATCCTCATGACTTGCATAGTCATGGCGATTGTCGCGTATGCTCGCGTCAAGATGCCCAACTCTGACAGCACCGCAACGATCGAGGGACGCTCACTCGCCCCGAACTCGCAGGTTGTTGCCCTCGTTGACTTTGGGGGTACAAGAGATATGGGCGAAGTAGCGATGATCACGAGGAGCAAGAATCGGCTCTACCAGGACCTACGCCTGCCTTGGTAGTGCGGGCGACTGATCCGATTGTGACTGGTTTAGTCGTGACGTCTACCTCGGCGGTTAGCATCCCCGCCGGAGATATTGTCACAATCATGGACTCGCCGTATATCAAGTCCCTCTCGGAGGACACGGCCTCTCTATCTTCTCAAGCTGGCGAGCAGGAGAATGGAGTCGAAATCGATGTCACAATCCCGAGGACTCCATGTGGCACGTCAACAGTCTGCGTCGCGACCATCACGAAGCAAGTCATCAGCACTCTCATCATTCCCGCAACGACGCAGTTCTTGACATTTACCATGAGCGTGACAACCATTTATAATGTTATCGAAGAGGTGGAGACCATTGCGCCCTCCGACATCTTCTTCACCACCGATATCGTCACTGAAGTTGTAGACGTCACCGTGATCTACCAGACCGTCACACTTACGGTCCCGAGGCCCCCGCAGTCCTTCTTCAACTCGAGCAGGCCTACAACCGATCCCACGGACTCGGATCAGCAACTTCAGCCAACTCTGACAACACAAACTCGGACCCTTTCGCAGACCATCACGCAGACCATCACGACCCCTTCGGTCGGAACCATTCACGCCACCGGCGGTGTCGTCACGAAAACCAGGACTGAGACTATCGAGGTCCCCGTCCTTGGCATGGGCACCGTCACGAACGAAGACCAGACCTATTTCCAGCTGGGCGACACCACCATCGAAGTGACTTACACCCCGGAGGCAGGACGAAACAACGGTGGAGGAGCCGCTCCCATTACCCACATCATTGAAACGATCGAACCGGGTGGCACAGTCACCAAGGTAATCGAGGATGGCCCGATTCAAGTTGTCATCAACCAGGAGAACGAGGTCAAAACGGTGATAGCGGCGCCGTTGGTCAACGAAGTTGTTCAGCAAGTTGGGGGCGACGTGACTAACGTGGTGGTTGTCATTACCCCTTCGCCCATCCCGCGCACTGGTCGCCAGGGCTCCGACGATACCATGAACGTGCAGAATGTTGCGGATCCCCAACAAGGCGGCTCTGGCTCTGGTTCCAACTCAGGTCAGGCCCAACCCGATCAGCCAGGAGGCTCCAACTCCAACCAAGGAGGCTCCTCGGGTCAAGGAAGCTCGGGTCAAGGAAGCGCCGGTCAAGGCCGGCCTGGCAGTTCCGGGTCCAGCTCAGGCCAAGGAAGCGGCGGACAGGGTCGACCCGGCCAGGCAGGGGCCAGCGGGTCTAACCAGCAAGGATCCGGTACATTTGACGACGACGATACCTTTGAGCCGATCACTCTAACCGTCGTATCGGCGGTGGGAGGTCAGACACAACTCTTCACCACGCAGGACGCCCCACAGACGATCTTCACGACGAACCCCGACGGGTCCCCGAGGACGATTATAACCACGCCCCCTCCCAGAGTCGTCACCTCAATGGTAGGGGGTCTTTGACCACATTCGAACTCGTCACAACACCCGTCAACGGCGAGTTGCTCTCCTTTACGGTCGTATCGACCATTGGCGGATCCCTCACCACCTTTTAGAAACAATGGAGCCCACCACCTACCTCACCACCATTTCCGGAACGCCGCAAACCATTACCTCGACGCCGCCAGCCCGCACAGTCGTCTCAACATTAGCCGCCACGACCAAGACGATGACTTCGGTCAGCACTCCGACCCCGACGGAAGAGGGGACACAGACCGAGCAAAGGTCTACAGCATGAACGCTTCTCAATATTTTGTCGGAAAGTTCCTTCCAGCGCTCTTGGCCATCCTCTTATCAATTCCTCTTCGCGTCATCGACCTCAACGCCAAGTTATATCAGCCATTCTACGCCCTTAACCGCGACGGCGGTGCCATGGGCCCCGATTCAATGACCCTCCATTTCAACGGCTTCAAGGGCTTCACCAAGCCTTTCATTATGCTCTCACAAGGTCACCCGATGACGTTCTTGACATCCATGATCCTTTGGGGCTCATCCCTCATGGTCCCTCTCGCCACCGAGGCCATCGGACTAAAGCTCCACGAAAAGTGCTCCATCAACAACATCAAGGGGTGCGGCGTTGCCCTCGGCATCTCTCCAGGGCCGACACACGCGCTTCTCGCCCTGATGGGCCTAATCGTAGTTTTCCTGCTCATACTTGTTATCATCACCCGAAACTCGGAAAGCGGCCTCTTCGCCAACCCCTGGAGTATTCTCGGCATCGCATCCCTCGCGCGAAGCCGAGACGTTCGCATCTGGAGCGCCAGGAAAGAGTCGATTCGCAAAGAAACGAACGAAAAGCGATATGGGTTTGGATACTTCCAAAATGAGGAGGGTAGGGACGAGTACGGAATCGTGTTGAAGGACGACTCGGCCCAGAACCTTAGGCCAGACGGCGACAACCCCGCGATGGGAGGCCATGGCCATATGGACGACGACGACGACTTTGTTCACGACGTTAACTCGGGCCCTATGAGAACCCGAAGCAGTTCGCTCTCCGCCGAGAGCCAGAGAACCTCCGTTCCGTTCCTTGCCCTGAGCTTTACCTGGCGGATCATCTTCACCTTGTTCCTAGTCGGGCTTTTTGTTGTCATTTTGTTCTACCACATCCAAGTCATGAAGGGGTGGAACCCCGAGTTTAGGAGCTTCATGAACAGCGGAAAGTTTGGCGCGCGGTTCCTCTTTGCCGGTTTTGGTGTTATCATTACCTTTGCTTGGGTTGCTTTCTTCGTCAGTAAGTGATATCCTCGTTTTTTTCACGTGAAACTGCTTCCACGCACGTCGACACTCATAATAGTAAGCCTGCAAAGCTAACCATATTTTTCTCCTTCGTCTAGGTGTCGCAATCATAACACCATACCAACAACTTAGCCGTAGCGCCCAGCCTCCCGAGCGATCCATCCTCCTTTCTCGACCAACCCACGGCATCTACGGCTTGTTTTCCGGCATCAAGGAAGGCAATATATTCCTCGTCCTGACGTCCTTTATCGCGATCCTCGTCGAGTTCCTCCCGCTCCTGCTCGCAAACGTCCCATTCAGCCTGACACAGACGCTCCTCACCCACAAGGTGTGCGCCCGCCTCTCGCTCTCCATCTTGACGGTCATGATTATGACTCTCATTGCGTCCATGTTTGTCAAGTGGCCCAAGATGCCGGTCGATCCCAGAAGCGTGGCGGGCGCCATCTATTACGTATCGGGATCCGATATCTTGATGAGCAGGGCGGAGGGCACCGGAAGGATGGACCGCGAGACGAGGGATAAGACTATCCGGCAGTACGGCGGGAGGTATTACTACGGGGCGATTCCGGGTAAGGGGAGGACCGGTGTCGAGGCCGATGAAGGCGCCGGGGTCGGAGAGGACGTGGAGACTGGGTATCACGGGAATCGCATTTAACGTTTGATTTTTTCGGATCTGGGATCCATCCGCTTCCCTTCTTACGAGAGGCACCTGGAAGCCACACCGTTTTTTTGGTTTGAGGGGTCTCTCGCGCCTTACTCAAGGCCATAGACTGCCGCTCTATTTTCAGGCCTCTTATTTCCTCTTATTTCCTTGTTTTTTTTTCTTTCCTTGTCTTCTTCCATTTTTCTTTTCTGTTTGTCTAGTAGCGTATTTGCCAGCATGATGCAAGAATTCGACGGAGGGCGGACTGGATGGTCCAAGGGATAATGTTGCCTAACGAACCTTTAGATACCAAGTCATTTTGCATACCAAATATTAACGAATAGAACATGATTTTATGAGAACTTTTGTCATTTGTTGTATTTTTTTATTGTTTGTTTTCTTTCTTTCTAATAAGAGACATGCATACGCGGCGCGTTTTCGGCACACGCTGCTAACTGGTGATCCGAGGCTTCGTTAATAGTTTCTATAATATTAATAAGAGCCTTTCTGGGGATGAAATTCTCCTCTTCGTTGCTCATAATCATTGGGTCCCCGCCCTCTTCTACGTCTCTCGAGACACGGTCCTCAGGCGTCGTCGTCCGAGCTACTAGATTCGTCAAGCTCGGCTTGGAAGCCGACGATATAGCGACACCTCTCATTCTCCCATCCCACAGGAACCAGCGTCAGTAGGTTGACAAAGCTCCTGCCGGATTTCTTGAAATTAACGACGCTGAGTTGGAGTTCTCTTTGGCCGTCCAGCGACTTCTTCATCGCCTTGGCGCAATCTTTGGCCCTCTTGTCTCCGTCGCGGTACTCTCTCACCTCCCATCCAAGAGGCGCTTGCATGAACCGTGGATTCATGCCCATAACTTCGTTGGTCGTGTAGCCCGTCATCTTGCAGAATGGTTCCGAGGCGTATATGATGGGCATGTCAGGGAGGGAGAGGTCGCAGATGAGAAAGGAACACGACGTGTCAACGGGTCCGAGGTGGACTTGGGGTCGTGGCCGTGAAAACACCCTAATCTTTTCGCAAGAGAGGAAAGTCAGACTTGCAAGCCCTTTGGCCGCATCTCGACGGCGTGAGTCCTGCTAAGGGGTGGGTGGTTCAGTACTAACCAAAATCCCCATCACGTCCAGCCCACTTCGGCTGTATACACCAGCATAATTCAGAGGGAAAGGTGGTGTCGAGTAGAGAGGGAATCCTATGTTTGGCGTGCGAGCTGGGTGGTGCAGTTGTCCGTTGGAGGACTCATCCCGGGAGCGTCGCTTCCCAGGCTGGGAGCCCTATTTCGGTGTTAACCCACCGCCGTCGACATTCCCTAGGCACAGCACTTGGCTCATCCTTCATGAGACCTCAAGGCGGGCACTGCTCCCAGGGGGACGCGACGAAGAGGGGGAGCAAGCGAGCTTGCTTACCTCTGCAAAGATTGGTACTATCGACATTGTTGGCGATGATGAGCATGTTGGTTCGGCCCTCACCTAAGACGACCCAAGTTCGACAAAAAGTTAACCAAGGACGAGATGGTAGCGCATGAGAAAACGAGGTCCTTGGAAAACAGAGAGAGAGGAATCGTTCAAGGGACCATGGGATCTCGACCGACTCAGGGTCCGGCGCCCCCAGGGGTTTAAATGGATTCCCGCTGGCTCTGGGGGCACTACGGATGGGGACCCCCAAAAGCAGGATCGGCATTTTTCTTGAATCACCCGGCCTCCGACAAGGCGCAATGTCATCGCGGTCGCATCAGTCTAACCGAGCAGTTCTCGAATGCGATGGAAAAAGGGTGTATGTATCAAAAGCACTAACTCTAAAGACGTGGAAGGGGAAGAAAGCGGCATGCGGGCAAACGAGCAGCTGGGGTCTCGTCGGGTCCTCGCCGGGTCTTGGCTTGTGGGCCAGCTCAACTGGCTCAACTGGGTCCGGTGCTGGGTCATTTTTCTGGGTCCTCGCTGCCCTGTGAGGTATTCGACCATTCTGCCCCTCCACCTTGCGGCAGCACGAAGCCAGGCTATGACGCGTTTTGCTTTACTTGACATGGCTCCCTCAAGACACACCCTCCTCCCCGCACCGCACCCCCCTTCTCCCCTTCCCGAGAACATCCCTGTCTCCCAACTCCCACCTCAGTCCTGGGGATCGAATTCTTGCGGAGGATATCGGCGTCATAGCTCTCCACAGATTCTAAACCTAAGCGTCTAGCCCTGTGCCTCTGTTCCTTTCTTCCTTTTCTGACTCGCTTCTTCTTTTTCCACCCAAGACCTATTTTTGCCGGGAAAGCGACGACGTGTCATGTCACTTGATGGTGGTTTCTATCTGCACAAGCAGCCATCTAGGTCGAGACCAGAGGGCCCCCTTGACTGCCACACAGATAAAAAAAAAAAAAAAAAAAAACGGCCATGCATCACATCCATCGACCCCCATTCAAGTGCTTGTCGATTGTCCCGAGTATAATGTAGATATCATGACTCTTTCAACGGAATTCTTCATGTTCATGGCTGCAGTTTGCCCGTCTCCATCAGTCCCGGGGCAGCAAAGCTAATCGTAGAGTTTCTTCTTGATATTTCTCGCTTTGGTTCATGGGATCTCGTTGGCGGAGTTGCCTGACCTTTTGAGGTAATTTTCCTAGTTCCGATCCCCGATCCCGCCAAGCTGGCAGAGGTCCCACGGATCGTGAGGGCTTGGCGGCGGTATCGCTCAGGAGGGTGTCGTCTCTTCTCGAGGGGGTCAGGAGATATGGGAAAGTATCTTTGTACTGGCACTTGGCCTGAGCGAATGGGAGCGATCCAAGGAGCAGGATGTTGGGAAAGAAAGCCACTTCCTTGTTCTTTCCTTTTTTTCTGTTTTCATGCTCGCTCCAAATTCGCTGCATGTCCCAAGGTCTTTTAAGCTATCAACCCATATTCAGCTTGGGAAAAGTTTGCCCCACTCGAGCCTGTGCTGCTCGAATTTTAGGACGATCATGGGCATCGATCCCGGACGCCTGCACCATTCCGGGAGATCGAGCCACACAAAGGAATGGCTGTACGCCAGGACAATAAAATCATTCCTAGTTCGTTGAACAGCCCTTCGGAAGCAAGCGGGCAAGTCTCGACCCAACGCCGACCCTTTACCCTAACACATATAGCTCGCCCCTATATTGGATTGCCATGCGAAGTGACATCAAGCCTCTACATGTAGATTTAGGAACATCGTCTAAGGCTCTCACTGATTTCATTCGCGCATAAACTCGCCGTGCATTGGGTATCATACAAATTGTACCATCGTACTCGTTGAACAAGTTGGAGGGAGGGTGAAGAGGAAGGCAAGGGAGGGTAAGGGGAGGAGGACAAAAATAAAAGCCAAATGGACCTAGCTGGCCAGGTTTCAGGGTGTCAGATCAACACGCTAAATCCTTCTTACAATTGCCCATGACTTTCTGCATTACAGTTCGTCGTACTCGTGAGCCCTCGACCCCCGTTCCCGCTTGACTGAGCGGCGTGGACGAGCACTATTCCTTGACTCCTCCTTTATCCTTGTCGCGACATTGCCACCCCCTTCTTCGTCACTTTCGTCACCCTCCTCATCATCGTCACCATCGCCATCATCACGCACCATTCTCGAGTTATCTTCGTCTTCATCTTCGGATTCAGGCCGCTGTCGCTCTCGTTGGGCTCTGCGAATCCGGGCTAGCATTGCCCGGTCAGGGTGGAGGTCTCGTTTTGAAATGTCCTGCAACGAGTCGAGAGTCGCACATTAGCACACCGCTTCCAAGCGTAGCGGAGATGTAGGATAAAAATGAGAGTGAAAGTGAAGAAAAAAAAAAAAACAACGGGGATTAAGACGCTCGACTTACCATGTTACAACCGGCTTGCGGGCACCGCACACGCTGGGCACCACCAAAAACTCGAGAATAGCGTCCTTTTCAAACGTGTGCTTGCATCGGGAGTTGGTGTAGGGTTCCCTCATCTCCTGCAGCGAAAGCGGGCACCGCGTGCTCACCTTTTGCCTCTCGATGACGATGTCGTCGTCCCCGTCCGCCATTTCCTCGTCCTCGTCGCCACCGTTCTCCCCCGAGGTGCCGTAGTTGAACACAGGTTCGCCAGCGTGCGTGAACCACCTCTTGGCGTCGGGAACGATGGCATCTGCGCCATGCAAGCCCATGTGCCACTGCCTCTTGAACTCGATGTAGTCGTTGTTCAAGCTGTATCGTTGATACGCAGCCATGCTCTCGTAGTCACTCGCCTTTTGTTCCCTCAACTCCCTAATCATGTCCGTCGACGGGTGGAACAGCGGCTCAGCCAAGACGTCCCTACCATCCTCGTCGGCCTCGCCCGCCTCGGCGAGTTCCTGCTGCCTTTGCTCCCGCCGCATCCGCTCCTGCTGCCGCGTCCTCGCAACAGTCGACGTTGCATCGTGGGTGGCGCGGAGCACTTCCCGCTCGTCCGCCACCCCGGCTTTGAGGTCCACCAGTTGCCTGACCGACTGCTCCGCCTCCGTCGTCAGAGACTTGGCCAATAGCTCGAGCTTCGTGACCTTTTTCTGCATCCGCGCCCTTTCTTCCTCCTTGTTTTCGCTCAAACCTTCCAGGTTGGACCTTGCCGTCTGCAGCGTCTCGTTCAGCTCAAACGTCGCCCGCCCTATGAGCGACAATGACTCGCGCACATGCTCGTCCAACTTCTCCGTCTTGAGGTTCTGGACAAGCTGGAAGAGGTGATCTACCCCTCGCTATTGAGCGCACATGCCTGCGCTTTGTACGGGGAAGGGCGGCGAGGGCGGCTGACGAGGGCGGGTCACGGCGGCCCGGTGTTGAGCTTGACGAGGCGTCGTCGCGGCGACCCTGCTGAAGGCGACGTCTTCCAGGAAGCATTTGATCCTTCCGAGATGCTTCCTTTTATGGGTACTAATCGCCCTTTTTCTTCTTATTTATGTTTTAGTGGACGTGGTGAGTGGATGGACGAGAGGTCTGCGATGAGATCAAGGGTGGATATGGCACGCGTTTACTTGACGCGTTAATACAGCTGATCAATTTGGGGGCCCTTTTTTCGTTTTTAGAGGGGCACCGCTGGAGGGCAGAAAATTGCCCCGCCTTCAGCCTTTAGCTAGCAGCTGCTGGCAACTGTGGTAGGACTAGAGAGATGAGATTTGACATTCTTGGCCTTTTGAGCTTTGAAATCGTGGTCGGTGTAAGTGAAGAAGTTGCCTTTTTTTTTCCCCTTCAGCCTTGAGAAATAGTCTAGAGTCCATGGTTCCAGCTATCGATATCGACCAAATAAACTTGCTCCTCATTTATAATCTCATTCGAGCCAACATGGCTCCCGTCCTGTGGCGGGAGGCAGGGTGCGAAACGTACCACACTAGATGGCGCGCAAATCGGATAAAGTTAGCGGTGCAAGTAGACGATTCGTTTTTGATTTCTTGAGAGGTCTACGACTTGTAGCCTTGAAATCACTTCAGTAAGTAGTAGCCGAGGCTATTGTCGGTCCGTCATTCGCATATGGACTATACCAAGTCTCGATTGTCTCCATAGACTGCGAAGAAGAGAATCCATGGATCTCTTTGACTTAGGTGCATCGCCACCCTAGGCGGTCCAGCTCTCAACCGCCAGCTTCGTTAGACGTTGCAGGCTACTTGTATGTCTTTAGTCACAAGCGGTGGCTCCCATGGTGGCCTCGTTCAAGAGGAATGTGCGACAATCCACGAGCTTCTTAGACATCTAGTAACAGGTGATCTCACCGGCCTTGAGCTTCAACAACAAGCTGCGGCAAAGATGCATCGCGGAGATGAGTAGGAAGACGAACTAGTAACCGAATGTGTAGTTCACAACGCTTAATGCTTGAGTGGCAAGATTCAATCAGTTTCGCCAGATCGCGAGGTCCAATGGAAGCCACTTGCCACACCGACTTTTCTTCGACGGCGTGTCTCAGGGCAGACCGAGAAGGCGCCCTAATCATACACCTTGAGCTCTTGAGACTCCGGGTTCGGCGGTCGAGTGCAACCGACTTTAATGTAACATAACTTTGGAGATCTAGCCCTCCATCCCCGTGTCATCAAAGAATGATCTCGACCTCGGGAAACTTGAGACACGACAGCCCGCTTTCTTCCGGATGGACTATTAAGAGTTTCCCAGAGGTAATGGTATCACGGAGTCTTGCACCAGGGCCCTTACGCTATTACTCATGCAAGAATGTGCTATTAGGCTCTCAATTGAAGAGAGTACATGTAAAACCGTCTTGAGGTCATATGTAGCCTATCAATATGAGTCTGGCCTGTGGATTTAGACGGTTATTTTGTGGGAGACTAATGGTTTCTTAGATATTCGCGGGTGATATTCTTTGAGGCAGCCATCGACGGTCTCTAAGAATCTTTCTCGAAGCTGCAATTCAAATCCTGGCGCTTTTCAACCAAGAACAGAGGCACTAGAGGATGGCTCCCACCCTCAAGCATCTCTAAGGCGATGATGAATGGCTGGCCGAAGATATCAGGAGCGCGACTCAATCCGTTGTGGAAGATTCGAAGAGAATCAACAGGGGAGTTCTCTATCACTATAAACTGCTCACTGAACTTATGCTCTCGAGCAATGAGAGATGAGGGAACCCCGTTCAGCTGCTGACTGTGACTACAAAAGACGGCGAGTTAGGCAGCCAGCGTCTGTGCCGAGGGCGAGATACCCCACGAAGACACTTGAAGAGTAGCCTAAACTGTATGTGCGAATGTCCGGAGTGGCCAACAACGGCTGCCGAAAAGCTATTACACATAACCATGGATGTGATGTGGCTAGTTACCAGTTTTCAAAATCCTGCTCTACAATTCATTCATCTGTGGTAGATGTTTTATCTCTTAAATACATTTACAAGTATCTATGGATCCATGTCTTCTTTGGTGATCGACGATGGGTCGCTGGAGGGAAGAATTTGATAGCCCAAGGGAGAAAAAAAGAATGGGAAGAGAAACAACCTTGAAGACGTCTCGTCGAGACGGACAGGGCTACATCGACTAAAAAAGCTTGTATAATTTCGTCTGCTGCCTAGAACGCACAAGAGAAGTTTCAGTGTTCTCCAGGAAATTACGCTGCAGGTGCCCGGTCAGTGGATCAATGCAAGATCAATCTAGATTTTTAGAAACGCCGGCCTTAAAAGGCTCCCAAAGCGACGAGTCTAGCTCATCATTGATCGCTTAGCACGCGGGTCCTGGGGCTGAAGGTCGAGCTAGCCAGGGGTCTGCAGATGGGTACGTACCCCTCGAACCATTGGAATAACAAGAAAAAGGCACAACCGCTCGTGAAGCCACGACCAAAAGGGCGGGCGCGGGCGTCACGATCTTTTTGCGTCCCATCCCAATTTTTTCTTTTCCCCCTATCTCGCCCTTGAGAAGGAGTAGCTTCCTCTTGAGGAGTTTTCTATCTCACGTCCCGGTATTTTCAAACAGCGCCCAACGTGTTTTGAACGACCGTCGAAGCCATGGATCGCGACAACGATCCACATGCGACGGCCTCCGATATCATCACGTATATCGGTGTGCCCCTCGCCGTGCTCGGCGTGCTCCCCATCCTCTACAACACCATCGTCACGCTCGCCGCCCTTTCCAAGATCAAGCGCATGCTGAGGCACAGTCAGCTCAAGGCCCTCACGCGCAGCGACGTGGTGAACCGGGTCATCGAGGTCGAGCTGCCCCGCTACGCCGTCACGCCCCTCGACCGCCTGGAGCAGCGCGACGAGTACTGGTCGCTCAGCAGGCACCCGAGCAGCATCCCCGGCGGCTCCTGGACGACGTTCAACTGGCGGACCAACGCCATCGGCAACAAGACGCAGCGCGTCGAGTACGCGGACCAGCTGCGCCAGCCCCAGGTCGAGGTGGAGTTTCAGGAGCTGATCTCGTATCTGCTCGACTTGGGCGCCGTGCCCGAGCCCTACGGCTGGAGGCTGCTCAAGACGACGGGGCTGTGGACGCCGGTCGGGTGCGCGCTCATGATGTCCCCGGATGGAAGCCACAAGGCGCTCACGGTGGCCCCGCTGGACGATTCGGATGGAAATCTTTCTCTGGCCGTCAATTGGTCTAGCCATTGGATCACGCGAAGCCACTCGTCCCTCCCTCCTTACTGGGTTAGTATCCCGGCGCCTCAGGCGGCCGCCTCAGAAAAGGCGGAAAAGCCGTCCTCGTCCGGCTCCATGCCCGAGCCGGACCCGCCGGCGTCGTCCGCCAAGTCGGTCGACAGCGACAGCAAATCCGTCCACAAGTCGCTTAGCGACTCCGTACAAGAAGAAGCCAACCAAAATGCCTATCGATCTCTCTCCTGCCACGTCTCTATTCACGGCCTCGTCACCGCCCTACCCACAGACGAGTCGGGCCAAACGGTACCGGACAATCTCTACATTGACCACCTCCGCATCTCCAAAATCTCCACCAACGGGATCTGGTTCGCCAGCGCCGTCACCGCCTTTGGCACCTCGGGTCAAACCATTCTCTGGAACTACAAGATCCCGGACAATATCCTCGCGTTTTCGCGCAAAGACAGCGTTCCGTGCGGCGTGCTCGAGATGCTCGAGATTGTCACCGACAACGAGACCCCGGAGTGGGCGACAAAGTATGATGACATGTCACAGCGCCTCGATATGCAAATGAGAAAGGCGGCGGAGCGCACGCGGGAACTCGCCAAGGAACACGCCATGTCTCCGGCCGACAGGGCCAAAGCTATGAGCGAGAGAGTGAGAAGGGAGGGTATGGAGCAGCTGAACGATAGTAAGTCTTGGCTATGTGTGACTCGAAGAAGGATAGCTTTTCTCCTTCGCCTGTCTCGTCTCTCTTTGCTGCACTCTCTTGACCTTCGAAGCTTAGACTAACGTTGGAAAACAGTGCGCGACCGCTTGCGGCAGGACAAGGAGCGCCAGGAGAAACGAATCGGCGAGGCCTTCCAGTCACCCAAGTGGCACGCGACACGCGTGGCCGAACACACTCTCCGCTGGCTCAAGAACAAATCCCACGTTAGCGAATTCCTCAGCGTCAAGGAAGCCGCGGGGACGGTTCTGCATCGCATGATCCTCGACGGGCAGTTTGCCAACGCCGTCTGCCGGTTGCTCGACAGCTGGAACGCGTGGACGGAGAACGCCGGCATGCGTAAATCCGACCTCGAAATGCTCAAGGAAGAGCAGGTTGTGTTCTCATGCGCGAGTTTGCTGGTCTCTGTGATCAGGGATACGGGGAAGACGGATATGCAGGTTTCGGTAGCGCTGGACTTGCAAGAGTGCCTCATGCTGTGGAAAAAGGTCCGGTTAGGTTGATGCAAGCAGCAGAAGATCAAGGGTGCGAAGTCTATTTCCATTTCCCTTAGTATGATAGTGTACAAAGACCCTGCTCCGTTCTACGAGCCCATTTCATGACTGATAGAGATATAAAAAACGACAAATATGTTTTACATGCAAGCTCCAGCCATCCCAGACATGAGAGCAATCACCGTGCGTTTCTAATCTTACGCTTTCATTATTTCAGGACCGTCTCGGCGTACTGCGAAAAAGTAGTTGCCAACCTTTTCGCTGCCTGTGACCTCCTTCCAGCCAAGTCCCGGCACGTACACGACACCCATGCACCTCGGGCTGTTCCACCCACCCATGGAGCTAAAGTACGCACGCAACTCCTCCTCGTTTATGTACTTGTCCCAGCTGTGCGTTCCCTTTGGCACGATCTTGAGTATATCCTCTGCGATGAGGTTCGTGGTGAGCCAGCTCATCCACGTCCTCGCAATAGTGCTCAGCACAAGCCAGCCTCCGGGCTTGACAAAGGGCTTGCACGTCTCAAGGAACTGGCCGGGCGCGTCGACATGCTCCACAACCTCGAACACGGAGACGACATCGTACAGGTCCTCGGGGCGGGCGGGCACCTCGAGCTTCTCGATCGATCCCCACTTGTAGGTGAGCTTGCTCCGCAGCCCGGGGTCCCGACGCGCGTGGGCTTTGGCGACGGCGAGGACTTCCTCTGACGCGTCGACGGCGGTGACGTGCTTCGTGGTCGGCAGGCGGGCGGCGCTCTCGGCGAAGATGCCACCGCCGCACCCGATATCAAGGTATTTTAGGGAGGAGGGAGCGCTCGGCGGGGGTCGGCCTGGGAGGCGTGGCAGGCACGGATGAAGTCGTGCCGCGCGGGGTTCATGAGGTGGAGGAGCCGAGATGGGCCGTGGGCGTCCCACCACGATGAGGCGAGGGCATCGAAGTGGGAGATTTCGGACGGGTCGACGGAGGAATAGCTGCCGCTGCTGCTGCTGCTGCTGGAGGGGACGACGACTGGCGGCGCGACTGAAGGCGTGGGGCCACGGTGGTTTGCGTTGGCTGAGCAGCGTAGCAGAGCGTCGGTATCGTTGCTGGCCTGGCCGTCTGCCGGAGAGAGGCGGCAGCCAAGCGCCGGGACGCTCGGTTGATGAGCATTGAAAATTGGCTCTCGTTGGAGGGGGTTGCTTGGTGCAGATCGATGCGTGACCCTTCTCTCTTGACTAGCGAGAGGAAAAAAAGAAGCTTCCTCAATGTCACACTTTTGGCGTGTGGAAGTACCCGCAGTATGTACCTTGTACCTGGGCGCAAAGGGAACAATGCATTGGAAGTTTACCTAATCCACCCACTCACCTCGGCGTGACAACCTTGAAGGCCATCGGCCACCCCAGTTTGCGCAGTTCATCCAGATGCCGACCTGCAGAGCAAACTGGACCCCTGGCTCGGCTAACTGCCCAGTGGCATTGGAACGCTCCCTCAAATGGGGTGACCAGCCGGGTAGTACCTGTACCTGAACCCTGGCATCTCGACCGACTCAATGAACCCTCTGCGCTGCAGCCCAAATCGCTGGTGATCACCGGCCTACCAGAGATGTGCCAATACCATTAATAAGCGAAAAGCAAAGCAAAAAATATTGAACCTGTAGTGGTGCCATCATCACATGTGCAAACGGCAGCTCCCCGGGCCAGTCAGTCAACTGGCCGGATCGGCCTGTAAGAGTTGACCGTGCTATCTCCGCGCCGCAACTTTGATCCTAGGCGTGTTCGCAGAAATGCAAGGCGAGGTTCATTTTTAAGAAATATCCCGATACCCATCCATCTTCGGTAATCTGGGGTATTGGATTGGCGGGCCAGGCAGACAAAGCCCCCCTTTCCACCTTTGCACTGCGCACATGGCACATGGCGCCATCCCTCAAGTCCGACATTCGGAAGGATACATTTCGAAGGTGTGTAACGCGACTACAATGTACTCGTAGAAATGTCGGTGACAGGACAGAAGACGCAAGAATACTATATTCAAGGGCGTAACATGTCTTTTGTGAATTATTATCAGCCCTGTTCCTCTGGTCCTTCCGACCAGCGCAGCGGATAGGCCGAGGTGGGAGGTTCGAGTCGGATGCTGCAGGCGGATGACTACTCGTCTCCCACCTGCTGACAATTCCAGTGGACGGAGTGTGGGCATGCGACTACGCTCTTAGCAATTAGAGAAAAAAGCCGAGGGCAATAAGCGGAGTCCCGGGAAGGTGGTCCAAGGTAATGATAGCGTAACTTTTACAAATGGCCGCCGCCCCGCTTCGGCTTTCTTCAAGCTGAGTACCAAGAGGGCCGCTGGAAGGGGCGCGTTCGATCAATGAGACAAACCCTCACGGGTTGACCCGAGTATACACGCCCAGTACTTTTCTCTCAGGGTTTGGGCGTAGTGTATCTCCAAGTTTGCCAACGAGCCACACTTTGCCTCTTTTCACAGGGAAGAAAAGACGGAGAACTCGACGTTGATTGAACCGTAAAGCCCGAAGGCCACTAGCTCGGTGGGCTCGTCTGTCGTCCGTTGTGCGGAGAAGACTGCCGTACGAGTCAATTGATTGCCCCCCTCCCTCCAATTGCCCTCCCCATTGCCGCTAAAAAACGGCCGCTCCGCTTTCGCCTTCTCACCTTGGTTATACTCGATCGGGTCAATTACACACAAAACGCACACACTTACCAGACCCTTTCCCGCCATCCGTCGGCTCAAGTCCGTGAAGCATTGGCCTTTTCCGCCTCCCTCTTCTCCTTCTTCTTCTGAATCGTCAACCCGCGGTTCCAAATCTCAATTGGCACTTCTCTTCACATCCGTTTCTTATCCTCTCGTCTGTTTCGTAATCTTTAGCTTCACTGCTGCAGAATCGTGTCTAAGAAGAAGCCTCAGAGCGTCGAGGTCCTTGCGATCCCCTCCCTCTCCAAAACGAAAGAAAAAGACACCATCCACCTGTGGACCAAGTCCCTTATTCCCCTCCAACAAGCGGACAAACCCCACCATAAATTTATTTTCCCCCAGTGCCCCTCAATCGTTGCCGCGGCCCCGATTTGGCGCATGACGCATATGCGACACTGAACGGACGACAAACCCATTTTCTCCTTCTCTCCCTCTCTCTTCCATACACATACAGTCCAATCTCAACACACACGAGCATCGTCTTCTCTTTTTACTCTTCTTATATCGTCATTTCGGTCTCTAGACGCCCTCCCCTACGGCGCACAGCCGAACACAACCCCACGCTGTCTAATCCTCCTCATCCGCAAAACCCTCCTCTCTCCCCCTCAAAAATCTCACCTCACCCCCGTCACCATGCCTTCCGCCACCCTCGACCAGTCCCTCTTTGACTCCATTCCGGACTCCATAGCTGCCTTCAGTACGTTGTCTCTCTTTCCCGCTACCCCTTGGCTCCATGAGACGCGATAACTAATCCCTCACTCACAGGGAACGGCGAATTCCTCTTGGTCCTAGACGACCCCGGGCGCGAAAATGAAGCAGATCTCATCCTCCCCGCGGAAGACGCCACGACCGAGAAGCTCGCCTTCATGATCCGCTACTCCTCGGGCTACGTCTGCGCCCCCATCCTCCCCTCCCGCACCGAGGCCCTCGAGCTGCCCCAGATGGTCTCCCGCTCCCAGGACGTCCGCGGCACCGCCTACACCATCACCGTCGACGCCAGCCACCCTTCCATCACCACCGGCATCTCCGCCTACGACCGCGCCCTCACCTGCCGCACCCTTGCCGACCCCAACGCCACCGTCGACTCCTTCCGCCGCCCCGGCCACGTCCTGCCCCTCAAGGCCAAGGAGGGCGGCGTCCGCGAGCGCCCCGGCCACACCGAGGCCGCCATCGACTTCTGCAGGCTCGCTGGGAAGTACCCCGCCTCCGTCATCTGCGAGGTCGTAGATGATGGCGCCGAGGTCGAAGGCCAGGCGATACGGCTTGAGCCCGGTATGCTGAGGGGCGAGAAGTGCATCGAGTTCGCGAAAAGTGGAACATCAAGGTCTGCACCATCGCCGACCTGGTGGAGTACCTCGAGAAGACTGAGGGCAAGCTTTCCGCTGTGAACGGCTCTTCTTAGCGCTCCGGCGTAATGCTGGAAGGAAGGAAGCTTGCACAACACCACAAGAAGACAGGCCGTCAAAAGAAGGATAGTTTGGTTGTAATTCCGCTATTCCCGGCCTCTTCTTCATCTCTCTCCTTCCACAACCCCCTTTTTCCCTCCCATCACCGCCTTTTTCTCCTCTCCTCCTCTCTCTCCTTCATTTTCTCCCCTCCCTGCTTCACTTTTAGGCTTTCACGCAGATCGAGATAGGGAAAATGGTGAAAAGGGCTTTTCTTCTTCTTCGTTTTTGTCCTGCTTTCTTTGCGTGCACATGGTTTCGCTTCGTATACATCACGATACGCATTTTCCTGTTTTCTTCTTCTTCTTTTTTTTTCCCCTCCGAGTCTTCACTCAATTATGTATTCTGCTTAGTATATTAGAAAGACGAAGGCTCGGCTGCTCTATGTTGGATAGACCGTCTGAAATTCTGGAGAACAGGTATATATCGCAAGCCCAATATCAAGGGAACCCTAAAGCAAATAAGAATCTCCACCCCGTTTGAAATTTCCAGTTAAACCAAATCAACTACAAAGTTAAATCCCCTACTTGCGCCGCTCCCCGGCACCTATGATGAGCCGAGCGGTCAATCCAGAGATACACACGTTGTATGAGAAATAGAGTTGCACGAGTGTCCTGTAGCTGACAAGCATCGATTTCATTCATTTAATGCATAGCCTCGTGCCTTTTGTCTAATGACCTGAATAAGAACCACCCCGAAGCCATTCATTGCTCCTAGAGCACCCGTCTAAGCAACATGATTTTTCGTGACAAAAAAGAACCAAAGGACAACATAAACTGAATGAGTACGTAAAAAGGAATGTAATCTGCAAGAAGTGAAAGCCAAGGAAAGCCCAAGTGCCTTGTACGCAGTCCAGCCTAACCGCCGCGCTCATAGCGGTAATAATAGTTCTTCTGCTTGTTGAGTTTCGTCCCGAATGCGATATCCCTCTTCGCCCCTCTGGCGTGCTCCATCTTCCGGCTTTGGTGGACCTCGCGCGCGAGCTTCTCCTTCGCTTGGTCCGTGACACCCGCAAGTCCTTGCTCGCCTCGAGGGATGACGGCTCGGCTGTGGTTGCCACTTGCTTCGCCCTCACCCTCGCCCTCGGACTGTGTCTCACGGTCACCATGAGAGCCGCCGTTCTCGAGTGCAAGTCTTTCGCGATCGCTTCGTTCGTCGGGGGTCGGGTAGTTGTGCAGATTCTGTCGGTAGTAGCGGTTGAGCGATCGGTGACCGACGGACTTTCCAGACGGCAAGTGAAGCTCATAGTCGTCGTGAAACACAGCGCGAGCGTTGTGTTTATGCGCATGCGAGTGCCAGCCGTCGGCCATATGATGATGCCTAGGATCATTGTGAGAATGATGATGACTTTTATTGAGGCGCTCATACTGGTTCTGGCGGTCGTCCGCAGGGACGGCCGTGAGCTCCTCCGAGTCATATGAAGACGCTGAGCTATCCGTCTCCCAACCATCTTCTCCAACAACTTCCTCTCCGTTTTCGTCGGTGACCGTCTGGGATCGTTTCGCCCCAAGTTTGCGGCCGCCGCCGACCTTTTCGTTCTCTTCGTCATCGGAATCGTCTTCATCGTCGGAATAGGTGCTCCTAAAATCGTAAAATTCTCCGATATCGAGCTGCTCGTCCTCCGTCGTATAAGGGATAGTGCAGTGGCCCACATCCCGCATATGGGTCTGCACCGCGAAAGCGTTAGATTTCATCTTGCCGCATGTGAGACATTCGAACCCCTCGTAAATCTTGGCCGTGAGGTATTTGAGGAGGCCCTCAAGATCGACCAAGTATTCCTTTTCGGGGATCACCATTCCATGGAAACGCTCCATGTGGTGGGCATTGAGGCGAATCGTCGGGGACATATATCTGCAGAACAAACATTGTTGCAAGATGGTCGAAGGGTCAGGTTGCTGGGGCGTGGGTGTGGAGGAACCCGAGTCTCTATCCTTGGCATCATCGTCCTTCTGTGCGATCGTTGCTTGAGGGTTAGAGGGCCGCTTTACGGGCGATGGCCGGGTACCAGAAACTGTAGCCTTCTGGAGTCCTTCGACAACTTGGTTGAACTCTGCCTCTACAGATGTGGAATCGGGCCCATTGTCCTCGTCATCATCGTCGTCGTCATCGCGATGAGCGGCTACGGGCTCTCCTAGAGAGAACGTAGAGCTCATGACGGAGCTAGTCTCATCCGGGATGGCAGAAGGTGTGAGGACTCCCCTAGCTTCCCTTGCACGATGCTTCTGGCTAGACAGATGGTTTTGGTACGAGTTCTCGCTATAGTACGTCTTTTCGCAAATATGGCAGGACCTCTCGAAGAATGCCTTACCCGCCTCGGCATCAGTCTGAGCTCGAGCTTGGAGTACTTTCTCTGTGAAAGCCTCTGCAGTAATGGGTGGGAGCGATGCAACCCGTCGCTTTAAGTTATACCGGCTGTGGGAGTCGTGGTGTGTTAGCCGCTGCGTTCACACAGTCTTCTTGGAGCCATAGGAAAGCGCAGATGGAGTAAAAGAAAATAACAAGGGAGTTCACATACTGCCAGTCACTCTTCATATGCCCCTTTTGCAAGTCTGGGTTGCGATAGGCGACCTGGCAGGTGTTGCAGGTGAAGGGTGCGAAGCCGTCGCCCCAGTGGGCGCTGCGGCGGACATTGTGACGAGGGGCAGAGATGTGTCGGTGGAGCGTTTATTGAAGCGTTCTCTAGCCGTTCCGAGACTCGTACTCGACAAGGAAAATTCGAATTTTGATTTTGAGCCCCCTTGGAAGTGGCGGAAAGGCCGGAGATGATTGCGTGCACCTGTATGTGTGCTGGATGTGCGCGTTTGTGTTGTGTGCGTCGATGGCGACAGAGCAGCGCTGGTGGTTTGGTTGGGCAAGGAGGAGCAACACCAAAAATTCTGGCTGCAGGGTAAGAATTAATTTTTATCGCACTTTCCTTGCCTCTTATCAATGTGATAGAGAGGAGGGGTGAGTGGGGGCTCGGGGTGTCCTTGTGCCTTCTGCCTTCGGCCCCGTCTTTTTTTCCCTCTTCTTTTTCCCGCTCTACTTTCTTTGTGCTCTTTTCCTCTCGTCATCCCGCCACTAACTAGAGATACCTCAGGACTGGCTCTTGATCCCGTAGGCTACGCTACTAGTGGCCCCGAAATCTTTTCAGAGGGGCAAATTCGAGTTTTCTTCCCTCATTCCTCGCTCTCCTTCTTTTCTCTTCGAGTCAGTCCCCACACACATCAGTCATAGGAGCAGCGATTAATAATGCAACGACAATGGGGCGTACTTCATACAACATGGGCAAGCCCATGCGCGGAGCATTTGGTCGTCGACCGCTAAATTCCAAGACCCCTTCTATTATCTACTTCGCCCTCCCACGGGCTTTTTAATTCTTTAGGGTGTGCAAACCTGTCGTGTTGAGGCTGCCTTGCAAAGAGCGGCATCCTAGCTGTGGAGGGGGTGAGGATCCAATGACGCAATGCACAACTCTTCGGCCAGCCATATTGTCCTCCGTTCTGAGTAGTAGCGGCAGACAGGAATCACCTAGCCTTACATTTCCCCCTCCCTCGCTATTTTTGCGACTTTGTGGATGCTGCCAACCTGCTCCTGCTTAGAGGTTATGCTCGTGAGAACATGTTCTTAGAGCCATGCTCGCATGCATAGAAGCAACTCCGGTGCACTGGACCATGACTTATTGCCGTATCGAGTATGGGGTAGGGCACGAGTGGCTCATAAACAGAGCTTGAATCTTTTCGACGGGGAATGCAGCCATTTTATGTGAACAATAATAGCCAATTGACAATCGAGAGGCATCTAGATCCAAGATCCACCCATGGCCTGGTCTCCACGGCAGCTGGGATTTGCAAGTGCCTTTCCCTCGGATTCGATCTCGTGCTTCCGCTGACTCAGTGCATTTCCCCAGTGCACTGACCTTGCGCCTCCACTGAGACTTCCAACTGTGACGGAACTTCCCGTCCTCACCAGGGGGATCAATGGATCCATTGGACCATCAGAAGCTGCGAGGCTCCTTCTTCTGGATTGTCAAAGTTGAAAAGGGTCAATAGATGTCGACACTGTACTGTCCACAATACAAGGGTCAAAGTCATGTTCTAGATGCTTCGGCTTGTAACAGTTTTCACCCTTCAAGAACGGAAGGAGAAGAGGATTCCCTCGTTTAAATTATCTTTTATTCAATGTTGAAAAAAAAAAAAAAAAAAGCACAATAAAACAGAAATAAAGCAACGCCTTCGCTTGCTGTGAATTAAAGGGCATAATTCTCGTCAGGCGAGGCTTAAACGCAAGCGGGCGAGACTCAGCAGGTGGATATCCATCCTTCTCTCCCAATACTTCCGCATTCGGCGTTGCAAGGTGCTAAATTCAGTCACCCCAAGACTTAATCGCCCATTGGATTCAAGTGACTTAGTACCCAGCCCACTCCATTTGTAGCCTTGTGTCATCTCATCCCCAACTGGAGTTCCAGCTCAACGCCCCAAATCTATCCTCTCGACGTCAATCAATGTACCCGCCCCTTCCTTCAACCTCCAACTTCAATCTCACCCTCTCGAAAACGAAACCCCGACGCCTGCATCAAACCCTTTATCTAGCTACACTCTTCTGCCGCGATCCTCGATTTAAACAGCGTCAACAGTCATCCGCTCATTCGTACCGGGCTCGAAAGGCGATCGCCCACCACCCACACTAACCTGCTCCCATCCATCGCCAACACCCTTCCCAAGCCTTGCGCCAACAAACCTTGCCCATCCCATCTCTTCCAGCCTCCCCCATAAGACTGCACTTCGCTTTGGAGTCTCTCTCGCCGAATGATATGACGAAAGAATCACTCCGCCCTCCCCTAGTGGGCGGTCAGATACCGAGACCGAACTGTTCTCTCTACTCTGGGAGGAGGCCCCTTTCCCAAGGCTTCCTCGTGACGCGCCCACGGAGCTAAAAGAATTCGTTCAGGCCCTTGAAAACCCTCGCCATGTTTACACCATACACTGTGCCTCTCGCCGCCACAACTTCCAGGCACTGGTCGAAAAGTGCGTCTAAAAACTTGCCCAAGATCTTGCTAAACGTGCTCGTCACGCCGTATTTTTGGGCTCTCTCCCACCCGTGCTAACACCTAACGTATTAGATTCATCGTCCAGCTAAGATACGGCTGCGATAGCCCTTCCTGTACAACATCATCCTGCCTTTCATGTAGGAAACGAATCGCTGGGAAAGCGCCTATCCGACGTTACAACCCGACAAGTGCGAGAACGCTAGCCGTCTATCTTGCCAGCCAAGACAATCCTGAAAATGCCCTTTGCCCTTATGTCCGAATCGGAAAGGACACCCCGGTGTCTGGTCCTAGTTCGCTCGTTTTTACACCTGTCCACTTGCCCCAAAACGCCGTCGATTCCAAGAGAACGGGACGAAGGCTTTCCAACACCTTAAACGATGATGCCAATGGGGAGTGTCCTTCAGGAACACCGCATCATGAGCCTTCAACCAGTTGCCGGCGGGTTGCTACCTTTGAAGTCTCCGAACAACCTGTGCGGTATGACCACCGATCTTTTGCGGCCAACGTGTTTGGGACAGCGGCCTTCAAGATGCTGGAGTGGTTGGCGCCACAAGGCTTTGAAGGTCTTACGAAAAAGGCTCAGGCTATGTCTATATCGACTCCTACTACTGCCGATAACGAACCGGGCGTGGAACATGGTGAGCCGCCAACGCGTGCCCTCTCTCGACAGGGCGAGGATTCTGGCACGGTCATCTCGCAACCACGGAATGAGAAGGCCGGTCCCAAGGAGGATGGGACTGCTGGACAATCCGTCGATGCGCCCAGAGCATCTCTTCCTGCTTCTTCTTCAAAGCCCAAACCTTCACGGCGAAACTCCAACGCAAAAGTGCGGGCCACCTCGACGAAACCGATACGAAGGCTGTCGACAGACCCTTTTGTACCTGCAGCGCCGTCGGAGGATACGGCTACTATTGTATCGCCGCGCATTGCGGGAATACACCCCGAAAAGTTGCCACGCCCCCAAAGCTACTCAAGCAACTACGCGTGAAATTTCAATCGTCCCTTCATCTCCTGGAGGATCTTCCGATGACGCCGATAGTGAAAAGTTGCTTGGTGGCGGACAAGATCCTACGGATGAGCAGATGACATCACCAGAGGACTCTGCCGAAGAGGACGTCACCGATTCCCATTCGAGCGAAGATGACTTTGGGGATGGTCGATTGTGCGCACGCCTAGCCGCCGCGAAGACCCCAAAGGACAGTAGAAAACCGGTGGTGGAAGTCGATGACGATGGTAAGGAAGGCGACACGGAAACATCCATGATCGACGCGGCACTACTCCCTCAAACCCTTGGCCGCCTCAACCTTGAGATTATCGAATTCTTGTTTAGTGTCCTACGTGAGGATTCTACCTCTGAGTTACCTTTAGTTCCGGCACGAGGTAACTCGTGGCAACTCCAGGCTGGTAAATACAGACGAATGCCTGTTGCGCCTCATCCTTACCCGATGTCGATGAAGATCGAGTGGAAGCGATTTGTTGAACAAAGCGTCTTCTACGTGATGAGCGATCCGCACTCATTGGTCCGATCCTTTACGCAAGACGGGAAGCTGGTCGACTCACGCAATCTCTGGCGGTGCATGGTGCGGCTAACTGATTCAACGCCCAGTCTCGTCTTCCATAGCCTCTGGATTTCCATTTCCGGCCTCTTCATCCTCCCCAAGCACCTTCAGCCTGCTCAGCTCGCAGGTTCGAAGCCGCACGCTAGAGGGCCAAGGTCTCTCAGTAACACGGAGGCAGCATATCTCGTATCTATTTGTTTTCATGCTCTCGCAGCTGCGGCTCCAGAGGTCTCGAGTCGTACCGCTCTCCTTGATATGTCTCGCCTACGTTCTAGCGGGGTCGCGCTTTCCGGAAACGGCGGGCCAAGGCTTCCTACCAGCCTGTGCCTCCAATATGACGACACCTTCTCTAACGACCTGACGCTTCGGTTAGCCAAGAGGCTTTTCTCCGCCCTCGTTGCGAGAAAACATTTTGCCTCCCTTGCGGAGTCCGAGGGGAAGAGGGCCGTGAGGAATTACAGGAGTCTAACGTCTTGAACCCGCTGCTCAATCAAATGGACTTTCTTAACTCGGATACCGAAATCGGCCAAGATTCATCACCCATGCCACAGGCTTTACCGATCCTGCTACTGGATTGGGCTCGTGCCGTTATCATGCAAGAGTGGGACGGCCATGCTGTATTCAACCCGGATAGCGCATTTGGAGGCGCGGTGCTGTTCATTGAAGCAATGTGTAGGTGTTCTCCCACGATTTTGTCCGAATAATCCGAGGTACATTACGGCTAACAGCAGTCTTGGATTTTGTAGATGAACGGCGGCAAGAACTTCTTCTAGCCGATGTTAACTTCCGCCTCGACTATGTCGCAGACCGCCTTGATTCGGCGACTGTACCGGTGGATTGGCTCACTTTTGAGGCGTCCCGGAAAAGCCAGCATCTGCTTGATCGACCCTTTCTCTTTAACCCGTCGCATCTCGTTAACTACTTCCGTGCGGTAAATTTAGCGCGTATGAGCCGCAGTTACGAGGAGCCGAGCTCGGTTTACGAAAGGGTCCGACGCCTCGTTACTGACGGGCTTGTCACCCATGCTCACCGCAAGCTCATGCAGGACATGCTGCGAAGGACAACCTCGAAATATCTGATACTCAATGTCAGCCGCAACACGGTTGTCCGTGATGCCTTTGATCAGCTCTGGCAACGGGAAGAGAGGAGCTTGTTCGTCCGCTCAAAGTTCATCTTGGCGAAGACAGCGGCGAAGAGGGGTTTGATCTTGGTGGCGTTCAGCAAGAATTCTTCAAGTTGGCTTTCGCCCAGATTTTTGACCCAAATTATGGCGCCTTCCAGGTCGACGACCGGACCAGGATGGCCTGGTTTGTCCCAGGCTCCTTGTTAGAGACCTGGAAATACGAACTCATTGGTGTTCTTTTCTCCCTCGCCGTGTATAACGGCATAACTCTCCCAGTCACCCTTCCGAAGGCTTTCTACCGACGGCTTCTTGGCGAACCCGTGGATGAGCTCCACCATATTGCGGATGGCTGGCCCGATCTCGCCAGCGGCTTGACAACTCTTCTAGAGTGGGACGAAAAAGATGGCTCGGTCGAGGATGTGTTCGCGCGCACGTACGAGTTCTCGATCGAAGTGTTTGACGCGCCTGTTTCCCGAAATATGCAAGCGGCCCCCGGTGAAGCGTGGCCCCGTGTAGCGGTTCCTTCAGATTCATCGGCACCTACGGCGTTCGATCAGAACCCCACAGATGCCCCCATGGTGACTTATGATAATCGAAGCGCCTACGTCAGCGATTATATCAAGTATCTAACCGACATCTCCGTTCGCCCCCAGTACGAGGCCTTTGAGCGGGGCTTCAAGGCCTGTCTCACCTCCAAATCCCTCAATATCCTAAACTCCACGATTCTCCAGTCCATTGTGGAAGGTATGCAGGAGATTGACCTCTCCGAACTCAAGCGATATACCCGATATAACGGTTGGGACGCTTCACACTCTACTATCAAAGACTTTTGGAGTATCGTCAAACGCTACGATGAACCAATGAAACGGCGTCTCCTCGAATTCGTCACAGCATCGGACCGCGTTCCGGTTGGAGGAATGCAGAATATACAGTTCGTCATTCAGCGCAACGGCGAGGAAGGGCCCCTGGGCCGCCTCCCCACCGCATATACGTGCTACGGCACATTACTTTTGCCAGAGTACCAAGATAAGGAGGTCCTCAAGGAACGCATGGGCATGGCTTTGCAGAACGCGCAAGGCTTTGGTTTTGGCTAAGTTGGCCAAACCAGCATCTCTCATCAAGTTTTCATTTCCAGTTTTCTGTGTTCAGCACAAGCGTCAACATGTTTTATCATTCTACCAAATGGTCTGCCTTCTCACCCCCGGCATCAGCGTGTATATATCCTCTCCTTTCAACCGCGCCGTCGTATTTAACTACCCTTTTTGCAAGCTACATGTGCCAGGTTTGCCGGTTCTGTTCACGGTCCGACTTTGAGGCCTTTGGCGTTGCTGTTTTTCTCTTGGCAACCTCCTCCTGTCTTTTTCTCTTCCTTTTTTTCCCTCCCTCCTCTTGCTCTTCATCGCGGCGACAGCGAGAAGTAGAGAGAGCCACGGGAAGTGTGCACTTTGATATTTGGCAAATGACGCGCACACACTACATGTACACACTACGTCCACGCCTCAAGCTCAATTTTGGTATTTGTAGATGATGGATACCAGGACACTACACGTCTAATGAAAGAGAGAGTCAATACAATCAGATTAACTTGAAAAAATCCAAATACTTTCCGCAACTGTATAAAACATGACTGATGACCGATGCCTGTTAGCAGACGGCCGGAGCTCTTGCCGTTCACGCAGGCAGCATCTCCTCTAATTCTTTTTAAAAGTAATAGTCACGACGATGGTGTGCAGGACAAGGTTTGAACAGACGGATTCAGGAACTCTTAGTTCAGGTATTCAGAGATATTTGTGACCATGTAACTGCTCTTGGTCACATCAAAACAATAATCACCAACTCCTCCGCTAGGGTAATGCTCATTGGCTGTGCCTTGTCAACCAATGGTCCATCCAGTGTCTAAAGACGGCGCGAGACGCTAAGACTGAATATCCTTTGACCATTCCGTCTCCTCGCGCCCTCATCGGTCCGTCAAGGGCATAAGCCCCTCGTACGGGCCAATAGGTATCGGTATATCTCCATTCCCTCCTGACTCGGCGACGAGTCGTCTCAGCGTTTGCCCACCGCCTGCAATGCTATGTGCAAATAAAAGAAACCTCGAGTTGTACAGATCGAGCAAGAGAAACAAGAAAAGTAACGACGGGCACAGACAATAGAAAAAAATGAAACGAGATAGCAAGAAATGGCCCGGGGCCACTCTAAAAAGATTCGGAAAGGCGGAAGAGGGAAAGAAAGGAAACGAGGTCTGCATGTACGCTTCAAGGCGTGCAGCTACCTAGATGCGATATTTGGTATATCCTCCCATGCGAACTTTGCCCCTGACAAACAATACACGTGGTGTCAGCAGAGCGACTCTAAGGGGAGTAGATGAATACACAAGGCCAGAAGCCCTTGGTTAGGTTCGAGGTCCGTGGAGAAAGAAAGCGCGTGAGCGAGCCTTGCTGGTTCAGGGAGTAGTCCCTAAACGAGATGGCCGACTTCGTATTGGCGAATCGAAGTTGATAAAATCATGTCCCGCCCGCTACCCGACCGAGTGTAGGTGCCATACCCACACGCGGCGAGACAGGATCAAGGCGTTTACCCAATAACAACCCGGGCGCCCTCTTTGCCCAGGACGCCTCTTTCACGAGGCTTCGGGCTATTTGACCTCCCTTTCTTCCGATTCAGAAAGCCAAACACGCCACCATTTGTCTCTTGTTTCGATCCATCAATACAATTTGCGTCTGTGGGGAGGGTTGCGTCCTGTCTTGCGAGCTCTGACCAGCTGCCCTTGCCGTCTAGCGTGACCTGAACACCGCCGGTTGGGCTTGCCACTCGCTTCAGGTGGGCCGATGAGGGTTGAAGATCTCTAGATGGGGCTGCAATGGGAGGGGGCGATGAGGTTGAGCAACGGCAGGCTGACTTGGACGTTGCTTATAATCGCCATTGGGTTTGACCACTGTGACAGACGTAGCCTGGTCCGTGGTGAGGGCCATCGGTTCACCTTGATTGTGCTGGCGGTTCACCTTGTCGTCGGATTGTTCGTTGGAGGACGGCTGAGGTTGACCAGTTATCCTAGAAAATACAAGTCAGCAATGCAACACACTTCTTACTTCTTGTTGCCAAGTAGAAGGTAATTGGGGGCGGGAAGAGGGGGGTATCATACTTTTGTAGGCGGCAATTGTATAATCGAACGGTTTGAAGTCTGTCTCAATCATGCGGTAAAGCTCGTCCTCCCGAATCTCCTTGTCTGTCGCATCATCCTTTAGGCGCTCGCGGGGCTTCTGGCGGCGTGCCCTAGCCTCCAAGGGCGCCTCCTCCAACAGTAGCTCTTCTAGATCGTATGTGGCATCGAAGTTGGTCTTCTCTGATGATGGCACAAAAACTGGTTCAATCTTCTTATTCTCCAAATCAACGAAATCGATGCACTTGAAAAACTCGTGTTGCGTAAAGCTTTCCCACGTAGCGCCTAGGCGCTTGTCCCGGTCGTGCTCGAGGGCCGCAGTCATGGCGAAGAGGCAGGGAACTGATACGGGAGGTTGCGTCACTGGGAACTTGGGCTTCCCCGCAAGGATCTGGGCGCTGAGCGTCGATTCAGAGTTGCCGTCAAAAGGGCGCTAAAAAGCGAAGGGGCCAGATTAGAGGGTTATTCCTTGCATATTTTGCACAAGATTCTCGGAATATCAGGATGGTATGACAAACCTTGTTATATATGCACTCATAAAAGAGGACACCCAAAGACCACCAGTCAGCCCTGATATCATATCCTTTGCCGCCATATACTTCGGGTGCTAGGTAGGCAAGTGTGCCTGACTTGCTGCATAGGATCCTACCCGGAACGATGTCGGAGGCCACATTCTATTCATGTTAGAAGATTGGAACAACAGCCCGGCTCCCAGAAATCAGCAGCACTTACGAAGTCCGTCAGATGCACATGGCCATCGGCGTCGAGGAGCACATTGTCTGGCTTGACATCCCGGTGGATAATCCCTTGGCGGTGTACATATCTCAATGCACAACCTAATTCCGAAATCCAAAACCTTACCGCTTCTTCAGTAAACGTCTTCCGAGAAATATGGAATCGTAGGTCGCCACCACTCATCAAGTCGACAACGAGGTACCTGCGAGCAAAGGAGATAGTGAGATTTAAGGCCAAAGCAGAGTCGACAAGCGACAGGGGTTTCGGAGGGGAGGCTCACATGTATTCTATATCCTGAAAACTGTATCGCAAGTTGCAAATAAATGGGTGGTTTACATGCTCAAGCATTCGCCGCTCTCGGATAATGTTACGAACACTCTCAGACCGCACAACTAGACACGGGGTATCACAAGGCAGAGATTAGCGGTCTAGGGCTTTATGGGTTTCTGGTCGCCACTGATTTGCAACAGTCCGGGCCACCTACCTTCATCTTTGCGGATATATTTCAAGGCGAACGACAGATTTGTGTCCTTTCTCTCAACAATACGGACCTTGCCGAAAGCTCCACGGCCTACTACCCGAAGAAGTCGAAAATGGTTCAGATTGACTATCAGTTTGGTTAATAGCTGCTCTTGTCTGTCGGGAATAATTATTCGAGCCTGTAGGCCGGGGCTGCCATTTCATACCTTCACCATCAAGATCGATGGGCTTCCCCTGGCTGTTCCCCATTTGGAGGGATGTGTTTTTGTTTGCTTGAGCAAAAAGCTTGTTTCGCAGATATCCAATTGAATCGGGCGGTCGACTTATAACATCCTTTGGCCGGCAGGGCAAGAATAGTGTCGCCCAGGTCGGTCAGAGGAAAGCGAGAAAAGCGGAGGACCAGATTAGAGAGCACTGGGCCGCGCAAGCTCAAATTAGTCCAGTGGTCAAGGTTGACGGTTCTCGGAGATGTTGCAGAGATATGAGAGTGGCTTCGGAAACCGCGAAGACTCGCCGCTCGGTTGGGGAAAGGCTATGATGCGCGCCGTCGAGGACCTGAGAGCAATAACAAGCCTGGTTGGATGACCGTCTGTGCCGGTCCAGAAGATTTATGGAGGCTTTCAAGCGAGAAAGTGTTGCCGTCGAGATCGAATGCTCGGTGGGGTGGAATCGATGCAGTTGCTTGGTATGAGATCGCAAGCGTTCGGAGCCTAGGAGAGGAGGGAGATATGAGTGAGTGGAGGGAGAAGAAGGGCTGAAGGGGAACGATGCATGGGAGATCGAAGTGAGGGATGCCGGTACTAGGGTCAGAGGATGTGACGACAGGGAATCTTACACAAGGGCTCGCCCGAGTTCGAACAAGGGCACAGGTACGAGTGAGGTTGGGGGAGGAATGGAGGATGGGGAGGAAATTGAGAGCAGAGCCAAGATGATTCGAGGCAAGGTACGGTACACAACTGAACGTACTGTGCGTATCGAGGCCGGAGCTGGGGTGGATTTGAGGTGTATTCTGTGGGTTGCTAGATGGGTGGGCTTCTGGTTGACTTTTACCTTTTTGCTTCGATTTGGCAAAACTTGGTAATATCTTGACTTCGTCTACACCTCGACTTGTGGAGTCTCTGTTCCCCCTTTCGTTCTTGTATCATATCTTTTAGGAGTGGGGATGCTTGAAGCTGAGAGCAAATGAGAGATACCTCATGACAGGAAGAAAACTGGGCGGAGGCCCCAGCGGGTTAAAGCGTCAAAAGAAGGTAGCAATGGGGTGAAGATGGTCGTGCTTGTGATTGATGAATGGGGGCAGGCCATGTACTCTACATCGCCTTCCGCCCTTCTCGATGTGGTCGGATGTGTGGGCTAGAGCGTGCGTTACAAGCCTAAAATGTAGAGGTACCGCCAAACTCCCCACTAGTGCCGCCAAAGTATCTCTACTTGTCCTGGTGGGATGGATAGCGGTGTCGCCAGTGGACCCGGACACCCAGACTGGTATGGAGTACTCAGATCTTTGCCACAAGGGAGTGCGCAGTCCCCGTCTTGGTCGGCAAGACGAGCGTGCAATGCAAGAAGGGTACGAAAAGGGGAGATGAGGAGAGGGAAGGTGGAAGGTGGAGTGGGTCAGCCCGGAGTCCCTGGGCGGTAGGGGCCATTCGTCAAGCCATGAGTACCATTGATTTTCATTGTCCGTCCTGGAATAGCGTAGTGCCAGTTGCCGCAATTCTGCGTCCTCAATGCTAGGCAATTCCCTGTTTCGCCGCTATCGCCTGGGGCTGGTTCCAGGATGCGATGCTCGCAGGGCAGGAGCGCCAGCCAGTGTGGCCTCTCCCTCGCCCTTCGCCCTTCGCCCTCACGATATTAGAGAGAGATCACTCGCTCACGAAGCGAACCAAATATGCGAGGCAGACATCAATTGATGAAATATCTCGAGGGCCGGGTCTTTGAACAAAAAAGGACATACAACTCTCAGGCCGCCAAACCCAAGACCTGCACCGAGCGGATATCGGCTCAATTTGATAGCAACCTGCACTTGGCCTTGCGTGGCTTCTCCGCGCGGCTACGCCCCTTTTGTTCTTATTATTGCTTTTCAGGCTTCTCTTGTTCTTCTCTTCTTTTTCTTCCCTGCCGAGCCGAGCGCCCCTAACATGGAGAAGGGGGTCACAACTGCCCACCGTCCAGTGAACGCAGATCACCACACGTGATCTCGCATGGCAAACGCATACAGCCTGTCCCGCTTGTGGTTTGCCATGTGCGCTGGTGGCGGGGGATGCACCCTCCACGAGAGCGAGACGCACTATCCGTTGTGAATCCATGGATTGATGCGCGCACCCACGAGGCCGTTTGGATGCCGTACCAGGTACCACTACCAACCACTGAAATAGAGAGGGTGGAGTCTCATCATCTCTCCCCCAAGGCCGCCATTGATCAGACTTTGCCTGAGCCTTGAGAGAGATGTTTGTCCACCCTTTACCTCTTGAGAGCGTCGTCTCTAAAGGTAAAAGAAACCCCCGAGCCAAGTGGTGCCTTGCGATACCCCCTCACCAATGATACAGACCGGACAAGGAGACATGGTTCGAATCGGACTGGATCACGCTTATCTACGCGACATGAAGTTCCCCTCATCCTTGAGCTAGCTCACAAACGCCAAGGACCGGCGGTACAAGTACTTGCTTTGCTGGTTGCATCGCAGGTCCGAGGCACGAATCGGCGGCCATTTTGGATGAAGAAGCGGGAAACTCAATCAGAGCCCAAAGCAGGCTGGACCCGTCAAAGTGGTTTCGGTTGTCCAACGTGCTCATGGTTGTGTGATTGAACTGCAATGTTGACACCAGAGTGCCTTCTGCGGGAATGCTCTGAAGAATATCCATATACAATACCCTTCGATTGTTCGAGATTAGCCCCGATCAAGCTGCGCTTCATGCTCCCAGAACATGATTGCAATTAGCGGTGCTAAGAATCACGGGAGCTTGACAGCAAATTGATTAACTTGGACCCCCAAGACCCGACGAACCCTCCAAAGCTCTAATGGAGTTTCTGCACTCTTAATCATTATCAAGCTTGTTTAGGGAAGGGAGTATTGATCAGTGCTAATAAAACCAGGGTCGACGGCGCACTGCATGAGATCGGCGGCCTTGGACTCATCTCGAACTCTCCAAATTCGCAACAATCGGCGTCCCCTAATCGTTGCCGCCTCCTTTTTTAGGTCTGGCCTTCCCCTTTGCTCGCACTATTTCAGTCAGCAAGCACAAAGTCCCAACCAAAGTAGTAGGTGGGGTCACCCACACCTACGCTCCATGTCCACTCCACGCGCCATCGCTCGCAATCTCGAGTGCTATGAATTTCAGCTGCTCTTCCTCTCTTCCACTGTCAGCGAGTGGTTTTCACCAGACAACAAAAGGAGCTTGTCCGGGAACGACGGGGCTAATATTACACCACCTCGAGAATTTGGTTCACCCCGTTCCCATCCTGCACACAAGTTGCCGATTCTTTGAGTCCCCCTGTTCGTGGATAATCCTACGAAGCCTGGCCTTCACAGCATCAAAGGCTGGCCCATGTCCACCTCCACACAGAACAATCCCTTGTTCGTCTGCATATTCAGTACATACGGACCTTATTATTGCCAGGCACAGACGGAAGCTTGACGAGAGCAAACACAATACATTGTTGACCAGTCATCTTTTATTATCAGTGGAAAGGGTTGTATTCATGCAGTCGGGGCTGGCTCCCTCGCCACTTTGTACGAATTTGTGGAGGCGGGTGACCTCATTTCCTCGTCCCCCGAAATGGTTGCCTGCCACGAGGCGGTGAACTGGTAGTTATTCGGTGACGTCCCGTTTTGGCTTCGGAGAAGGAGTGCAACGACCTCCCATCCTGAAACTGAGGTCTAGGACAGTGTTGAAGATATCTCCATGATCAAGCCAACCATCCTTGCCGCCCACGTGTAAGAATTTTGGTGGCAACGTCGGTTTTGATCTCGCGCCTCCTCGAATGATACACACCATTTTCCCAGCCCATTCGACAAAGCAAAGAAGGATAGCGTGCATTTCAAAGATGCAGGCGTTGAGCGATGCGAGACGCTGCCTACTCAGCGTTGAATCGAAACCGCATAAGCACACACACACGCACACACCCGCACGCCCGCGCCCAAGTAAGGAAATAGGACTAGCGGACGAAAAGGGACTGTATGCCACACGGGAAAGCGAGAGATAGTGTCGAATTCACGAATGGCCCGCGTCGTGGAGTTATCGTCTCGATCACCAGGCACTAGAGCCAAAAGAGGAATTCGAGGATCCGTGCCAGTCGGCTCAGGCCTCTACCAAGCTCTTAGCACCCCTCATGAAATGTGACTATTGGCTCTCTTTTCTTGGTACAGTGACCAAGTGCTCAGTCTCGACGGGTGGGCAGCATTTTGATGAAGTGTGGGCGTCAACGTGGGGGCGAGTCGAACCCGTCAAATCTTTTGGCCAAGTACCCTAACAGTGGGTCAAGTCATCGGCAGAGGTCGGGCGAACGAACCACGAATCGTTGGTGGCTCTAGTGAAGCCTTCTCTATTCGTTTCTTTGTCCGGTCCCATCCTTCGACGTCGGCGGTTTCAGTCAGTTGGGGAGGCTCCTCACTGGCCATCGACGAAGTCTCCTTGCCGGGTCGCCGAGCGATTGGCCTCGCACTGGCCTGGCCTGCCGGTCCCGTTCAACTTTGAAGAAAGCCCCGTGCCCATCTCGCGCCAGAAAAGTCGAGAAGTGTCAGCGGGTATTACGGGCTAATTATTGGCATTGCGCTACCCATCTCCTAAGATCCCTAGCTTGAGTACATATTCTTGAACTTCTTGAGCTGCAAATTGGGGAGTTGTCGAATGGCAGCGAGACAGGATCAATCCATCTGGCCGGTTCAACCGCCGTTGAGTACTCACGGACTCACTCTTCCCTGCTCGAATGATACCACATTTACCACATTTGCTTTTTTCTTCTTGGGATCAATCCTTCTGCTTTTACGATGCTGTTTGTCTTTTGCGTGCCGTTACATGTAATACTAATAATACGCACCCAAGCAGCCTATCTCAAAGCCCCCGCCCCCAAGGCTTGGCAAATCGCGGGTCCAATCGAATGTTATGAGTTGTTCAATCAATGCTTGGAGAGCCTACCAGCACATCAACCGGCCGGCCGAAACGAAAGCTGCTGACCATATTCTCATACCGGCCCCACAAGCTAGGGGAGGTGGTATCAAGTATCCCCAAACCCATAGCAAAAGGTCCTTGGTT